AGTAAAATCTCAAAACTGCCTGAGAGCTTAGGAAATCTGTCCCAGCTACAAACCTTGATAATAAATGGAGTGAAATCTCAGAGCTGCCTAAGAGCTTCGGCCGTCTCGCTAGTCTGCAGGTCCTGAAGCTCTCAGGCATATGTTGAGACTCCAAGCCTTGCCGGATACTTTTGGGCAGCTTTCACAGTTGTCGCACTTGACGATGCAGGGCGGCACCATCATCCAAAAAGTCCCGGAATCGTTCGGCAATCTGGCCAACCTGTCCACATTGGACATCATCGACTGTCCCTTTCTTAACTACTTCGGGGTTCCGAAGAGCACCGAAGTATGCATTCGAGGAAGACGGATGATATGAAGAGATGTTCGCCCTTGAGTTATTCGAGCGGAGCGTAGCGTTTGGAGTAGAACAACTTCACCTGGAGTCTTTTTTGGAGTGGTTGTGAAGGTTATGTTACCAATCAATATTCACATGTTTTCTAGTATGGAAAAATAGGTCAATTTCACTAGAAGAACTCAAGTTTTAGTTTTGTTCATGTTCGAAAGTAGTTCAGTGAGTGGTGGTGCGATCTTTCCACTTGGTCGCGATTGACCATAATTTGGTGATTTGGAGGACGGGAGAAGTTTTGCGGACGTAATCAAGGTTCTCGTGAGATTGTAATCTAGTTGTAGTTTGGAAGTGCAGGTGAGGGAATCGCTCGATTGTAATGTGCAAGGAACTGGTAGAGGAAAATTCAAGTTCGGTTTTGGCCTTTAGACTGAGGCCGGAGCAATCGAGTTGATTTGCCTCTGTTTCTTCAGCAGTGGACGGTGCCTGTTACGTGAGGATCACTTTGCATTGGGCATGGATGTTGGAGCCTTCGATCCGCAACTGAACTTGAATTCGCGAGATGGGCCTATCCCGGGGATCAACTGAGAGTTGTTAGTGGGGCGGAAGTTTTGGGATTTCTGTGTTCGCATGGCTATGGCTCTTCGACCTAGAGTGGGGTCCCAATTGTACAGTTCAGCAAAGGAGTGATTAAAGCAGCGGAGTGAAGGTTGGCAGAGAAAAGAGCGCTCTATTCGTAAGCGTCGGAGTTGAATCTTGGTGAAGATTCAAAGTGGTGAACCTCAGTAATCTGGCCTTTGGTGCTAAATTGGACGCTGTCTTGTCATCCAGATGAACGCCTTGGGTATTTTGCTTTATCTCTCAGCTGCATCTAACTCGTCTGGAGGTTGCTCCGAGTGTGCTTGTGTACTTGGCTTTGGATTTTGTGTTCTCCTGCTTTCGTGTCCAATTAACTCTCTTAGCTTTCCGTGTACTTCAGTCAAGTCCTAGTCTTTCCCGTAGGTTGAGTTTAGATTCAGAACTCTGCACTCGGAAACAAATCGCCAGAGCTTCAGTCAGGAAATCTACTTCTAGCTCCTGCAAGTTCGACAAAGATTGCTCCGAATCATGTGAGCCCTCCGTCGTAAGTTTATGCTGGGTCTCTACTCACCTCGCCTCCAGTTTCCAGACCACTTCATCATTGGAACGACAAAGTTACACAAAGTATCGCAGGAGTGCAGTTGTTTCAGGCTGCTTCCTGAAATAACAAAGAGTTTGCTCGTATTCTTATGAGGTGAAATGGTCTATTTACACATAATTATCTAACTCGGTCACGGTTTGAAGAATGTTCTTCGATTTGACAATTTTCACTGGAGAATTTGACCAAAACGTAACCAATCAAGGATCGCTCCTTCCCATTTCTTGCGTTGTTATCGTCATCGCGACTGTCTTACATTCGAATAGTGGAAAGCATCTGCATCAACTCCCACCTTCACTCTGCGCTCTACTCCTCGTACAATCCTTTTGTAGATTCCCTCGCATTGACAACGATTGCCGACCAATGGATTTCATGTCTCCTATGGCTTCTACTTCAAACCGACATAAACCCTGTTCCAACAGCGTTGACTCCCTTGCTCACTGTGTAGATGTCACAATTGCTATGTTTGACTTTGATTTCCTTGTGCAATGTGGTTCATTACATGGACTGAATCAAATTGCAACATCCAACCGTGGATGTATTTGGCTCCCAATTTGTTAAACTCCATATAAACCGCATTACCGCAGTCTCCAGCTTCTAATCATTTTTTTGGGATGCAGTTTCTACGTATGAATCAAAATGATTTCAAACCGTATTCAAAATTATGCACCCATAAGTAGCAATAGAATAGCCTCACTTGCTCAAGATCGAATAAGGGCAATAGAGCTCTGGCAATCAGCAATTCGAGCTCGATCTGCACTTGCTGCTGGAGCACGGAGATCCGGCTGAAGATGCTGCAGCTCTGATCGTTGCTCGCGTCGCTGCGAGCGTGGGCGACCAGACATGGGCGCAGGTTGTCCATCGCCACGTTGATGGGCGTCCCCTGGAAGTTGCCACCGTGGACGGCCCGGTCGCGGGCCACGTCAATGAGCGCGCTGTCGTTACCGAATCAAATCGAGACAAAGCGCCACCTCGGCGACGAGCGCCAGCACGTGGCCGCCAGGCCATCCTTGTGTTGCAGAGCGAACGGCTTCAGCCGCCCCACGAGCTGCAGAGCGTCGTGCGCCGTCACGATGTCGCCGGTCTCGGTCGCGGCTTTGGATATCGGGGCGGCCCGTCGATGCGCTTGTCGAGGAATGTCTGCAGCGTCTGCAGGATGGACCACCGAATTCCCGAGTAGCCCCCGAGAATTCGGTGCACCGATCGTCCGAGCACCACCGTCACGTCCGGCCTGGGCCACCATGAGCGTGAATCCCTGGATCAAAACCTCCTCGGTGTCGTGAAATTTGTGCACCAAGTCGGCCACTGGAGAAACTGTCCCTCATTGTGCTAAGGCTTCTTAAGAGAATGTCTCGAGAATTTTCGAGATGGAGGTCATCTCGCCCTGTCCCTCCTCATTTGACCTTTTCTTCCCGTTCTAGGGTAGGTGCGCGAAAGAGCATGATCGTGATCATGAGAGAGCCCTAGTCGGGCTTTTCGTAGAACTGCTCTGAGACATGGCTGTACTTTTGCTGTATACGTGCCTTTTGGAACTCGACCATCACACGGCTTTGCACAGAGGTTGGGTGGTTGCGACAGAGGTACAGTGGAGGATTGCACTCTATTCAGATTGAGGTTTCCGCTACTGTGCAGGGACGGTGTATGTACCACCAATCTCTGTGGGTGCTTAAGCAAGTCACGAGGTTTTGAATTCCACTTGCGCGCCCTTTAGCTACAACCCTTGGTCGAGAATGACTTATTTACACGACGAGGTTGGGCGTTCAGTTTTAACTTCACAATACAATCTATACCATCTTCAGAACAAACCTACCTCGAAATCACAACTTCTGCCAAAAGTGCAAGCTGCATCAAGCCCCGTTTATCAAAAGCGCATTTTCTGTGAACATAACGAAGGTAAGCTTTGCCCTAGGAACATCGAAAATTCGTGGATCTTGGTTTGTTATATTCCTTCATCGAGTTTCTTGTCTGATTTAAAGTGCCAACTTCAAGAAATTCATTCGGTCATGCTCGACCTAAACCTTATTGATTGGAGTGTATGGGTGAATCTGCATAAATATAAGTGAACCAATTTGCAATGAAAATGACAATAAACAACTGCTTTCCATTCCGAACGAGGTCATACCTGTCTTTGACCGTCAGCCTCTATGTCGTAGTACCATACTCGAATTTGCAGACGGTAGCCGTAGGAGAAAAGGTAACGTGCTACATGTAGCATCTGCACAGAACGCTGGCTGTGCCAGTACCTGTTGAATTGAGTTGCGGTACGGCTGACGAAGTACGCAGTTCAAATTTTCTGAGAATATCATGAATCAGAACGTCGTCGGCTGGGACCATCGGACAGGTAAGAAAGCAGATTGACCATAACCCAGCTGGCCTCACGGGCTGATTCAGGTCGTGATCTACAAATGTGGGTCCAGTGATACGCAAGCAATATTTTGAAGTATGCAGCGAATTCGAGGACGAGCTTGTCAGGCAGCAAAAAGCTAAATGCTTTCGACAGACGCAATGTACTGGCCTTCCACTCAGGGTTGGTGTTGGAAATAGGTTTCTAGCTGAGGGTCAACTTATGGCAACTAGTGTCGGGATGACGGTCGATGGCCTCGATTTGTTCTTTATCCACTGGCCAGACTCTGTTCACCGTGTGCTGAGACCGGAAAAAGGTTGTGTCCCTCGAACAACTCTACGTTCAGGTCAGAGAGAGAGAGAGAGAACACCAAGACTGCTGCCAGCAATGAGATCCAGCCATAGAACATATTTCAGATTTCATTGAGCTCTTGTGGTTCAAGATTTGGATGGAACCTAGCAAACATGGACAACTCAAGTTCCAAGAAATCTGACTTACAGAAATAGCTGAAAATAGATTTGACGATGGTGACCTGCGACTGAATCATCCTGATACGCCAAGGCTGTGAATTTTGCCAGGGAGGCTCAACTGATGTCGGTATGAGCTAGTCCAGCCTGGTAGAAGGGACACGCAGGAGAAGTCGCTCCCAGACGCTTTTAGAAAGCTCGGACAGGCACACATGAACTTGTGGCTAAGGTTTTGGGGGGTTTCTCTCACTGTCAAGTTTGTCTTCTTAGTTTAAAAACATGTCGGTTCTGCGAGCACTGTAGAAAAAGGTTGAAATGAGCCACATAGTCTCGTGGGGACGACGGGCTATTCCAGCGACCTCAAGGCGGCGGAGGCCGGATGTAAATCATTGTGTGGTCCGGAGGTTGGCCTGTGAGGTAAGTCAAATAAATGATAAAGAAAGCTTGATGACATCGATGACCTTCCGAGTCCTACCTCAGCACCAACGAGATACATTTGGTGTTTGATACATCTTTTATCGACTGACAGATGTTTTGGCAATAGGCCAGCAATCAATCAGCGGCCTGTAGATAAAATGGGGGAGTTGTAAGGCCAGGCGAGTGTCAACTGCACTCACAGGAAAGTCAGCGAAAGTTGAATGTTTGAGGATGGATGGGATGTAGTTATGAACAAGTTCAGTTTGGTTTCGGGGACTGTATTCATCTTGTTTAGGAAATGTAACCTGGTGGACATAAACTCAACCGGCTGTTATGTCTACGAAATCCTTACGATTGCTATCGTCTCAGTCAAATCCCATCCAATGCTCAAAACTTGTTCATAACTTCAGTTATGAATAAGTTTACAACTATGACTAATTTTTTTCATGGTTCGATCTCAAACCTGGCAGGATACGTAGAAATAACAGAAGATGTGCTTACAGGAAGGATCCAGAAGCTGAATATAGTACCGTGATGAGGCGGGAGCTTGCAAAGATGATCTACGATGACCTGTCTAAGACGGGTTGCCGTACGATCAATGCACTCAAGAAGAGGAAAATCTCGGAATCTGGTACTCGTTCTGCTAGACAGGAGGTTGAGGCGGACATCGACAACCACAAGATGGTCTTCTTCGATTTGCGGGAGAAAAATCTTATAAGTCCTCGACATGCAAGGCAGCTTCAAAACTTCAGAAATGAAATCGAGATGGACATCAGGAACCGAAGGGATGTTGAGCCACCACCAAATGTAGGATCCACCGTGTCGTGGGAGATTCTACAAAAAATTCAGGAATTGGAGAATACCAAGAACACACCGAGAATTAGGAAAAATGTACCAGCCTCCCGTGCTACTCATCACCATCATCCAAGCAATCGTTCTCTACCTCCTAGGACGTCCACGGTTAGCCTGCCCAAAATACCTGCCAAATCGGCAGAGGTTACCTGGGCAATTTGAGAGATTTCTATTAACGGGATAAGGGGCAGAAAACAGGACTTTTCGATGCACTTCAGGTGAGTACGTGAAAGAAGTGTTACATAATGTATATATAGTCAACAAACCGAAAGAAGGTAGTATCCATATGTTCTAGCAGATTGTTAACCATCACTAAGTTTGATGACAGTGTGCAAGTCGTGTCTCATAGAATCGAAGAGCAGACACTGAATCAAGTCCAATAAGGAACATACATGGACTGGAGATGATTAACAGACTGATGTCTTAGAGCTTACAGCTCCTACTTGGTAATCAGTTCGTACAATTTGAAAGTCCTTCCATCCATGAAATCTTCCTGCGGTACAATCTTGTCGAAGATGCAAATCGAAGTTGTCCTCATGACAGAGTCGAATCAACGCACTCCGGTGTAAAATTATAACACACAAAGCTCGACAATAGCATGCTAACAAGGATTCCATGAGACAAAAACCAGGTACACCATCATTTTGAGCGAGCAAAACAAGGCAGTTCAAAAAAATGTATTATGGCGGATATTTACATTAGATTCACAATCAAGATTGACTGGTATCATGCCCTGTCTAAATCATTCGTTATGGGCATTCTCCACATATAAGAGCTAGTTTGCACCATCTAAAAGCACGGGCAATCTGTAATGCAGGCTGATAGAGGTATCAGTCTGCCTCGTTCCAGGAATGAAATATTGGAGCATAATCAACAAGCAGCCATCATTCGGAGCAATTCCTGCACAAACAATATGCCGACGGTCATGGGTCGAGGAAAAATAGAAAATAACGCGAGTTTGAAAATGGCTGAAAGTTGCTCTTGATTCATACACGCCCTTCATTTACTAGGAGTCAGCATAATCATGGTCCACATAACACTGGAGACTTACCACAGAAAGATGCATCAGGCTTGGTGTGATGACACTGCAAACTCTTGACGAACTGCTTAACGTCGACTTTCTGAAAAGCGTTGTACATAAAAGCCAAGTTAAGGAATCTCTTCCGAACAGATCACAGACAGATGAGTTCGTTTATCCAGCAATTCGGAGCAAGAAATACGCAACAGTTCGGAAATTTGGAAAAAGCAAAAGCTTCATTCATGACTAGCAAAAACTCTCTTAGGTGCTAAGCTCTGACGCACACCAGAAGGTACATACCACCACAGAAGCTAATGACTTGTCTAAGGCATCCCGAAGGCGTTCTGAAGAGTTCAAGGTCGGAAATTTGGAAAAAGCAAAAGCTTCATTCATGACTAGCAAATAATCTTTTAGGTGGTAAGCTCTGACGCACACCAGAAGGTACATACCACCACAGAAGCTAATGACTTGTCTAAGGCATCCCGAAGGCGTTCTGAAGAGTTCAAGGTCGCGTCTATGGAATTACCATCAACTGCAAAATAAAGTCAAAAATGCTTGTCAGAACATTTGCTTGGAAATTCTGTCGTGCGTGAGTGATACTCCACGTACTCCAAAGATGTTATTCTCGTACTGATGTTGGTCTAATAAACGATAAAACTTTTCTGCTGAAGGTTCAGAAGCCCGTGATGTATTTTTATTTTTAGTTTTCAATGACGTTTCTCCGTCTTCTGGAATGCACCACAATCGTCTTTTTCCATTAAGTGAAGGGTCCATAAAGTGACCTTCACTTACTAGAGGGATCCTTCACGATGCACCATGGGAAGGCTAAATGGAACAATGAATTCCTCAGCTGAGTAAAGTAAAGAGTAAAGTAAAGGAGTTACTTCTTGAGTACGATAAGGTGGTTCCGAATATCAGAAGAAAGTATAAAGAGGACAAGAACGAAACAGCAATTCGCAGGCCTCTCAATGTGTATTGCAACAATAACTCGAGGTGAATTGACGTACAAAAACTGCTGGAGGCAGAAGCAACCAAAGAGCATGTAGAAGAAGTTGAAGAAACACGCTATCTCACCTCGAACTCCGAGCACGCGAAGATTTGGAACCAATCGACTCTAAAGTAGTCGAAACTTGAAGATGTAGATCTCCATACTGAGTTACTCCCACTTCAAGCACTTGCCCACGTTCTTCAGCCGTTCCACCAGTGCATGCAGCTGCATCAAATTCGGGACCTGAACCACCGTCTGCGATGAAGATAATGTCATTGCTGCGTTCTGACTAGAACACTTCCGTCTCTTATAAAAACTCGCAAAGAAATGACGATAGCTGTAAATCCTCGGGATTTGGTTTTCAGACAAAGACCCTAAATCTGCACTTCATCAAACATGATTGCTCTTACTCGTGGGACATCCTGGGCCATATCAAGAGCTGCCTGCAGTTCCTCCACTTCGACTCGAGGCATGGGCTGACTGAATTGCCATCACCTTAGTTCAAGGGATGATGGAATCAATCGCATCGCACTTTGGTACTCGACTGGTACCATATTTAGTAGGTAGTAGACACACGCACGCATGCCCACATTTGGGAAAGGCATACATTTCCCTTGTACACACCCGGCCATGAATTGGATTGGACTATCACTGGAACAACATCCTCCCTCCCTTCCTTCCTCCCTCCCTCAGTGCATGACTTGTGCCAGACACGCCACCAACTCTGGAAACTCTTATGGCCTTATGTCCATGTGACGGCGTCACGAAGAGAGAGAGGGAGAGAGCTGAAGCACGCTTGTGGCAGAAAGTCCCGAAGCCGGTCAGCTGGGTGAGCTCATACAGTTCTCTCCCGAGTCCGTCTCGTCTCGGCATTTATTCATCATCACTGTCCCTGATTCGGGTCCAACGAGTGAACTTACAGTTTGTTCATGACCAGAGGGCCCAACAAATCAGCCAGTCCATCGAAAGCGACATGAAGAATGCCGCGGTTCAGGCTCAGGCTCAGGGTCCACGCCCTACATGCACGAGGTGGCTACAATCCGCCATGGAATTTCTATTACGTGACCTCGCTTGCTGCGCACGTCTGCCTGCCTGCCTACCTCTCCAGCATCGAGTCCTGCACTCTGATCTGCAGCAGATTTTCCAATGCTCGCGGGTCGGTAGCTTGAGCCATGGTGAGCTCCATACTGATCGACCGGGATCAGTGGATCAAACTCGCACTGTGTCTGTTTGACGGCTTGCTTGCTGATTTATCGCGATTTCCAAGTCTCGGTTTAGCTGGCGAAGTCAAGAACCACAGTCGACAGCAGAGAGACCATTCCATGTGTGTAGACAATACGGGGTCAATACAATATAATAGGTCGGGGAGCTGCGTTTGAGACTGCTGGAAAACTGTAATAAAGTATTCCAGTACAGTGCCTGCCTGTTCATCGGTGCTGCAGCACATCCTCATGAGAACAGTAGAGAATGACTCAAAAGTCAAAAGATACTCCGCGATTCCACGCACGGTTTTGAAGCTCACTCGTCTATGTGAGCTGGACCGCGTACCATTGGCCCAAAAGGCTTCCCGAGAAAACTCAGAAACTCACCCACACAAGAAAGACTCTAGCAGAGAAGGCAATTTCTGCTTGCACATATGGGATGGTCTGGAGGGATTGAGGATTTCAATTGAGCGACATCACAAAGCTCCGTCTGATGAATGTGATTTTCGTGCACTTGTATTAGCGTTTCTCTACTGACGAGGAGGAGAATCAAATATATCGCATGCTCTCTATCGTGCTTCTAGAGCGGGCGGGCGTCGATTTTGCAAGTTAAATACAATGTCTCTGTCCGCTGCGTGTTCGGCCACTTCCACGTCGAGGGTAAGGAAATCGCAATAATCTATGCAAAGTACAGTATAGCAGTTTAGGGTCTAGCAGTTCTGGAATGTGTTTGCGCTATATCCAATTTTGTCTTGAAATCTAAGAATCTCAGAGCTGCATTAGGGAAGATCGGTCCAGGTTGTTTGATTGCTGATCTGATCTGCATCTGATGTATCAGTTAAACGACTCCGTGTACGAACTTCATAACCCAGGAGTTGAATCAGTGCTGGACGTTGTATTCTTTCACGGCCTACAATCGTCACACACCTCTGTACCTCACCTATCAACATGGATATCAAGCGGTTCTCACAAGGAAGTATGGCCGCAGGCCTGGATCCCGCAAGAGTTTCCGGGAGCTCGGATTCTCTCTGTCCAGTACGATGCTTCTATCAGGACATCAGCAGAGCATGGAAGATTAGACCTCTACCTCACAGCCGAAAGTTTGATGCATAATCTTATAAATGCGAAGGTGGGGCAGCATCCTTGGCGTTCAGTTATACTCGTCGGTCATAGTTACGGAGGCCTTGTGATCAAACAATTGTGCTTCCACGCACACTCCAGAAAAAGCAACAAACAAATAGCTCGCTTTCTCAACTCCGTCACAGGAATTTTCTTCTATGGAACGCCGCACCATGGAATTTCATCATTCTTCACTCCAAATGGAACAAAACTAAAGGAGGCTAGCCCTCTACTCGACTATGTCAAGCTGCTTTGCGCAGAATCAGGTCGCCTTCATGAAAATTTTGATGCTTTACGTCTGTCCTACGAGTGGAGCATTGCTGGAGTTGGAGAATCGAGACCTACGATCATGCTAGTGAGTGTGGGACTGACATGTTTGTTCTTTACTTTTATCCTCTTGATTCTAAACTGCTGAAACAGCAGCATTAATTCTGCATCAAAATATCATAGTTTGTAACCCAGTACTTTTATGAAATTGTTCGGATATCACTCACAATAGATCTTGATAGGTTTCCTGAAGTTTGCCGAATCCCAGTTTCACTTTTGGAAATCCATCCACGATACAATATTTTCAGATTACTAGTCTGACCAGTGGTTTGTTCCAACCTGTTCCGAAGTTTAGGATGCAGAGTCTCAGAACGCTGTTGCTAACTGCATTCTCAGAATTCTGAGACTCTGCTGTTGCAGAGTCTCAGAATGTGAGATGATTGTAGTTGAGGCTTCAGCTCGGTACGGCGACTTCACTGTGGAGCATGAGGATCATATCTCTCTCTGCCAGCCCGAGAGCAAGACTTCAAATACTTACGTACGGTTGACATCGTTCCTGCAAAGGTTACAAAGCAATAAGGTTGCACACACGAACATGTCTTCTGTCTTGGCAATTGCAATTGTTCGTCAATAAAAGCAAAGATTAGCCCATGAGACCCTCTTTCAGATGTATGAGAGCCAAAGTAGGTTCAAGAAACCACACGAGTTTATTGTGGGCATCCGTCGATAACTAGATCCCTGTCAACAAGATTTCAAATTGTGGCTTTCAAGCAAGAGGTCATTCTAGTTGAGTGAGATTCTTCCTAACCTACAGATCTGAACTGCGTTTGGCTACTGTGATTGGATACAGGTGAACAGGAGGATTCCTGATAATCTCCAGACGGTGCCGAAGATTGCAATAAGCCTACATTCTCACTTACTAGTAGAGGTTCAAAACATTTTACGCACAGGTCCAGCAGCAGTTGCTCTTTGCGGCATGGGAGGAGTAGGGAAAACAACTCTCGCAAAGCTGTTGTTCAATGAGTTGTGTGCTGAATACGAATACACTTGTTTCGTTTCGAGATGTACGGACATGAAAAATACCAAGGAGATAGAAGACAAAGTGTATTCCTCGATGCATCATCTTGGCAAACAGCTTACACAAGGAGTGGAAAAATGGAAACCGACTGATTTGAGACAGCAAACACTTCTCCTTGTTCTGGATGACATTGACAATGGTAGTCATGTTGCACTTCTCGAGGACATAGCTTCGAAGAACGATTGCGCAAACAGTCGTTACATTGTTACCTCTAAAGATAAAGACATTTGGAACAGTTTAGATAGTTTGGATTCATACGTGTTCGACGTGAAACTCTTGAATGACGAGAGCTCCACAGAGTTATTTATGAGCTACGCATTTCCGTATCAGACCAAACCAAGTCCATCACTGGAGAAATGGATACCCAAGATCGTCAATAAATGTGATGGACTACCATTAACTCTAGAGGTGATAGGCAAGTATCTGAAGACGAAAGTCAGTGAAAGCATATGGATGCAATGTTTCCAAGCTCTGGATGAAGCAAAAGACGCAGGGCGTTTGGATGATAAGTTGTGGGCGCAATTGAAAGTGTCCTACGACCGTTTGGGTAGTCAGGAGAAGGAAATATTCCTTGATGCTGCGTCATTCTTCAGCAATTCCACCTGGAACCTGCGAGAAGCTAAGGCTTGCTGGCGCGTGCTTTATGGCTACGAAGATATCCAATGGCAGACTCTGGTAGACTTGTCTCTCGTCTACGATGTAATAGAAGAGGAAAATATACAAATGCATGAGCAATTAAGGTCTCTGGGAATAAGATTGGCTTCAGGATGGGGAACAGGTGGCAGATGTAGGACTTGGACTCCCAAAAATGTCCCTTCGAGGTTTAATTCCTCAAACTACAATGAGAGGATTACAGAAGGACAGTTCTATTCCAATGATCCAGGCTCATCAAGCACTGGTATGGGAACACCTATTGAGGTACGAGATTATGTTACTTTGACTTTCAAGGTCCCGTCTCCTCTCTATAGTACTCCCATGTCGGATATCGGTTGTTGTTGTAGATCATTGAAATTCACGTTAACTGAGGCACGTCATTGTTTGGTCGGGTGTTTTTCGCTGAACTTTTTTATTGACTCTTGTACACGACCGTTCCAAAGCTTCACTGCCCTTCCTGTTGGTCAACGTACTGCTTTCTTGAACCCAAGAAATTGTCTGAGTAGATCCTCTGCCTTTCCTACATAAATGTCTATCGAAGTCCTTCACTGTCAGTCAGCATGCTTCTGTGAGAAATCAGCAATATAATTTGATAAAGTCGCAGCCTTTCCTTCTTAAACGTAATTCAAAGCAATCAACGCACTGGTTTTGCTTCTCCTAGAAACTCCCTTTAGTAGTATCAAACAACTATCCTTTCATTATGTCATTGATAGCGCACTTTCTCTCTTTATCTTGCTGTCGGGATATTCATCACGTTATATAGTCTCTACACCGCGTTACTGAGTTTGCTCATCCTGACCCTATCTGGACTTCGAAACGAGAAGCGTCTTGTTGTCAAATACCTGGCCTGTGATCTCTAACGGATGCTCCTCCTCACTCAATTTGGACTTTACTGTTAAGGATGTCATTGACTTTGAACCTGAAGACTCGATGGCCCTGATCAAATGAAATGCTACAAGTCTGGTAGGTCAAGTTTAGATCATGGACTATATTTGTGGCCTGGAATGTGAACTAGGCCCTGGGTGTTTTGGTGCAGGAGGTCATAGCGCTACGACTTGAACACTCGATGCTCCTCGACTTGAGAGATATTGGCCAGATGAAGAAGCTGAAATATTTGGATTCCGAGGAGTTGATGTTGAATGAAGTAGGTGGCAAGCTTCCGAAGAATCTGACCCTTCTTCGACTCCGTGGAGAAGTGAACAATCTTCATAACCTGGTAGACCAAGGGCTCGCGAGAAGTTTGGCTGTTCTGGACTTGACGGCACCGCTCACATGTTTGCCAACAACCGTCAGTGACTTTCAAAACCTTGAAGTTATGAAATTCGCAGGCTGCCTCTTCCAATGTCTTCCCGAAGCATTCGGACAACTTCCCAGGCTTTGTCATCTTACATTCACTTCGTGCGAGAGACTTTGTTCACTCCCCGAAGCTTTTGGAGGGCTCTCACAACTGCGATCTTTGGAACTTCATTTCTGTTGGAGGTTGGAAGCATTGCCGGACAGGTTCGGAAATCTTTCCCAGCTACAAAGCCTGGAAATAAGTGGGAGTGATATCTCAAAACTGCCTGAGAGCTTCGGAAATCTGTCCCAGCTACAAAGCCTGGAAATAGAACACAGTCCAATCTCAGAACTGCCTGAGAGCTTCGGAAATCTGTCCCAGCTACAAACCCTGAAAATATATGGGAGTGATATCTCAAAACTGCCTGAGAGCTTCGGAAATCTGTCCCAGCTACAAAGCCTGGAAATAAAAAACAGTCCAATCTCAGAACTGCCTGAGAGCTTCGGAAATCTGTCCCAGCTACAAACCCTGAAAATATATGGGAGTGATATCTCAAAACTGCCTGAGAGCTTCGGAAATCTGTCCCAGCTACAAACCCTGACAATATGGGGGAGTAAAATCTCAAAACTGCCTGAGAGCTTCGGAAATCTGTCCCAGCTACAAACCCTGAAAATATGGGGGAGTAAAATCTCAAAACTGCCTGAGAGCTTCGAAAATCTGTCCCAGCTACAAAGCCTGGAAATAGAAAACAGTCCAATCTCAGAACTGCCTGAGAGCTTCGGAAATCTGTCCCAGCTACAAACCCTGAAAATATATGGGAGTGATATCTCAAAACTGCCTGAGAGCTTCGGAAATCTGTCCCAGCTACAAAGCCTGGAGATACTTGGAGAGAAAATCTCAGAACTGCCTGAGAGCTTCGGAAATCTGTCCCAGCTACAAACCCTGAAAATATATGGGAGTGATATCTCAGAACTGCCTGAGAGCTTCGGAAATCTGTCCCAGCTACAAACCCTGACAATATATGGGAGTGATATCTCAAAACTGCCTGAGAGCTTCGGAAATCTGTCCCAGCTACAAACCTTGACAATATATAAGAGTCCAATCTCAAAACTGCCTGAGAGCTTCGGAAATCTGTCCCAGCTACAAAGCCTGGAGATACTTGGAGGGAAAATCTTAGAACTGCCTGAGAGCTTCGGAAATCTGTCCCAGCTACAAAGCCTGGAGATACTTGGAGAGAAAATCTCAGAACTGCCTGAGAGCTTCGGAAATCTGTCCCAACTACAAACCCTGATATTAAAATAAGTTTGAGTGATATCTCAAAACTGCCTGAGAGCTTCGGAAATCTGTCCCAGCTACAAAGCCTGAGAATATATGGGAGGAATATCTCAAAACTGCCTGAGAGCTTCGGAAATCTGTCCCAGCTACAAAGCCTGATAATAGGTGGAGAGAGAGTCTCAAAACTGCCTGAGAGCTTCGGAAATCTGTCCCAGCTACAAAGCCTGGAGATACTTGGAGGGAAAATCTTAGAACTGCCTGAGAGCTTCGGAAATCTGTCCCAGCTACAAAGCCTGGAGATACTTGGAGAGAAAATCTCAGAACTGCCTGAGAGCTTCGGAAATCTGTCCCAGCTACAAACCCTGAAAATATATGGGAGTAAAATCTCAAAACTGCCTGAGAGCTTCGGAAATCTGTCCCAGCTACAAACCCTGAAAATATATGGGAGTAAAATCTCAAAACTGCCTGAGAGCTTCGGAAATCTGTCCCAGCTACAAAGCCTGAGAATATATGGGAGGAATATCTCAAAACTGCCTGAGAGCTTCGGAAATCTGTCCCAGCTACAAAGCCTGATAATAGGTGGAGAGAGAGTCTCAAAACTGCCTGAGAACTTGGGCCGTCTCGCTAGTCTGCGGGTCCTGAAGCTTTTAGATATGTTGAGACTCCAAGCCTTGCCGGATACTTTTGGGCAGCTTTCACAGTTGTCGCACTTGACGATGCAGGGCGGCACCATCATCCAAAAAGTCCCGGAATCGTTCGGCAATCTGGCCAACCTGTCCAGATTGGACATCATAGAGTGTCCCTTTCTTAACTACTTCGGGGTTCCGAAGAGCACCGAAGTATGCATTCGAGGAAGACGGATGATATGAAGAGATGTTCGCCCTTGAGTTATTCGAGCGGAGCGTAGCGTTTGGAGTAGAACAACTTCACGTGGAGTCTTTTTTGGAGTGGTTGTGAAGGTTATGTTACCAATCAATATTCACATGTTTTCTAGTGTGGAAAAATAGGTCAATTTCACTAGAAGAACTCAAGTTTTAGTTTTGTTCATGTTCGAAAGTAGTCAGTGAGTGGTGGTGCGATCTTTCCACTTGGTCGCAATTGACCATAATTTGGTGATTTGGAGGACGGGCGAAGTTTTGCGGACGTAATCAAGGTTTTCGTGAGATTGTAATCTAGTTGTAGTTTGGAAGTGCAGGTGAGGGATTGTAATGTGCAAGGAACTGGTAGAGGAAAATTCGAGTTCGGTTTTGGCCTTTAGACTTAGGCCGGAGCAATCGAGTTGATTTGCCTCTGTTTCTTCAGCAGTGGGCAGTGCCGGTTACGTGAGGATCACTTTGCATTGGGCATGGATGTTGGAGCCTTCGATCAGCAACTGAACTTGAATTCGCGAGATGGGCCTATCCCGGGGATCTATTGAGAGTTGTTAGTGGGGCGGAAGTTTTGGGATTTCTGTGTTCGGATGGCTATGGCTCTTCGATCTATAGTGGGGTCCCAATTGTACAGTTCTGCAAAGGAGTGATGAAAGCAGCGGAGTGAAGGTTGGCAGAGAAAAGAGCGCTCTATTCGTAAGCGTCGGAGTTGAGTCTTGGTGAAGATTCAAAGTGGTGAACCTCAGTAATCTGGCCTTTGGTGCCAAATTGGACGCTGTCATGTCATCCAGATGAACGTCGTGGGTATTTTGCTTTATCTCTCAGTAGCATCTAACTCGTCTGGAGGTTGCTCTGAGTGTGCTTGTGTACTTGGCTTTGGATTTTGTGTTCTCCTGCTTTCGTGTCCAATTGACTCTCTTAGCTTCCCGTGTACTTCAGTCGAGTCACAGTCTTTTCCGTAGGTTGAGTTTAGATTCAGAACTCTGCACTCGGAAACAAATCGCCAGAGCTTCAGTTAGGAAATCTACTTCTAGCTCCTGCAAGTTCGAAGAAGATTGCTCCGAATCATGTGAGCCCTCCATCGTAAGTTTATGCTGGGTCTCCACTCACCTCGCCTCCAGTTTCCAGACCAATTCATCATTGGAACGACAAAGTTACACAAAGGATCGCAGGAGTGCAGTTGTTTCACGCTGCTTCCTGAAATAACGAAGAGTTTGCTCGTATTCTTACGAGGTGAAGTGGTCTATTTACACATAATTATCTAACTCGGTCACGATTTGAAGAGTGTTCTTCGATTTGACAATTTTCACCGGAGAATTTGACCAAAACGTAACCAATCAAGGATTGCTCCTTCTCACTTCTTGCGCTGTTATCGTCATCGCGACTGTCTTACATTCGAATTGTGGAAGGCATCTGCATCAACTCCCACCTTCACTCTGCGCTCTACTCCTTGTACAATCCTGTTGTAGATTCCCTCGCACTGACAACGATTGCCGACCGATGGTTTTCATGTCTCCTATGGCTTCTACTTCAAACCGACATAAACCCTGTTCCAACAGCGTTGACACCCTTGCTCACTCTGTAGATGTCACAATTGCTATGTTTGACTTTGATTTCCTTGTGCAATGTGGTTCATTACATGGACTGAATCAAATTGCAACATCCAACCGTGGATGTATTTGGCTCCCAATTTGTTAAACTCCATATAAACCGCATTACCGCAGTCTCCAGCTTCGAATTATTTTTTTAGGGATGCAGTTTCTACGTATGAATCAAAATGATTTCAAACCGTATTCAAAATTATGCACCCATAAGTAGCAATAGAATAGCCTCACTTGCTCAAGATCGAATAAGGGCAATAGAGCTCCAGCAATCGGCAATTTGAGCTCGATTTGCACCTGCTGCTCGAGCACGGAGATCCGGCTGAAGATGCTGTAGCTCTGATCGTTGCTCGCGTCGCCGAGAGCGTGGGCGACCAGACATCGTCGATGGGCGTCCCCTGGAAGTTGCCACCGTGGACGGCCCAGTCGCGGGCCACGTCAATGAGCGCGCTGTCGTTACCGAATCAAATCGAGGCGAAGCGCCACCTCGGCCACGAGCGCCAGCACGTGGCCACCAGGCCATCCTTGTGTTGAAGAGCGAACGGCTTCAGCCGCCCCACGAGCTTCAGAGCGTCGTGTGCCGTCACGACGTCGCCGGTCTCGGTCGCGGCTTTGGAGTCGGGGCGGCCCGTCGATGCGCTTGCCGAGGAATGTCTGCAACGTCTGCAGGATGGACCACCGAATTCCCGAGTAGCCCCCGAGAATTCGGTGCACCGATCGTCCGAGCACCACCGTCACGTCCGGCCTGGGCCACCATGAGCGTGAATCCCTGGATCAGAACCTCCTCGGTGTCGTGAAATTTGTGCACCAAGTCGGCCCCTGGGAGGAGTGGCCCGGGCTGCTTTCGCCCAGTGCAGCGGATCCTAAGGTCGTGAGCACTCTTCGCCATGAGGCTCAGGCAGTACTTCACCGAGTGCCTTACTCTCCGCCCTTCGCAGTGGTAATTTGGATCTCCTGAAAGTTGGACGAGAAGACTTCGCTCATCATGACTCCAGAGCTCCGGATTGAAGCTTATTGAACTGATCTACATCGTCTACCGAATCATCGCGTCGAGCCCGTCTGCCAGCCTTTCAGCCGAGCGCTGAAATGATGAACGGAGTCATCGTGCGAGGCTGTTGTACAAGAGATTTGGAAGTGGAGACTCTTCGAAGGTCGCCACGGACGAGGAGTGTGAATGAGGTGGAGCAAGAGCCATTGCCACGCTTGTTTGAAAGAAGGCTCGGACTCCGATGCCTCGCAGCTCGCATGAAGCTGTCGCTCTGAGAGGAAGATAATTCACTCTGACAGTGCTGTCCGCAGAAAGAAAGCAGACAGAGCGGGCCTGATCGAGACACAGAACCACGTAGGGCGTTGCAGTAGAGTTCTGAATTTCCGCACATTATATAGCTTCGCCCTCGCTGCATTTTTGACCTCTTGGTGCTGTGACTGGGACCATGAAGACTAGATCTTGGTGGGTTGACACAGGACTCCGCTCGAGTCCACAGGAATCTAAGAGTCCTACAAATGGGGACCGGGATAGAGAAATGAATTATTTCTCCAGCTCACAAATAGAGAAATGAATTATTTCTCATATGCTATCTGAATATTCTGGATGATGTATATATTAACACTCTTTCTTACTTTGCTTGCGAGACTAGTTGCGCAAAGTTGTTCGCATGCATCGGGTTTACGAAAGAATCAAATTTCAAAAGCCAACGCAAGTCTATCTGTTTGTCTTCAAAGAAAATAATCCATTGCAAACAATTGAAGCAGATTCTCTACTATGCATTCACGTGGATAGCATGAGTCTGCTCATTCCTTCACATACGGTCTCGTACAATTTATAAAGTAAGGAGGTTCAACATGTCCAAGTCTCTCGCTTTGGAGAAGGTCCTTCCTCGTAGGTGGACGAGTCTTACTCTAAGATCAGAAGAGAGAGGAAGGAATTTCAGCGCAAAAAAAAATTCGGGGGACTGTGGCTGACCATGACCATTTGGTCAATGTTGTCATGTTTGACAGCACCGGTCTGATGCAGATATTGCGGTCCTCATGCCGTGACTTAGAAGACTCAAACTCATCCACCTGTCGATGACATCAGACTTATAATATAGTGAAGCATTTAGTGTAAGTTTGCAAGGTATATATACGAACATGACAGCCGGTTCTCATCCAGGTCTGCGGGGATTTGTTTGCATTGTATCCCTGCTGCTTGTTGAGACGACTAACGAACTCACAAATCCGGCATTCCAAATTTCAATCTGTCGTGAGTGCTGAGTCTGAGGGTTTGACAATTGTGTTCAGTGGCAGAAATGGCCAACAACGGCACAGCTACCGCTTACCGCCACCAGAGGGCCGAAGGGCCAGCGACAGTTCTTGCCATTGGCAAAGCTACTCCCCCAGGGATTATCCTCAAAGCGAATATCCGGACTTCTTCTTCAATATCACCAACACCAATGACAAGACTCATCTCAAAGCCAAATTCGCCCGGATATGTAAGCATTGCAGCTGTTCTCCATCTTCTACCATCATCATCGTTGCATAGAGTGCTCTAATTGTCTTTGAAAGCTCATTCACATTGCAATTCTAGCTCAAAATTGTGCGCTTTGACTTCTTAAGTTTCATGTGGAGAATGAGAACTTATATCCACGTCTCTTCTTGTTCAGGCAATAATTCAAGAATCAACACGAGGTACTTCCATTGCACCGAAGACGTTATGAAGGCCAATCCTTCAATGTGCACGTACCTGGAACCTTCATTCGATGTTCGAGTGAAGGTTCCAGGGTGCAAATGCAAGAATTCACAGGATGGACCACCGAATTCCAGGGTGCAAGTGCAAGTATTTATTTGCACTTGCATGAAGGAATTGTTTGATACGACTTTGAGTTTTTTTTACTTCCGTTTGTCTTTTTGCAATCTGAGTTGCAAAGTAACTTTTTTTACCTTTCCTAAATTTGCAATTGAAGCTTTGAATCTTTTTCTTGTTTCAAGTCATCTTTGTGGTTTACGATGTTTATTGTCCTTTGACTTTTCAAGCCAAGTCAATTTTCCTCAATGATGAGTTGGGCTTATCTAGCATGGTTGTATGCCACATGTGTGCAACAGGAAGTATTCTACCATTACTCCATTCTTGGTGAGACTTCTTGATATGTCCAATGCAATGCCGGAGCTCTAGCTCTCCCACTTAGAAGTCCAAGCATGCTCTTCACACTCAATTGGTATGGCTGAAGGAGATTTTTGATGAAAATCCTAGTATGATCAAAGTGGGAGAGCTAGAGCTCCGACATTGCATTAGACGTATCAATTTTGCAGCTCAGATTGCAAAAGAGCACGAAGAAGGCCAAAAAAACTTGAAGTTTGATCAAACAATTCCTTCAAGCAAGTGCAAATAGACACAAATGCAAAAAGGAAAAAGCTTGATTACTAGTAGATACCATTGACCTTTACAATAAACTAGCTGCTGAGCAAGGTGTTGCATAACGGCACCCAATTCTTGAATTTAATGAAATACAAGTAAGTGACCGTACACATTATGTTTGTTTGAAAACTTAAGATCTGAAGTTGATGAGACTTTTAGTTTCAAAATTAGATCATTCTTCTCTTCTGATGAGTACTCTTAGAGACCGAGTGCATTTTTATGTAATTTGCATCAACTTGTTTTACTAAATAGCTCACATTTGAGAATTGCTTTAAGTCTGAAAGTGAAGCAATCAATAGCTCATTTTCATTGTCAAACATCTAAGCTTGTAAGTGACCTATCACAAGTAACAGCATCGTATATGCCACAGCTACCTCGTCATATATAGTTGTTTTATACTTTGGAACCTTATTACAACAAACTAGCTACTTGTCTTTTGTCAGGGATAAAATCGAATGGAGTGAAACCTTCGTTTCCAAGCTGCAAGCCCAGCAGTGTAGTGAGCGATCATGGCGGGAGTCTCCGGGGGCAAAATGGAAGAGGCAATATTGTATAGACACTATGCAAAGGTGCCACACATCATCAAAAGTAGTAGACATAACTGAAAATGTTTGCTGCAAGGTTATACTTTCTCATGAGCTTTTTTCCATAAGAATTACATTGAGAAGCATTGGAGAAAAGATCATGTGGACTGCCATCTCCAGATTACACAAAAGCTTCCATCTAGGCCAAAAACAATTGGAGTTTCTAGGAAGTCGGACAAGAAAAAGTTGATTGTCTCCTGTGACAAATATTTTAGAAAAATTTTGCCAACGTTGTATCAAGCACAAGCAAGACAAATTGGACTTCATCTGAGGCGAGGTATGCAATTCTTCTCAGACATGTTTTTTTTTAATTTGCATTCCTTACTTAAAATCAAATTCATGAGAACTCTCACAAAAATCACAACTTGTTGGTTTTAGAGTGTGATAACCACAAATATTCTACAAAAATGACAATTTGAGTGATGTGACCAGATTGTACAGTGCTATATTGACTAGAAGATATATTCACTAATGACGAGAGAAAATATAGGTGAGTTGAAGGATACTTCAGTGATTATGAGGACCATGCGACTCGGTTGCAAGAATTATCTTCTCAACTGAAAAATATTGAGAATTCTAGAGTTTGCAAATTTTGTGTTTGATCATTTGGATGAGCTTCTTGATCCTTGTTAGAGAAAGTCATAGTTTGTAGATTGTATTCATGAGTGAGTGAAGGGAGAGCAGGCCAAACAATGTAAGAGCAGTCAATGTCAAGGTATGAAGAAGGTGGAGATCGATATTGAAGAGGTTGAATCAATGAAAAAATCTTGTGGAAATCTTGATTGCAGATGACAAATGCAACAATAAGATTAGATGCTCGACACGAAGCCGAGATAGATGAAGAGAAACAACACCGCTCGCTGCTTCCCCAGCTCCATGATTGAGCCACCACCACCGTCACAATCAAAAATCCATGCTCCCTCGTTCAATCCCACAGGAAATCCAAGCTTTGTTGTGTTTCCCCGTGAAGCGACAAAGAACTTTATCTCCTTGGTCTTGAGCAACGGAACGAAACTGGAAAAGCTTTTGAGCTTTCGTGGAAGGGGGACGATGGGTCAATACACCCATGAACTACCTTCTTGGGGCGAGCTTGTAACACTAGGGTTTAGAGAGAAGCTCACTCGAAGATAGAAACGTAAACTCGGAAGATGAGAGATACCAACAATGGTTCTCCTCTCCCTTATATATCTCTCACCAACAAGTACAAGGAGATAAGATTAAATCCCCACTATCCATCCCACTCCTAGTGGATGGATGACGTGGCGGATAAGCCTAACAAGCACACGGATCGCTGACGTGGCGCACCCAACTAACACACTAACTAACACACTCAATCCTTACCTACAAGCACACGGATTGCTGACGTGGCACTGTCAACTAACACATCCACTCTGTATCTACCAAGTGCGTGGATCGCTGACGTGGCAGCTATGACTAGTGCACACTAAAGTATCTACATCAATATTTAGAGTAACCTCTACTTTAGTTCTAACTAACTAAAGATGGTTACAGAGTCCGAGCGGATTGTCTCCTCGATCATAAATGTTGCTGGCTGGCGAGCGGGCGGGCCTCATCACTAAGGGCTCGTGAGAAAAGAGGAAACGCGAGCTCTGCCCGCAGCCCGACCCCCCCCCCCCCCCCCCCCCCCCGCAGCCCGACTAGGGAGGGCCGCCTCCCAACCCCCTACCCCGCAACCCGACTAGGGATGGACGCCTCCCGACTCCTGTCTTAAATACACTATGGGCGCAACCTTTTCTCTTTCATCATCGTAAGAAAGGTCGTTCACCATATTGAGTGGCACACCAGGTCGGCATATAATAAAACCTTCGTACACTCCATATAATAATGCAATATTTTCCAAGACCAAGATGTTGGGAAGAACTTTAGTCAAAAATTAAATAAAAAAACTCCTTCACTTTATCGCTGGATATGATACAATCCTCTGGCACAAAAGTTTGGCATTACAAGTGATAACACTGCCGTTCTAAATTTTATGGTTTTATTGTGGTCAAACTTGCTCCCTTCGTGTTTCAAAGCAACCCATTAAAGAACCTTTGTCATCACGCGATTTAAGACGCCTGAAGATCCATTAAGACACATTAAGACGTCTTGTTATCACTTTATAATTTTGCTTTTATGAAATCTTTCATTATGAGTTCTTTTGTGATTCTCCATCATGTTAATACATGAATAGATTTACTTAAATATAAAAATTGAAGAGAAATAATTTTCTTAGAAACTAAAGCTTTAGGAAAAAACGAAGCTAGTTTTTTTTTGGGTAAGAAGAGTGGAAGCCCCAAACATGCTACTCCATTTCTCCTCCCCTTTGCCAATGGAGTAGAAATGGGGCATGGGAGAGGAAAAAAAACGAAGTACAAGTTCCCTGCGGGGAAGGAAGTAGGCCTCGGCAAGGTAAGGTAAAAGGTAACCGAGTAAGCCATGGGTCTCTACCTTTACCTTACCTTTTACCTTACTCGTGTCACTATAGTCTACCTTTACCCTACCTCAAGGTAATTACCGGGTTATCCGATACGGATTCTAAAAGATTCAAAATTTACTTTTACATGAGGGTTACCGGGTAATTACCCTATTACCTCTGCCCTAAAGGGTAAAAGATCAGGGTTACCCGGTATTTACCTTATGATAATTATATTTCAATTAAACATATTGGTATGTTTAGGATGATTCGAAGTATTACGTCCTATGAAATTTATCTTCTAATATCAGCATCATAATTATTTTATTTATCAAAATTATATAAATTTGATACAACACAAACTTTACTTTAACAGTTATTTGGAAAACCAATCAGAATATATTTTGATATAAAATTTTATTTTTTAAATATATTCGAAACCAGTTCAAATAAACGACTAAGATTTGCTTTTCAATAGAATGACTTATTCCTCATCAAAATATTAGTATTTAATATTTCATCATTATCATAAGTGTAATTATATCTTTGTTTACATGTTATACAAGTAGGAAGAATTCATTCTTATACCGTGTTACATTTATATTTCATTTTTATCAGTAAATTCAAGTGAATTAAAATTTGTGCATTTTGCAAACTGGCTAGTATTGCTCACAACTTTCTGTGATGATTGTCATGATTTTCAAGTTCAATTATGTGATAATATTTCATAAATTCATATTTATGTGCTTCTCTTAATCTCAAGTTTGTAGCCAACACCATTTAGGTAAATAAATTTATATCTTTTGGATAAACATTGCATTTCAGTCTCGATTGAAATCATTCTTGTAATTTATTTAGTTTTAAAAAATATTTCTGCATTTAAATTTGGTTGCTTCACATATTAATATGATTAAAATGTTTTTAATTCGTCTGAATCTATTCTATCATGGATGATCAAATAATCATTATAAGATAAGATTAAGGAAAAAAATATAACAAAGCAAATGTCTAGTGTTTCTTGATTCATTTTTATGCTCTTCAATCTTGAGTTGTTTATATATTTCTCTTTACAAATGTGATGTTGATTCTTTGGCATGAATAATAATGATGATCGAATGTATATTTTTCCTTTTCTATTTCATTTATTGGTTTATTTTTATTTTATTAATTGCAATAAATATATTGAAGCTAATGATATCATGAAAACTATGTACAGTTTTAAATGTTGTGAGTTTTTATAATTTTCATAAAAATGATATTTTTAACTTTGAAATAATATATGTCTTTTAGAAACGATCCATAAATCTATTATAATTATATTATTTCAGATTATTTGTTATTCAAGAATTTAAATTCTATTAATCACAATTTTATCTTTAAAATTTTCATCTATAAATATTGCAACCTAGAAGAGTTCAATCATTGTTATTCAAACAACATTGAAGACATTATTGGAAGTAATTCTGTGTATAAACATAAAAAATTATGTTTAATTTTGCTTTAAAAAATCCAATATGATTTATTTAATATACTGTTATTATGCATAAGGGAAAATCTTTGTACAATATTTCTAATAATCAATTCCATTTCTTCTTTCCAAATCTGAATCAAAAAAGTATCACATCACATTGATAATGTCACTATGTGTGAATCAAGTTGTTGGTTTTTTCAAAATTTGACTACATTGTCTTTTGTACTAATTGTGAAACTAAATATGTAATCAAGAATAATTATGTAACAAGTAATTTGAATGGGTATTTACATATGTGCAGAGAATCAATCTCATGTACATGACTTGATAAAAATCCATCGATGATATAAAAAATTTAATATGTCAATAAATGATATCTTGACATTCATCACCAAGAATACTTAAATAATTATTGATCAGAAGATAACCATTGAATCAAACTTATTCAAGGATAAAATATATTCCCAGTTATTTTGTTAATGATCCTGTTAGCGCTGAACATGTCTAACCTAACTTAAAAGTATCGTATAATCGTGCAGCGGAAAATGTCAGTTCAGACAAAGAGACTACCACAAGGAATCTACTTGGTCAGAGCATTTACCGACAAATGTTCTTGTACCTCGTACTTCTCCATTGTAGAACGTAGACAGACGTTCTTGTGCCGTTCTTGTACTGTACCGAGCAGATGTTGAGAGGATTGGACAGAGAGGAACGAAGGCGGGAGCCTTGTACGAGATTGTAACACTGCCTTGTAACAGTCGATAGGATCCGGATTTCTGATTGCGCTGTCGTTTCGATGTTGCGTTTGGCTGGCAACGACAAGGATTTCTTTCCGCCCTCGGGATCCGGTCGGGCTCTGCTGATTGGTCGAATCCTGTGCTTATAATGCTGCTGACTGCAATTGCATGCCCTTGACTCTGTCTGCAAATGATGCACGGAGAAATTGGGGCCGAGGACTCACTGATTCAGTGCGTCGACAGATATGGCGGCAACCTGCGGGACGCAGTTTTTGAACAATTACTACGTCGACGATGATGATGAGGAGGAGGAGTCGTCGACCGACGCACTGATCGTGCTCTTGACTCATCTTGAGCGAGTAAGGATTTAATGGGAGCCTGCATCGCATCCCAAAGGTTCTTCTGACTCTTTGAGTTGGATCGGGATGCTTCTTTCGTAGGATTGCACTGAGAAACTGTCCCTCATTGTGCTAAGGCTTCTTAAGAGAATGTCTTGAGAATTTTCGACATGGAGGTCATCTCGCCCTGCCCCTCCTCATTTGACCTTTTCTTCCCGTTCTAGGGTAGGTGCGCGAAAGAGCATGATCGTGATCATGAGAGAGCCCTAGTCGGGCTTTTCGTAGAACTGCTCTGAGACATGGCTGTACTTTTGCTGTATACGTGCCTTTTGGAACTCGACCATCACACGGCTTTGCACAGAGGTTGGGTGGTTGCGACAGAGGTACAGTGGAGGATTGCACTCTATTCAGATTGAGGTTTCCGCTACTGTGCAGGGACGGTGTATGTTCCACCAATCTCTGTGGGTGCTTAAGCAAGTCACGAGGTTTTGAATTCCATTTGCGCGCCCTTTAGCTACAACCCCTGGTCGAGAAAGACTTATTTACACGACGAGGTTGGGCGTTCAGTTTTAACTTCACAGTACAATCAATACCATCTTCAGAACAAACCTACCTCTAAATCACAACTTCTGCCAAAAGTGCAAGCTGCATCAAGCCCCGTTTAACAAAAGCGCATTTTCTGTGAACATAACAAAGGTAAGCTTTGCCCTAGGAACGTCGAAAATTCGTCGATCTTCGTGCACAAAAAGGTTTGTTAGATTCCTTCATCGAGTTTCTTGTCTGATTTAAAGTGCCAACTTCAAGAAATTCATTCGGTCATGCTCGACCTAAACCTTATTGATTGGAGTGTATGGGTGAATCTGCATAAATATAAGCGAACCAATTTGCAATGAAAATGACAATAAACAACTGCTTTCCATTCCGAACGAGGTCATACCTGTCTTTGACCGTCAGCCTCTATGTCGTAGTACCATACTCGAATTTGCAGACGGAAGCCGTAGGAGAAAAGGTAACGTGCTACATGTAGCATCTGCACAGAACGCTGGCTGTGCCAGTGCCTGTGGAATTGAGTTGCGGTACGGCTGACGAAGTACGCAGTTCAAATTTTCAGAGAATATCATGAATCAGAACGTCGTCGGCTGGGACCATCGGACAGGTAAGAAAGCAGATTGACCATAACCCAGCTGGCCTCACGGGCTGATTCAGGTCGTGATCTACAAATGTGGGTCCAGGGATACGCAAGCAATATTTTGAAGTATGCAGCGAATTCGAGGACGAGCTTGTCAGGCAGCAAAAAGCTAAACGCTTTCGACAGACGCAATGTACTGGCCTTCCACTCAGGATTGGTGTTGGAAATAGGTTTGTAGCTGAGGGTCAACTTATGGCAACTAGTGTCGGGATGACGGTCGATGGCCTCGATTTGTTCTTTATCCACTGGCCAGACTCTGTTCACCGTGTGCTCAGACCGGAAAAAGGTTGTGTCCCTCGAACAACTCTACGTTCAGGTCAGAGAGAGTGAGTGAGTGAGAGAGAGAGAACACCAAGACAATGAGATCCAGCCATAGAACATATTTCAGATTTCATTGAGCTCTTGTGGTTCACCATTTGGATGGAACCTAGCAAACATGGACAACTCAAGTTCCAAGAAATCTGACTTACAGAAATAGCTGAAAATAGATTTGACGATGGTGACCTGCGACTGAATCATCCTGATACGCCAAGGCTGTGAATTTTGCCAGGGAGGCTCAACTGATGTCGGTATGAGCTAGTCCAGCCTGGTTGAAGGGACAGGCAGGAGAAATCGCTCCAAGACGCTTTCAGAAAGCTCGGACAGGCACACATGAACTTGTGGCTAAGGTTTGGGGGTTTCTCTCACTGTCAAGTTTGTCTTCTTAGTTTAAAAACATGTCGGTTCTGCGAGCACTGTAGAAAAAGGTTGAAATGAGCCACATGGTCTCGTGGGGACGACGGGCTATTCCAGCGACCTCAAGGCGGCGGAGGCCGGATGTAAATCATTGTGTGGTCCGGAGGTTGGCCTGTGAGGTGAGTCAAATAAATGATAAAGACAGCTTCATGACATCGATGACCTTCCGAGTCCTACCTCAGCACCAACGAGATACCTTTGGTGTTTGATACATCTTTTATCGACTGACAGATGTTTTGGCAATAGGCCAGCAATCAATCAGCGGCCTGTAGATAAAATGGGGGAGTTGTAAGGCCAGGCGAGTGTCAACTGCACTCACAGGAAAGTCAGCGAAAGTTGAATGTTTGAGGATGGATGGGATGTAGTTATGAACAAGTTCAGTTTGGTTTCGGGGACTGTATTCATCTTGTTTAAGAAATGTAACCCGGTGGACATAAACTCAACCGGCTGTTATGTCTACGAAATTCTTACGGTTGCTATCGACTCAGTCAAATCCCATCCAATGCTCAAAACTTGTTCATAACTTTAGTTATGAATAAGTTTAGTCATAGTTGTAAACTATGACTAATTTTTTTCATGGTTCGACCGCAAACCTGGCAGGATACGTAGAAATAACAGACGATGTGCTTACAGGAAGGATCCAGAAGCTGAATATAGTACCGTGATGAGGCGGGAGCTTGCAAAGATGATCTACGATGACTTGTCTAAGACGGGTTGCCGTACGATCAATGCCCTCAAGAAGAGGAAAATCTCGGAATCTGGTACTCGTTCTGCTAGACAGGAGGTTGAGGCGGACATCAACAAACACAAGATGGTCTTCTTCGATTTGCGAGAGAATAATCTTATAAGTCCTCGACATTCAAGGCAGCTTCAAAACTTCAGAAATGAAATCGAGATGGACATCAGGAACCGAAGGGATGTTGAGCCACCACCAAATGTAGGATCCACCGTGTCGTGGGAGATTCTACAAAAAATTCAGGAACTGGAGAATACCAAGAGCACACCGAGAATTAGGAAAAATGTACCAGCCTCCCGTGCTACTCATCACCATCATCCAAGCAATCGTTCTCTACCTCCCAGGACGTCCACGGGTAGCCTGCCCATAAAACCTGCCAAATCGGCAGAGGTTACCTGGGCAATATGAGAGATTTCTACGGGATAAGGGCCATTAAACAGGACTTTTCGGTGCACTTCAGGTGAGTACGTGAAAGAAGTGTTCCATAATGTATATATAGTCAACAAACCGAAAGAAGTCAGTATCCATGTGTTCTAGCAGATTGTTAACCATCACTAAGTTTGATGACAGTGTACAAGTCGTGTCTCATAGAATCGAATAGCAGACACTGATACAAGTCCAGTACGGAACATACATGGACTGCAGATGATTAACAGATTGATGTAGTAGAGCTTACAGCTCCTACTTGGTAATCAGTTCGTTGAAAGTCCTTCTGATTGAGCAGGTGTCCTTCCATCCATGAAATCTTCCTGCGGTTAGAAATAATGGGAGTACAATCTTGTCGAAGATGCAAATCGAAGTTGTCCTCATGACACTGAGTCGAATCAACGCACTCCGGTGTGAAAGTATAAAACACAAAGCTCGACAATAGCATGCTAACAAGGATTCCATGAGACAAAAACCAGGTACACCATCATTTTGAGCGAGCAGAACAAAGCAGTTCAAAAAAATGTATTATGGCGGATATTTACATTAGATTCACAATCAAGATTGACTGGTATCATGCCCTGTCTAAATCATTCGTTATGGGCATTCTCCACATATAAGAGCTAGTTTGCACCATCTAAAAGCACGGGCAATCTGTAATGCAGGCTGATAGAGTTATCAGTCTGCCTCGTTCCAGGAATGAAATATTGGAGCATAATCAACAAGCAGCCATCATTCGGAGCAATTCCTGCACAAACAATATGCCGACGGTCATCGGTCCAGGAAAAATAGAAAATACCGCGAGTTTGAAAAAGGCTGAAACTTGCTCTTGATTCATATACACCCTTCATTTACCATAATCATGGTCCACATAACACTGGAGACTTACCACAGAAAGATGCATCAGGCTTGGTGTGATGACACTGCAAACTCTTGACGAACTGCTTAACGTCGACTTTCTGAAAAGCGTTGTACATAAAAGCCAAGTTAAGGAATCTCTTCCGAACAAACCACAGACAGATGAGTTCGTTCATCCAGCAATTCGGAGCAAGAAATACGCAACAGTTCGGAAATTTGGAAAAAGCAAAAACTTCATTCATGACTAGCAAAAAATCTCTTAGGTGCTAAGCTCTGACGCACACCAGAAGGTACATACCACCACAGAAGCTAATGACTTGTCTAAGGCATCCCGAAGGCGTTCTGAAGAGTTCAAGGTCGCGTCTATGGAATTACCATCAACTGCAAAATAAATTCAAAAATGCTTGTCAGAACATTTGCTTGGAGATTCTGTCGTGCGTGAGTGATACTCCACGTACTCCAAAGACGTTATTCTCGTACTGATGTTGGTCTAATAAACGATAAACCTTTTCTGCTGAAGGTTCAGAAGCCCGTGATGAAATTTTATTTTTAGTTTTCAATGACGTTTCTCCGTCTTCTGGAATGCACCACCATCGTCTTTTTCCATTAAGTGAGGGGTCCATAAAGTGACCTTCACTTACTAGAGGGACCCTTCACGATGTACCATGGGAAGGCTAAATGGATCAATGATTTTAAGCAATTCCTCAGCTGAGTAAAGAAAAGGAGTTACTTGTTGAGGACGATAAGGTAGTTTCGAATATCAGAAGAAAGTATAAAGAGGACAAAGAGGACAAGAACGAAACAGCAATTTGCAGGCCTCTCACTGTGTATTACAACAATAACTTGAGGTGAATTCACGTACAAAAACTGCCAGAGGCAGAAGCACCCAAAAAGCATGTACAAGAATTTGAAAAAACACGCTCGAACTCTCACCTCGAACTCCGAGCACGCGAAGATTTCGAAACTCGGAACCAATTGACACTAAAGTAGTCGAAACTTGAAGATGTAGATCTCCATACTGAGTTACTCCCACTTCAAGCACTTCCCCCACGTTCTTCAGCCGTTCCACCAGTGCATGCAGCTGTATCAAATTCGGGACCTGAACCAACGTCTGCGATCAAGATAATGTCATTGCTGCGTTCTGACTAGAACACTTCCGTCTCTTATAAAAACTCGCAAAGAAATGAGGATAGCTGGAAATCCTCGGGATTTGGTTTTCAGACAAAGCCATCAATCTGCACTTCATCAAACATGGTTGCTCTTACTCGTGGGAGATCCTGGGCCATATCAAGAGCTGCCTGTAGTTCCTCCACTTCAACTCGAGGCATGGGCTGACTGATGGGAACATCTTGCACTACGGCTGATCTGAACCCCTGCAGTCGAGCAATTGAAATGAGCGGTCCCATCTTCGACACCATTCGGTATAACTAAGTACTCACAGCTATAGCACTCAAGAATTTAAATGCACCTTGCTCTCGATGGTCAAGTAAGGTGTTGGCCTGTCGGTGATTTTCGCGCGCTTTTTGACAAGTTTAATCTGCAGCAGATCCCCGTCCATGCTCACACTGCTCTTCAGGGCCCGGGATAATAGACCGAGATCCACAGTGAATGCTATCCGGTCGTCATACTGGCTTGAAAGCCGATAATCCTCAAAAATGGCCTCCTGCATCGCGCCATTCGATCACAATATACAGCTCGTAAGTCAAGCGAGGGGAAAAATCGCCACATTCTATCGAATAGGCGCTAACCAGGACCAGGAGGTCAAAGAGGAAGCAAACTTTATACCAACCTTCGTGAACTGGGCAATTGCTTGGACACCACTCGTGTTGAGTACATTATGCAGAAGGATAACGTGATGCTGTGTCAATAAAATGTGGCAAGTTTTTCCGATCTTCTCCAAAGCCGGCAAGAAACCTGCAACAGAAGATCACGATCAGAAATATCACTCTCTCTTCTGGCACGCTCGCAAAGCAACCGTGACGACAATGAACTCCCGAATCTGCGGGCTGACAAACAGAACGTTTCAAGTGCGGTTTGGCAGAGACGATAAAACTCACGCCGTTCCAGCAAATTCACTCCATAATCGGTGAGGACAGCGCGGAATTTCATGATGTTTGAATGTCGAGGATTATCCAATCTCTCCTCCCCGTCGCACAGTGTTCCCTCTTTACTGCCGGAGTCCTCAAACTCTGGTGGACCGTCCGATGGCGATGATCGCCGAGGTTTCGATTGGGAAGAGGAAGCAAGGACGGACAGACTTGATTCCTGGCACAGTCTTTCCTCCTCCTGGCTGGCGATGGATTGCGCACTAAATACAGGGCATTGCTTTCTTCAAACTCAGCGTTCGTGATCGGCAAGCTGCTCGCTAGTCTTAGACACATCCTCGCAGTGGTTTCTTCTCGGGTGCCGGAAGCAGATTGCCCCTCAAAACCTTCCCGCGGTAACTCCAATCGGGTGACCCCGACCGCAGCAGCATGCAGAAAAGAGTGGCCATAGGCGGTTTCATCACAATCTGGGCAATCGCACTGCAGGTAGACCCACTCGCTTCAACACAATGCTCCGTCGTCTCTTTCACTAACCTGCAATTAAATGCTAGGAATTCACGAGACTCCACCGATTTTGTAGTAGACTAGTTTATCTTCCAGCGTCGTCGTGGATCGGTTCCAAAATTCGATTCATGGAGAATCTTTTAGGTTAGCCTTCGACGAATGCTGCAAGTCGCTTGCTCTTCTGCAACATTCTTTTGAAGAATCATTGCTGCTCATTACTTGCAAATGTTTCAAGTTTCTGTGACGACCTTTTACAGTCTGTGAAAGATTTCTTTCTTAGCAAGCACATGGCTCGCTTAATCGCAAGCAATTTTGCTTCTATCCTCCAGCAGACATCTTGAGTTAGGGTATCACAAGCGACTACTCTATGCTCGCAGGCGCACATGATGTGGTTGAAGCGTCAGGATGCATTCAAGCAGAAATTCGGAGACGAGCCTATTGTTGTGGAATCGAGCACGATGAATTCGACTCTTGGCGAGCAGGACCAGCTGCAGTCCTCAGCATCGTCTGAGTAGGTCGTCATCGCTGTGCAGTATTGCTGATATCAACCTCGAAGGAACTTTCAGAAATCACGAGATTGGATCTCTATCTCTCTCAGCGATAATTTCTCGAGGTTCCCTTGTGTCGCTTAGACAACATTTGTGGGTCCACTAATTTGGTCGACACTCTAATGTAGCTCGAATGTAATAATATGCGTCGTCGTTTCAGATTTCTCTCAAATTATGTGAAACATTGAAGCGTTTTCAGCTCTTTCTCTCCTTGAATATCGCGAAAATAAATGTCAATTTTGCTACGTTCGTGGTTTATATAGAATAGGGGGAGGGTAGAGGAGGGTGTAAGTATATAGCGTGTGCCAAGTTATGCTCGCAATTGCACGGATGACATGATAGAGTCATTTTCATCATGGATTCATCTGACTGAAATGGAAGACACCGTTGTCGAGTCATTACACAGCATTTCATTACATTTCAGTTACATTTCGGATGTGGTGCACCTGTAGACCTTGCTACTTTTTCCGCAGATGGGATAAGTTGGTAATTGAGTGGTCGAATCCTGCACAAAATCTTTCATGACATGCAGCCGATCGAATTCTACAACTCTTGTTCAATGTCGCAATTTCAGAAAATCGCACGAAAGTGGTTTAACATATTGTATGCATTAATGAGTTGTTAAAAAAATGTCACAATTTCTAGTACTTAACTTGGTTATTAGAGGGTTTTGTTATAGATGCAATTTAACGATTTACATTAGATGATGCTAAATTAGTTCGTCAAACACACCGAGTTGTATTAGCAAAATATTTTTCATAATTGCAATTAATTAACACTGAAATTGAGAAAATTGTGTCAGATCAATATACTTCCAGTGAAGTGTTTTCTTCTGCATATGGTTGTAAACTGGAATTCAGAATGAAAATTAATTATAAGTTATTATAAATAAACTCGTCAAAGTTGAAGTTTTCATAGATGTTGTATAACTTTCCAGTGTTATTTATCCAATTTTTTTCAGTGTCAGAAGGTAATCAACAATGTGAGAGATTTATCCTATGACTTTATTACGCTAGTACATTGATTCATCAAGAAGGTCATCAACAATGTGAGAGATTTATCCTATGACTTTATCATGCTATGTAGGTTGAGAGGTTGAGTAGTTGTATTTCCGATATAAACAGATTTGTAAGAAGCTTGAATAACCTAGTTGGAGTTCCAGAAGTAATTACGAAGTTGCATGACCAAGTTGACATACCCATGGGTTAATGGGTATGGGATGCATGGGTGGATATGGGTATTCCTTGCAGTCCTGTGATATCCACCTCCAAACAAAACTCTTCAACAACTCTTCACGTGCTTGAGAAATGGAGTTAATCAGCAAATTCCACCCAAAAGTCACGAGACATTATGTTTGGGATGACCATATCACGCGATTGAAAAGTTCTCTTGCATATAATGATCTTATGTATTTACTATAAACAATATGATAATCTTTTATTATATTTTTGGTTAAACACAATTTCAGAGCTTGAAATAAAACTTTAAGTGTACATATTTTCTTCCCAAAATTGTTGTTCATGCTTTTAATGATTTGTTAATTAAACACGATTTTACAATTTGTAGTGAAATAATCACTGTTTCAAGTTTCTTCTCAAAATTTTGATCACAAAACTATTGTAATATGATTTGTGCTTTTCTAGTTTTTAAAAACACTTCAAGTGCTTTTAAGTAACTTTATTTTGGTGATGGACCCATGGGTAATGGGTATGGAAAAGTTGTCATGGGTGTAACATCACTTCTCTTGGGTATGGGTAAAATTTTGAAGATTAATGCATGACTCTCATACTCATACTTGATTGCAAGAATTTTGCACAAATTATTGCAAATCTGCTGGATCTCTTCCAACACTAGGGAAAATATTGCTTGGAAATCCTTACATGACGGGTGATGACAAGCTTCATGGAGTAATGAATTATCTATAAATTCTTTAATGCTACACATCCTGCATTAGTCATTTCTGCAATCTGTAACCTGCAACCTGATTCGTCATTCATCTAGACAGATAATTTCATTTTCATTTGACATATCATTATATAATTTTTTCCATAAAGACTAAAACTTTATGTTTTAGTCTGTATGGATCATTTATACATTTGTTTCTACACTCTTGGATCCTCTTTACCTATACTTTTATTCATAGAACTACACAGTTGACCAAGACCAGGGTTGTAAGAATATAGTGCTCTTTTTCAATGATTCTTTTAAGGTTGACTGGTATGGGTATAGTGTGTGAGTTATTGAGAGATTACTACAACACATTGATTAATGAATGTCATACAATTCTCAAGTTAAACTAAATGGCATGCTGATTTATCTATATTTTCCCTCTCACAACTAAGTTTAAAAAAATCTTCAGAAGAATTGAAAGAAGTCAACCCATGTCATGGACAGCAGTGGCACATGTGAAGATGAGTGTAATCATTGAGGGATTCTATGCAAAAGATATATTGCAGTTATGCAAACTGCATGTGGGTTAATTCTCAATGAAGTGGGGCAACGGTTTTTGCTTTTGGTCAGAAGCAGCAGAGAGGCTAAAATGTTAAATGTATAATAGATATTAGCTGTTGAGAGGAAGCTTCTGTCAGCCACTAAACACTAACGACATCGTTGCTTTCGGTGGAGAGTAGAGATGGTGATCCCCTTAACAGCGGTTTGTGGAGGGTGTCGACGTGTAGTGGACAGCACTCGTGCCGGGGCTGAGGTAACTAACTGCACACGCTGTATCAGAGTAAGCGTGGTTTGCACGACAGCCAATTCGAGCTCAAAGTCTTTGCTAGTGATGCAAGTTATCCAGTAGAAAATAAATTTTTGGGGGAGCGGATAGATATCCTTCACTTAGGGCTAATTAGCCATAAGTGAGGAAACCCAACTCCTCCCAATTGCGGCCGTTGTTTACTTGTGTATACACACATATCTTGATACACACACGTGTATATGAATGAGTTGAAAACAGACGAAGTTTGTCAAAACGCAAGTACACAGTATATTCAGTTCGTTCAAAAGATTGATAATTACTTTTCGGAATCGTCTCTCCCTCTCGAGCACAGAGATGGGGTTTTGTTCAAACGAAAAAATATGAACATTACTTCGGTGAGTGTCTTGGCTGATTCGAATTTAGTGAGAAAAAGCGAGTATGTCTACGTGCCTCTGTAGTCATTTCAAGTGTTACCTCGCGCAGGATAGAATGCCTGCCGGCTAACAGAATTGACGAGGATTTAAAATTGATTTCACATGGGCAACTTCGATATTACTTTCAATTCTCCGCAACCCGTTGTCTGGCACTCATGATCAGTCCAAATGTGCCAGAACTGCAAATTTTTCCGTTCATAATTCCAACTATACTGCCGTTCACTACGTTACATATGTCAGTGGATTTCACCTCATGAAAAAGGGGGTGAATAATGGTAAACGAGCCATGCCTGAAGCGACAGTTCTGTGTTGATTCTTTAGCGAGTATGAAGGCACTGATAGCCCAACTAAGAGTTTAGACAGTCTAGATTCAACCCGGACCTGACGGAAAAATGAAGTTTTCCTCAATTCTCACCATTAGATCCCGAGTCTCAAGACGTATTATCTCTTCCAACAGATCACTCCCTACGGAGTCCCAACATGAGACATAGGCGAACTCCTTGTCGTCATGGTTCAGCTGCCTCAACTAACACAATTTGTCGACAGAATCTACTTCAGCCATGGTGACCTTACCAAAGATTTCGGTCCATGGTAAGACCACCTTGGCCAAGGCAGTGTCAGAAGACATGATATCCATACTTCGATCAGGTATGTAACACAGCACCAAGAGTCTCAGAGGTGTTGATTCTCCGCAAGGCTAGTGCCGTTCGGAAAGATAACGCAAATTTATAAGCATCATAGACTCCTCGTACCAGAATTCCCCAGCAAACGCTATAATGATTGAACAAACTTCCAAACGGGAGTACTACGCCGGTATCGCCAGTCATCTCAGAGCCAGTTAGCATGCTGAAGTAAGTTTCTTCCTCGGGGCTGCGCTCCGAAAAGAGAACAGCCCCAATCAAAGCGCAAGGATAACTTAAATCATCACCGATGCCTTTCCGCCGGCGTGAGAAAAACGCAGCTGCGCTCAAAGCTAGGGACTACAGAAAGTTGAGAGAGAAACAGAAACAGCAACACCATGTGAGAAAAAAAGACAATCGCGACAGGAAGTCATGAATGAACACTGCAATCTACCCTACAACAAACAAGAAATTCGGGAGCCGGGGCCGGACGTGCACGCAGGGAGTGCAGTGACAGCAGAATCGAGACACAAGGCGCGCTCGAAGCACCTCCGAGCTCCTCCCTCGCCATCATCCTCTGCGGTCTCGCCGAATCACAATATAAGGCAATTCTCAATTCGACGAGGAAAGACCTCCAGCAGCTCACGGGGCGAGCGAAAGCGGCCAAACCCTAAACGAGGACACGTCATCCGGGGGAGGAGAGCTGGCGCGCCACGGTGGACAAGAGGCGCCGGGTCAGCAGGGAAGCAGAACTCTGCAAGCGGAGCGAGGGAGCGGATTCGGAAGAAGACAAAAGAGCGGGCGGGCGAGAGATTTAAACTACTGTAATGCCGAGAGAGAGAGAGAGAGAGCATGAGGAAGAGCTGCGCTGCCGCCCCCAGCCAGCGAAGCAGGAGCGGGGTGAAGGTCCAGCTCACCCCGCGCCTGGGCCGGGTCGCGCTCACGTGGTCGGGCAAAAGCGTCTGGGTCCGGCCTCATTGCACTCTCTTCGGGAAGGAGGCGATTTTACTGCGGGCAAATTCGGGCGGTAGCTGCTGAGCAGGATGGCGATGGGGATGGGGGTGGAGATTTGGATTTGACAGCGACCAAAATCAGGAGAATTTCGAGCATTGATGGAGGAGGCGAGGAAGGGAGGAGGAGGAGGGGCCCGTGCGTGTGCGATCATCGGAGCCGGCTGAAGCTGTCGTGGGTGCAGGGGGCGAGAGTGGAGTGAAGGAGGCAGGCTCCGGATTTGCAGGGAAAGTTGCAGGGAAAGCGAGAATGGGAATTGCGACGAGGGCTTCGGTTGGCGTAGGGGAAACTGCGGCATTGGCGTTGAGGTCGACGGGATGGAGTGTGACGGATCTGTTTCCTCGTGCCAGATCGAGCGCGCTGGTCTGTGGAGTTTTTGGTGTATGACATCTCCCGGATCGTCTTTTGCCGCCTCGGAGCTTCCCCTCGGTACGTTGTGGGCTCTGCTTCCACAGCTTGATCTCGCGGGTTCTTGCACCTTCGTTTCGTCTGGCGGATCTGGTCAATCCAATTGAGTGCACTGGAGCTTGTCTCGTGAGTGAAAATTTGGACGGTTTTGTCGACTGGTGCACCTCCTCTCGTGCGCTGCTGCCTTTCGGTGCACACCGATCGACTCGCAATTTTCCAATCTCTGTGAATCTACCGATTTATCGCTGGAAGCAGCATAAGCACTCGTCGGATCCAACCCTCAATTTTGCGAAGCGAAGCAGGAGAATATCGTGTTTGGAAACAGTTGGAATGCAATTCATACTCGAAGGACACATATGTAATTCACAAATCGTCTACCTGTGTTCAATTTGCCAATTCAGAACATATCATTGTTCAATCTTGTAACAGCTCGGTCTTGAGCCTCATTCTTGCCAGTACCTCAGACGGGCCAGTTAAAAATGCTGGTCCTGCAGTTGTGTCGCGCGAGGTTGTGCTGTTGGCACACTTCTTCCCAATCTTATGGCCCGATTTAGACTATCACTTGAAATGCAAACCGAGCTTGCCTTTCGTCAGTCTGATACCTCATCATTCAGCGGGCATCATCCTAGCTGTCAAGTACACAGCTCTTTCATTTCCATCATCTGTGGAACATGAGTGTTGAATCTTGAATGACGACTTTTATCCACTTGGGACACCGAGAGTAATTTTACTCTAGTGTCCCCCCCTCCCTTCCACGTATTAGATTTTCTCTCTCTTGACTTGATCCGCTAATGTTTCAGCATTCTGTAGTTCGTCTAAGTTCAGATGTTGGTTCTGCTTAAGACGAAAGTGTTTCTGGTTTTGCTAGCAAATCGACTCGTAAATGTGCAACTCGTAGCTCAATTTTGTTCCATAGTTCTTCCAGTTTTTGTGAGTTGCACTTTGAGACTTCGATCTCTCACTTAAAACTGTATATTTTCTAGCAATGTTTCATTTTTTTTCGAGACGTTCGGAAAAGGCTTGATAGCAATCAATTAGAATTGGACATTCATGTAGTCTATGTGCTTTGAAGTTTAAACCTGTAAACCTGACAGCTCCAACTTTATGCGTAGAAGGTTTTGAAAAGTAACGGAATTCGATGGACAAATCCAAGAGCAAGGACAACCTTCGAGCCGCAGGGAAGAAAAGGGTGAGTGAGCTTGGATTAGAGCATTTGTCTTGAGAGTTATAGGGATCTCATCTCTCTGTATGATGGGGTGGTTCAGCGTGAGAACTTAGCAACTTTTTTTATTAGATTGAAAATACTTTTTCAAGCTTTTTGTTTTATGATACACTTTTGTTTGATAATGATGCACAATTTAGTAATGTTGGAAACATCCTCTTCAGTGAATTATCCGTGAATTTCAATCGGAATGTGAATCAGTTGGAGGAGTTCCGGCAGAAAAAACAGCAGAAGTCAAGTGCAACCAAAACCACTGGCACGGCCCTGAAGGCTCTGGCAGAGGAGGAAAAGCTGCTGTCATCCACTTCAAGCAGCCCTAGAACTCCCAATCATGGAGACTTGTCATTCAAGAGCGACGAATTTGACTCCAAAAGCGACTCGGTGCCTTCAACTCCCGAGGAAAAACAGGCCACGGCTGAGCCATGCAGGGATAGTTTGAATAATGAGAATCACCACGTTTCAGCTGGTAGGAACGTGGATAGTCCTAGCATCCCGCAAGAGAAAAACAATGCACGGACCACTATTGATACTAAGGATGTTCCGAAGACATCCACATTGCCCCCGTTGGTGGATCAGCAAACCGTCACGGAGGAAGCGTCAACTGCTGGGAAGTTCGAGTCGGCTCTGGAGCTGACCATCCCTTCGGAAATTACCTCTACTGCTGCAAATTCCAACCATTGTGGGAGAGAAAATGCAATTACGGAAAGCAAGGTTGACTTCAGATCTTCCCACCCGACCCTCTCCCAGGTATACTTGTGTCTTGTAACCACACTATGAAAAGCTATGAAGCAAATTGTTGTTGAATTAATCTGCATTCCCTTAGTTCGTACCATATTCTTTAAACTCTGCTATGTCCACGTTCAATGTGCAGCATACTCCCAATCAGGGCACAGATGATTCAGAACCACATATCCTCTCCGTGCAAGCAGAAACTTCAGGTATTGAGAAAGAGCAGGGCCTTGTTCAGCCTTCTTGGAATGCGGAACAGAAGTTTCAAGAAACAACTGATATCAAATCTCTCATTGCTGAGATAGAGTCTTTGCAACTGCAGCTAAGAATCACCCAGCAGGAGAAAGAGCAATTGAGCGTAGATCTCTCGTCATCACACGGGGAGCTTCAGAATCGCAATGAGCAGTCTGCCGCAGAGTTATCTGCAGCTCAGGACGCGATGCATCAAGCTAAGCATAGAGAATCACTTCTTCTGGCAGATCTTGAAGCCGCTAAGCTTGAGATGGCTCAGGCAAAGGGTGAACATGTTCCTGAGCTGGAAAGACTGCAAAGGCAGTTGATAGAAAAAGAGGATTTGACCGTGGAGCTGACGAAGGAGTTGGCATCATCTAGAGAACTGTTGGCAGTATTAGAAGAAGAAAAGTACAATCTGTTTTCTAAGGTCGGACAATTTCGTGCTGAGCTACAAACTCTGGGCCAAGAGAAATTACACCTAGCTAGCGAGCTTGAAACGTCAAATAGGTCTCTGCAGCACGTGGAGTTAGAGAAGGAGCAACTCTTGTCGGAGAGGGCTTCCTCCATTCAGCACATCCAGGACCTTCTTGACAAAAATGCTCAAATTACAACTGAGCTCAGAGAATCAGTTGAGAAATTTCAAACCTTTGAACTTACAAGGGAACATGAGCTTGAGGCATTTAGAGTGCAGATAACGAGCATTCAGGCTGAAAATGCTAGACTGGCGCAACAGCTAGATGTTGAGAGCACCTGTCTGAACGAAATGAGAGTGGAGAAAGCACAGCTTCTTGCCGATTTGATTGTAGAGCATAAGGAGTTGGATCGATTTGGGGAGGGAAAATTGGAACTTGATCGTGAAATTGAAGCATTGAAAACCTTGGTGGAGGAGCTTAGATGCGAGAAGTCAAGTATGTCGTCCAGTTGTGAATCGGAAATTATAGTAGTTAGAATGGAACTGAATAGAGTAGAGGCAGCGTATTCTGAACAGGCCAATCACCTCACCGAGACAAGGAAAGAGCTTGATAGAGTCAGCGAGGAACATGTACGCAGCATTAGCAAACTTGAACTTGCGCTTGATGAGTGTAGCAAAATGGTAGATTGTATCACAGAGGAAAAGATCAAAGTTACAGAGGAGCTGAATAATGTGAAGTCACAACAACTACACATAACTGAGGAGAAAGAACTTGCAATTGCCAACCTTGGAAATGAATTGCAGGAAAGCAAGGAGCGGTTCAGAGTGACAGAAGAGCAGAACACTTCGCTGGCGAAGCTGCTTGAAGAAGCGAGGATCGAAATGCAGAGAGTAGTTGAGGAGAATGCACGATCTATTTCAGAACTTGAGTCTGAACTGGATAAGCAAAGACTTCTCCTCATCAAGGACGTAGAGGAGAAAGGAAGATTGAGGGGTGAGTTGCAAGAGGTGCAGGAACAAATGATGTCTGTGCAGATATCCGTCAGAGATCGTCAGTCTGAAATAGACAAGCATGACGAGGAGCTGAAGCAGCTGGGAGAAAACCGAACCAAGTTGTCAAGCGATTTGCTTATGTCTAGGGATGCGCTGACAAGACTAGAGGAAGAGAAGAGTCGCGCTGATTTGGAGATCTTGGGATTGAAGGACCAGATCGCAGAGATGGACGGTAACTATGTAGAATGCGTGCAGACTTTGGAAGACACGAAGGTCGAGCTCCGGAGGGTGAGGGATCATGGCCTTCAACTATCTAGAGATTTAGAGGTCGAGCTCGAAAGGGAGAGAGGGATGCGAATTGTTTTATCAGAAGATAGGGATAGGTTGACAATCAAGCTCCAGGGCGTTGAAGAACAGTTGAAAGTTTTGCTGCAAGAGATGGAAATCTCTAGAAAGCACCATGAAACTGAAGTGCTGAAGCATGAAGATCACTTGCGAGCGATGGAGGAAAACCACACTAATCTTTCATCTGAGCTTCTTGCCTCAAGGGATGAGTTGTCCAAACTGCTCGGAGAGAAGGTTCAAGCTGAACTGCAACTAGAGATATGCAAACAACAGCTGACAAAATTGGAAGGGGCAATAACAGGGACATTGGAGAAGCATAGGGGTGAAGTAGCAACTTACGAGGGATGCATCAAAGAGTTGGAGGAAAGCCGCACCATGTTAGAGGACCAGTTGTTAATGTCTCAAGAAAAGTTGGCTAAGTTGCAGGATGAGAAAAATCAAGTCCAGCTTGAACTCGTGGCGCATATGGAACAGCTGAAAAAAATGGAGGCTTTGAATCAGGATGTAGGAAAAGAACTTGCTGAAGCTAAACAGCGGGTAGATATACATGTACAGGAAAGAGCTGCTTTATTAGCAGAGCATGTCTCACAGATTGGAAGCCTTCAAGAGCAGCTGAATCTCTTGGAAAGTAAGGGTGCCTCATCAGCGACTGAGATTTTACAGGTAATGAGTGATTTGGAGGCATTGAAAAAGGAGAAGGAAGCTGCTTACAGTCAAGTAGAAGTTTGGAGAGAAGGTTGTATGAGGCTGGAAGAGGAGAAAAGCAAAATCGCCGATGATTTATTGCATAGCAAGGATCAGTTGCAGCTTGTCATAAGGGATGAGGAATTACGCCAAGCTAAGTTATCCACCGAACTTGAAACGTACAAGGAAAATGCAGAAAGGCTCACCGGAGAGAAAGCGTCCTTGTTAGAAGAGCTGGAGGCCACGAGAGAGCATCTGAGAGGCGTGAATAATGAGAAGGTGAATGAGATTGAGTTGTTGCTGAAGCAAGTTGAGGAGCTGTCTCAAAGTAAGGAACATGCAGTGAATGAACTTTCGGCAGCATTTCAACGTGCAGAGAAGGTGGAGAGAACTAGGACGCAATTAGTTGCAAAATTGGAAGCAGTCCAACAACACCTTGAGGATTTGTCCAAAGACAAGGACTCCCTCATCACAGATCTAGACGTATCGAGACAGCAGTACGAGGAACTCGACAAGGAAAAAGCCATGATGCTCTCCAGCTTTGAGGTCTCTGTGAACAACTGGAAAACTGAAAAATCGGAGCTCCATGAGGCACTCGAGGCCTCCAAAGAACTCCAAAATTTGTTTGCTGCTGAAAAAGATGGAATAGCCTCCGATTTGGCAGCTGCTAGGGAACGAATGGAGGACATGAAGGAGTTCCAAGCACAGGCTGCTGCAGAGATCGGAACTTTGAAGCAGTCAATTCAATCTGGCGATGATGAGAGAGCGCAGCTTGTTGCTCAACTCAGTGCTCGAGATCAGCAAGTGCAGAGGTTAGTGGAGGAGAACAGTCAGCTGACTTCTGAGCTTCAGAGGCACAGTGAAAGAATAGTGGATCTGACTGAAGAAATTGCAAGGTTGACGGAAGAGATGAACTCATACAAGCGTAAAGTAGGGGAGTCTGAGGCGGAGCTGTCGCAACTCAGGGTGGAGAGTAAGTTCCCACAAGCTCAGTCGGAGTTGTCGACAGAGGAGAAGACCAAGGATGGCGAAGGTGATATCGCATCTAGAGAAGTACTTAAACTCGCCAAAGAAGAACAGGACTGTCAGCCTACTCGGGAAAGCACGACGACTAGGTCCTGTGACCTTCATGGGACTGTACATTCAGTTGAAGACCTCGAAGGGTTGAAGCACCAGATTGAGACCAAAGAAGGGGAGTTGGCTGACCTAAAGACCCAGTACATACTCCTCCAGACCCAACTGGAATCTTCTGATGGAGAGAGACACAATCTTGCCCAGGAACTTGTGACCTTGAGACAGCAACTGCAGCAGTTGAGCGAGTCGAAGTCACATGTTGCTGACGAACTCGCATTGGGTGTCGAAGCATCAAGGCAACGCATGCTCGAATACGAAGAAGCAAAATTCGAGTCGTCCTCTGACATGAAGAGGTCCAAGCAGGACCTGCAAGCTTTGGATGCCGAAGATGCCGAAAATCAAGCTATGGCTTCATCAATCGATGGGCATCAAGGCACTCAGGAGAAGCCTAGATCAACTTCTAACGTTGTTCTTGAATCTTCTGCTGAGCTAGCCGGAGCCAGCCTTAAGAGAAGCCCTATGTCTAAATCCGACGATTCTATTGTTGGTGTAGGATCCGGTGTTTCCAAGCTCATTGGAGAATTTGAGAGAAAGGCTCATGCTGGACAAGAGCAAGCGGAGCAGCTGAGAAAAGCTGTTCATGAGAATCTTCGCTTGACTGCTTCCGTGGAACGTCTGGAGAGCGAGAGACATATGCTGGTCGATGCTCCCGCACAAATTGCAGACCTTCAGAGGCAGTTGGAGGAGCTTGCGAAACAGATCGTCGAACTTCAGGCAGAGAAGGACGAGGCTGTCGGAGCACTACTAGCGGCTGAAGCAGAGCTCAGACAGTCTAAGGAGATCGTGAAGGAGGAAAGCCTCTTGGTTGCAGATAGATTAGAGGCACTGGAGGAATCTGTAATCTCCTTGAATACTGAGAGGGATGTCTTGGCAGGTACGTTAGTGGATATGGAGAAAAGCCTGATCCATGGATCTAAACAGACGTCGCAGGAGGAGTCGCCTTGTCTCGAGTCTCTTGTAAGTAATTCTTCTTCACAGAGTCTTGAAAGAAGTGAATTGCTGGTGCCGAAGGATGTAAGCTTCCTAGTCAAAAAGCTGGAGAAAGCTGTATTTGAAGCATTTCCCGACGCCTCTAAGGAGTTGGCATCTTTGCGCGACGGTAAAGCTGCTGTTGATTATTGTGACATACTCTGTGATAAGTTGCTCACTGGTGACACTGGAGTCTGCCACCAGCTACAGAAGGCACATCTTCAGCTAACTGAAATCAGACAGCGGTTGACCCAGTCTGAAGAGAAGCTGATTCTGGTGCAGCAAGAAAGAGACTCGGTTGTTCAGGCTCATGCTCAATTCCACGAACGTCTGGAACAGGTCGTTGAGGAAAAGGAGCAGGTGAAGCAGGTGCAAGCCGATCTTTGTTGCGATGTTGAGGAACTTGTGAGCAAAATGAAGGAAGCTACTCAGGGTTACGCAGATCAGCTTGCGCATCAAACCGCGGACAAAGATGCCGTTCAGGCAGAGGTGTCAGTTTTGCAGGCAAGGATAGTTGAACTCGAGGCATCATTGGCCTTGGAAACAACCTCACGCTCGGTTGTGAACAAGGACCTAGGAGGTATAGTCACGAAGCATTGGGGAGAAGGCGCCGACGCTGATTATGAGATTCAGTCTTTGCAACAGAGTCATCAAGCAAGAGAGATCGAGGTGAACACTCTTAATCGGAAGGTAGAAGAGGCAGCTGGAACTATTGCTCAACAGTCAGATGAAATCAAGCAGCTCTTACTCCAGACAGAGAGACTGAGTGAAGAAATGGAGAAGATCAACACCGAAAGAGCATCTTTTGAGTTAAGTCTGGCCCAGGCAGAGCAGAAGCTATCCTCGACTAGAGAGAAGCTTAGTTTGTCTGTGACAAAAGGCAAAGGTGTGGTGCAGCAACGGGATGCTTTGAAGCAAGTTGTCGCTGAAAAGACAAAACTTCTTGAATCAATGAAGGCAGTTCACGAGCAGGAAATGCAGGCGAAGGATGTCGCTCTGCAGGATATGGAGAGAAAGTTGAGTGAGCTTCAAGCTCTCAAGGAGGACTACATCCAACTTGAGACTCGGTGTTCTTTTCTACAGGAAGTAGCTGGAAGAGCTGAGAAGGTTTTGCAGAATAGTGAAAATCTAGTCGAAGGATTATCTGCACTGCTAGAAAGCTCTATGTCATCAAATGACTGGCACTCTTGGGAGCTTGTAGAGAAGATTGTGTGGATCACCAGCGGTACCAGTAAGGTTGTGCAAGCTATGGAATCTATGAAGGGTGAAATGACGAGTTTAACCCGAACCTCTGATACCCTTGCCAGTACTGCGGACGAAGCACAATCTAGAGCAGAGATCTTAGCACGCGAGCTCTCTTCAATGAAACTTGAAAAGGAAGAGCTTGTTTCTCATTTCGAACAAGTAAGGTCCAACTTCCAGTTAGAGCTACAGCAGAAGACCGATGAGAAAGCACACCTTACTTCCCTCATTAGGCAGTTCGATTCCGAAGTAGTCACCCTTAGACAAACCAACGAAAGCTTAAATAGACGATTAGAGGAGCAAGCCACGCATGTTGCTAGTTGTGAAGGTGAAATCACCACTTTACAGAAGAGGTTGGCAGAGCGAGAGGAGGAATGGCACCAGGAGGTTGTAAATCATGAACAGCTGCAAGCCAGTGTGTTCAGTATCGCAAGAAACCTTGTTGATATTCACGAGTCTCTTCCACCATTTGAAGGTGATATCAGTTCTGCTCAGTTGTCCTTGTCTTGGTGCAAGGAATTTATGCATGTGTTGGTCGCTCGTTACAATGACATTGTTGAGAAGCTTGATGAGATTGTTCGTCAAGAATCGAAGTCTGCTTTGAATAAAGCTCTCTCAGGCGCAGTGTCAAAGAAGCATGTGGACCAATTGTCCTTGAAGACCGTCTCCACAGATTTGATCAAGGAGGTCGAGGAGATATTCTCGCTGGTTGAGAAACAGGCTGGTGAGGCGACTACGCTTTTGCAACGAATCGAGAAGCAAGCAGATGAGCTCGCTGTCGCTGAGAGTGAGAAGCTAAGGTTGCAGCGGGAGCTTTCGACTGCTGAGCAGAGATCATTGACCATCCGAGAAAAGCTTACCTCAGCCGTGACAAAGGGCAAATCGTTGGTACAACAACGTGATGCGTTGAAGCAAGCTTTGGCAGAGAAGACTGATGAACTAGCATCAGCGATCATCTCCCATCAAAAGGAGTTGGAATTCAAGGATGCAGTGTTGCATGAGACGAGCCAGAAACTAGCCGCCGCCATGGATCAAGTAGACAGCTTGGAGAAACAGCTTGCCGTAATGAAGACCTCCGTCTCAGTGGAAAAACAGCCATCTTTTGTGGAGAAAGTGAGTGAACTGGAGAGATTACTTGCTGAGACGCAACTGAAGGTTGATTTGGCTGAAGCAGAAGCGGAGAGTAGCAGGAAGGTAGTCGATGTAACGTCTACTGAGCTGGAGAAATGTCAGAGTACAGTTGACGCTCTGGCAATACAGGTGAAGTCTGTGACACAGGAGAAAGATGACCTTCTCCAGCAGCTGGAGAGGTCGAAGACGAAGCACATGAATGACATTGAAGAGTACGCTAATCAAAGGACCCAGCTTGAATCTAGTATCGGCGACCTGGAGAATATCATAGCCCGTCAAAAGGAGGACATGGAGAGTCTGATGAGAAAGTTTGAAGAGCTCAATGACTTGTACAACTCATTGAGTGCTCAAAGTATGGAGGATGCCACAGAAACAACTAACTTGCAGGATGAAATCAATTCCCTACACAACCACATTGCTGAACTCGAGCTCAGCATGGAAATGGAAGCAGCTGCCAGGCAAAAGCTGGAGGCTGATTCCGACGCAGTTGTGGCTTGCATCCAGGAGGTTACGCAGGAGGGATGGGGTGATAAGACTGTCAGCTTATCTGAAAGCAACTCTGCTAGTTCCGAAGCAACCAGTCTTCTTGAGGAAATGAGCAATCTGCTAATAGCAAAGTACAAGGCAGTCGTTCAAGAAGTGGAAGAACTGTCCGAACAAGTATCTCTGCTGTCTAATCTAGAAGAGACGTCAAAGGCCAAAACATTCTCGGAACAGGAATCTCTGTCTCAAATGCAACAAATGCTGGAGTCGAAAGATTTGGAGTTGAGCGAATTGAGTAAGAGAATGGAAGAGGCTGCTTCAGATATGGCTCAGCAAGAAGACGTTGTTCAAGGCTTAATGCAGCAGGTAAACAAGCTGAGAGGGGAGCTTGCGAAAGCAAACGGGGAAAGAGATGCTTTGAAGAACGAGCTTGTACTTGCTGAGCAAAGAACAGCCAATACCAGGGAGAAGCTGAGTCTTGCTGTGAAGAAAGGCAAGAACGTTGTGCAACAGCGAGACTCCTTGAAACAATCATTTTCCGAGCAGGAGTTGCTACTAGCGAAGTGTAAGGAGGAACTGGCCAGTAAAGAGTCTATAGTGTCGAGGATCAAGGACGAATTGATGACGTCTAACCGAAAGGTTGAAGACCTAGAAGCAAATGTAGAGTCTTTGATGAGACGTACGTCGGTCCTTGAGCGTGACATGCTTGACAAAAAGAATCTCCTTCAGGCTCTGGAGACGGGTCTGAGCAAATACAGTTCCGGAAATGAATGGCGCTCAAAGAAGTTGACACAGAAAGTTGATTGGTTAGTCTCTGCTATTGCTGATGCTGAAAGCAGGGCACTGTTGTCTTCTCAAGAAGCGGAGGCAGCGAGGAAAGAGTCGAGTCAGCTACGGTCACATCTGAGAGACACTCAATATGAAGCAGAATGTGAGAAGGAATCGCTTTCCATTCTGACCATGAAGCTGGAGAAGACTGAAAATGAGCTTCAATGGAGTCAGCATCGAACCGCAGAATTGGAAGCTCAATTACCTGCTCTTGCATCAGCTCATCAACAATCGGAGATGCTTATGGAGAAGATTCGGAGTCTGGAAGCCCTTCTCGACAAGAAGCAGGAAAAAGTTAGGAATCTAGAATCCATCCTGGAGCAAAAGCAGGCTGACATGAGGAAAGCAGAAGAGGCCGTCTATGCTTGGGCCGGACGGTCCGAGGAGACCGAAGCTTATATTCATAGAAGTCAGATGCGCATTTCAGAGTTGGAGGCGCAGTTGCGAACATTGAGTGGGGTTCAACAGCAAGCTGAAGAACTCTCCAAACAGGTCCAGGGTTTAGAGGAGGTCGTTCAGCAGAAACAGTCTGCTTTGAAAGCTCTGGAAGCTTCACGTACAAAAGCCGTGAACAAGCTAACTACAACTGTTAACAAGTTCAGAGAACTATGTAAACAGTCAGAAGGACTTGTTGCGGAGCTCGAGCGTGTGCAAGGAAGTGTAGAAAGTAAGGATGCCGAGATAACTCAGCTGAAGGAAGAGGTTGGAAGATTCTGCGCTGAAGCACGCAAGTTACAAGAGAGAGTAGATTCCAGCAACGATCTCCTCGTGCAACTTGAGCAGAGGTTGCAAAGTGTTTTTCCTTCAGGTTTGGAGATCGAGCTTTCACCGAGTGGGATCAATAAAGCAAACTCCGTTGACCAAGGACCTTCTATAGAAGTGGAAGACGTGTTCTTCGCGAATGTAAAACTTATTCGCAGGCGATTGGAAGCATTTGTAGCGCATTCACAAAGTTGGCAATCAGAGCTGGCAAAGAAGGATGCGCAGTTGCAAGGGTTGAGGAAAGAGCTTGAGGAAGCAAACGGAGATAGAATCAGCTTGAAGACAAGTCTGCAGAGAGAACAAACTCAGTTTGAGCTATACAAGGCAGAGTTTGCATCAAAGTTTTCTCCCGCTGCTGAAAGGGAAAATCTCAAAGTAGAAGAAATTGAGGAGGTAAATATTTTAAGTGTTTTGTGTTTCTTGTATTCCATAAGTTATTATTTTTCTGTCGCTGCAGTTGATTATGATGTCCTTTAGATGGACATCCAGTCGTGTCTGATGCTCCTGTTGACTATCCTGGATTAGCAATAGCTTGCTACCACTCCCCTTACCCTCAAATGAGCTATCAGCATGTAGATAGCACTCCCAACCGTTGCATACAATTTTTGTTAGAGTGCTAACTTTACCGGCACTTCTCCGCAATCCGACTCTCGTATAGGTCTGATCAATACCAGAAGAAATTATCACTGGCGAAGTGTATATTCTGACCTTGTTCATAGCACCTCAAGCTCAGGCTCAAGTATGAGTTTTTGTTGCTAACTTGGAAATCTAATTCAAACGTAGCTGATGGATGCAAAACCCTACATAAGGACTAGACTAAAAAGTAGTAGATACCTAATTTAGGAGTTAAACAAACACCTAAATTAAGAAAAACATCATTTTTTATCGTGGATCGTGGTTTACCTTTAGGTCACGAGTCCTATATTTGAGTTGTTGAATAAACCATGGCGTGTTGTATGATGTTTGAGCACCAGTTCGGACTTGGAAGACATAAGCCGCAGATAAGGATTCAATTTTAGAACAATTATCTCACCTCAAACAGAGAATATTAAGTACTTGGCGTTTTGTTAATGAGATTTCGCAGGTCCAAGTAGGGAAACGGTCGATACCGTCCACTTCTGCAGCTCCGCAGATTCGCGGTACAAGGAAGCCTGCTTCGTTTGATGTAGCTATCGATATGGATGTGGGATCAAGCCGATTGCTGGAGGTTTCAGACGAAAAAGGTAAGAATACAAAATTCCTTACAACTGGTGCCATTCACTATTAGCAAACGACTGAAACTGCAGATCACATCTGAATTTGATCATGGGCATTGATGCTTCTCTGAGCTGAAGTAATTTTGTGCATGTGAGACCTGTAATGTTGAGAGGAAGAATGCTCGTAGATGGTGACAACGAGGTCATTAGGTGTTAGGACATTATCGTTTCTTCTTATTGATTTGTATTTATTTTTTTTACTTCAGGTCATGGCTTCAAGTCCTTGGCTACTGCAAGGTTCATGCCACGTGGCACCCGTTTTGTTGCCGACCGAATTGACAGAATATGGTAAGCAGAATCGAGGTTGAGGTTGACTTGTTCATTATATAGTATCAGATGACTTATAACCTTCCTTTAGACCTGCAATCTGTCCTGCTTGTAAGCTTTGCGTATATCTTACCTTCAGAGATTTTCCTATTGCAGTTCGCTTGAGTTCTTTCTTTGCTTACCCTTCTCTCTTTTGATCTGCAGCGCTGCAGGAGGAAGAGTTCTTATGCGGCAACCTGGAGCTCGACTGGGTCTTACTTTGTACTGGCTTGCAATTCATATATGGATGGCTTTGTTGATAGCTACAGCACATGTGTAGCAGGTCAGTAGGTTTTACAATCAAATATGCCTTGTACAAGAAGTATGACTTTTCCTTTTGAATAAGGTTCTCCAACAACTGAGACATTTCTCACCGAAGACTTATCTTTCTCCGCCATCGTTCACTTTTTCCGAGGAAGTCACGACCTTTCAACTTGCGCAGAGTTTAATTGCAGCCACCGACTTTTCAACAAATAAGGAAGCTCAAGATTGTCTTTTTGGCGATTCGAATGAGATATCAGCTCAAGCACTCGAGTCAGGAGAGGGTCTGGCAGTGATTTCATGTCCCTTAGCCTACCTGGTAATTATGAATGTTACAAGAACAGGTGTATGGTTGTTCAGCATCTTAGGCTGTAGATGTTGGGGTTACATTAGTCGTCTAAAGCTATCAATCATTACAAGCTTAGCTCGTATTAATCTCCGAAGCTTGAGAGCAGGAGTAGCTCAGTCGCATATGATTACATTTGGTACATTGATATTACAGACAGAGAGGCAGTTGTGTTCCATGAACTTCTTAGGATATCGTAATTGTCCTATACAGGATGGTCATTTGGAGCACAAATTGCGGGTTGTTTTGGAGTTTTCTGAGATTGATTGTTATTTCCTGCAGGATCTATCACCTCCACAGACAACCATCAATCATTGTTACATATTGCTGAGTTGCAAGAGACTTTTTCAGCTACTGCATATGAGAAAAACTATACAGACATGTTACAGGTACTACTGCAGCAGTATTTGAGATGATTTGATTCGTCTTATAAAAAATTGTCATCTACATATGATGGAAAGATTCATCAGCAACGCATGCAATGGATTGGTTGTCCATGTACTATACTTGTACGTAGACACCTGATAATGAAGTTGAACTCGTCAACAAATTAGATTAGTTAGCTTATTGATTGACACACATTGTTCATAGATTCTTATCACATAAGGATGATTATGTTGAGTCAGGCATTGCTTGTTACCTTCGGGTATTTTCAGTATGTCTTGATTCACAAGTTGTAGTCTTCCATTTTTCAGAATCTCAACCAGAGACTTTGTATCATAACAACTGTACCTAATAACTAGCATACGAAGTAGCTCCTGCGACATTTTGTGAGCATGAAGCTTCGTTTTCTCCTGTCTCTATTCATTGCACGCTACTAGGACTTCGTATCCGAATTTTCCTCTTGACTATCAAGAGCAATTGAAATGATTTTTGTTCGTGTGCCTTTGGCAATTTGATCCGCGGCTATCAGTCTGGATACGCTTTATATGGAACAGGCATTCATTGCCTGACTCGTCATGGCTGTCATTTGTTGAGATGTGATGGTTGACTTTTTTCCTCGATGTCAAACGACTTTGCAACCAGTACGTTTTTGAATCTCAGGTTACCTGGAAAAGACATGGTAGTACAAGTCATGGCTGTTATTTGTGAATAGAGATAGATTCAAGTTTTTAAGTCGTTCATCTTCTTGATATCTTGAACTTCTTTTAAGAAATTGATTACCATGTTTTCTAGATTTTCACCATCCATGCCTGATGCTACTTTCGATGATCATGTATTAGCTATATAAACTATCATATGTTTGGGCTATGAGCAACAACACTAATATCATAGTAGTTATCAGAAGTGGTTCATGACTTCCCAGAATCAACTACTGATCAAACATGCATTCAAATTTCTTATCAAAGAAATGATTAGCAGCAAAATGTAGAATCTATCATGTCTCGTTACTAATAGACTTGAACTTGTTTATAGACTTGAACTTCACTCCATATCCAGAAAAATCTCATCATTCGAGGTTCAAAAGTTACTCATTGCGCCCTTTGACTGATGTTCCACTTGAAACCAACGAAATTTTCGATGAAAATTGGTTGTCTCGACCCAATGTTGTTATTTTGATCCCAAAGGAAGGTGTGAGGGTTTTCTTGTCAAATCATTATGATACATTTAGTAAGTTGATCATCTAGTATCAGTAATAGATGACAGAATATTAACTTCATGAAAGTCAAATTCAAATCTTGAAACGAAATGGGAACAAAATGCTTACCTTAAATTTTTTGTATTGAACAAACTTGATATCTTTAAACTCATTGATCTTGTGTACAAAATATTATGAAGAGAATTGACCTACTATTGTGAGTTGGTTGTAATCATCAGTCTTTCCAACATCTTACCATTTGTGAAAACAAAAACCATGAGACAGCTTTGTCTGTCATATTGTTCATGTAATTAGCACAGGTCAGTTTTCCTTCATTTCAAGCCTTTCTCCTTCTCGCGTTCGTTAGCATGATCGAATGATGATTCGAAGTAAAGTCAAAGCCTAAATCTTCAAAATGTTCACACTGACTAGAAATCAGATATTAGTGCAATACCATTTTCTGACAGAGTGGTCTTTATTCCTTCTTCGTTGATATGCAAGATTTTCCTGACAAAACATGATGGATTATGTCACCATGTTTTATTTCTAGTATATGTTTACGGTCAGTACCTCACCTACCGCAAATATAAAAATTGCTGCCTCTCCAATGAGTGATTATGTTGAGAAGCTGATGATGGTCAGTGCAAGGCAGTGGATATGGCCCGAGGGGAGTGAAAACCCTCCAGTGAGGTGCTCTGGCTGAACTTCGATTCCAGACTTCATAATCTACATTGATCTGATCGATACTTCAATCTGAATCACATAGCGATGTACGATACACCCGCTGCTATATTCTGAACCTCTTGTCGTTCCCAGTATCGTCCTGCAAGGGATGTGAGGATACTTCTGAAGGCCTTAAAACGTGAAGATTCCTCACCATCTGTCAAATACGAGGGATCAAAATGCGCGACTGAAGGAGTAAGAACTCCATGTGAAGTTTATTTTCCAATAGATGATTATTCTGTTCAGATTGCTTACGATGCTCAAAGAGTACTAATGAAAATTCTTCAGGAGAGTTGAGAGGATTCTGACGAGATTTAGTGACTGAGAGATGGTTCATGTCATAGATTGCTGAAAAACATTGAACAGTTTATAGGAAACGACTTGCTTTTCACGTTGTAGCCCATTCTGTCGAAGGACTGAGTTTTCACACACATTCGACCATATTAGGAGGCCATGTCCGCGTCTCAAAGATAGCATCACTACTCTGCACGAACTTTCCCATATTCTTCGAAGTCACCAGGCTACTATGTTCAAGTCAATACTTCCTCTCGAGCGGTGAAACTATTTTTTGTTTAGCTCACTTGTATCTGCATACTATCATAACGCAAGCTTCTCGTGCTAAATTAAAGCTCTCGTACAGCTTTCCCTTCCACTTTCCTTCCTTGCCAGCTTTGAGCTCTAGCAGGCTCATTTGTTTTGTCATGCTCGTTTTCAGTTGATCTTCATCATAGCTGAACATATGCTCAGTTGAGTTTTGACCCTCCAGTTTCTTTTGCCAAAATCCGTAGCCATTGAATGAACTGCTGAAATCCATAATATTGCCAACTCGGACCTGGAATCTAAGACCACATATATCATTGATTTCATTCACAGCCATAAATTCGTACCTGATTTTGTCCTCATATTTTTCCCCTCGTTTTTGGAACACATAGATTGACTACAGGCCTTTCGCCATTCATCCCAAAGAAATGTGAAAGCGATGAGTTCTACAGGAAGAACACGACGCTACAAGAGACAATTTCTTGTGCGAACTACTCACGATTGGGACCCTGATCGTCTTATTTCATGAAAAAATGAGACGTAAGTCGTCTTGTTGTAACCGTGTTCATTCTTGCGATAACCGTGATGTTGGATGTTATAGCCCGAGAACAAAATCAAACAACCAAAATAGAGCGTCGCATGTTTTTTCCCTTTTTCATCATCCTCTTAAGTGAGGCTAGCAACCCCACGTAGGGGTTGAGCTTTAGGCCTGTTATCAAACAGTTTACACGTTCCCCATATTAGATCCGTCTAGCTTCATGAGTCTTTTGAAGGAACGATGAGACTGCTAGGTTGGCCGGATTCGATGAGTAGAGATCGGTACAATGATGAACAGGTAGAGCTTCAGATAGATTGCACAACCCAATTCAACGTGACAAGCCATAATATTACTCCACTGCATTTTATTATAACAGTCAGAGATTCCATCTAATTTATATAACTCTTCAGATGCGAAGTGAGCAAACAAGTCCAAGGATAAAATACGCTCACCAGCTGTAAAATATGTGCCAAAAAAAGGATTATGCGTAAAACTCAACAAAAGTATGACATGATTGAGAGATACTGGGTCAAAAGTAACGACCTCAGCGTACATAACGTGCTATTGAGAAGTAACAGTCACATCTGGGACAAAAATACCTCTTACTCCTGTGAAAAGGAACATATTTATGTTCCTTTTCACATAAATATGTTCCTTCTTACAGTAAACATAAATATGCAACGAAGAAAAGCTCAACATCCGAAGCTGAAGGAGACAATGAGTATACATACAGTAAGAACTTTACAGAAGCTAGAGGCATGTAACATCACTTCAAGGTGAGAAAAGGTAAATAAAGGAAGAGGAAGATTTGATATACGGAGAAGATAACTAATGTTGTCCAAAGAGCACTGCAGAAACTTGCTTCAAGAATGAATGCACGATTAAAGTAACACAACAGGAGAAGCTGAAGTAACCAAAAATCACGAAAACATCGTAAATAGTATCCATGAATGCAGATAATTGAATAAAACTTGGACAATATTACTTTGGACGTCCACAACTGACTGTTCCGTTATCAAAGTCATACATAGAGCAGCAGAACATTTAATAAAGTACAGTCGAATTGGAACTCAATAAGCTCATGCATTCATTATAAATCACAGCCTATCAGAATGTAATCAAATATTTCTGAAAATAAAAAAAATTTCAATACTGCCCGTGTACTTCCTTGTCTAACAAAAGGAATTTCCTTATGCATTTTGTTCCAATTCAAGCACAATAAGTTTCTTACATGTGGCTCATCCACAAGCAACGCGATCAACGGATGTAAAAAAGATCGAGAAAGTCTCCTTGCGCTCTAGAACATGAATACATGGACTAGAAAAAATCCTCAATGATTTTGCAAGCATCTTCTCTATAGAGAAACTCCAGGAATAATATCTAGCCGGGTAATAAGTGCACTTCATAACTCAACCTTCACCTGTAAAATTTTACATAATGTATGATTGCTCGCCCTCATTGGCTTCTTTCACAAGTTCAGCCGCCGCCTCGATAGCAAACTTCTTCAATGACTCAAGATCGCGTGCACCTGGAATAAAGAGCAAAGTGAGCCTGATTGAAAAGAGTATCTATTTGCCTCATTCGTATAAAGGCGAAATCAATTAATGTACAATAAGGCAGGAAACAAGCACTCGATACACAAGTAAACGACATTTGAAATCATTAGTCACTCATATCTCAAAAAATCTCTGCCAGGGAGGCCGATAATGATTTGCTATATCTTTGGAAGTCGTTGGTGTACAGGTAAAAATACAAAATATAACCCACCTGAATACTTCTTGTACTCTTCCCCATTGTAATAGAGTTTCAAAGTTGGGTAGGAGCGAATATCCGCCTTGCTGCAGGTATCCTTGCTGGTCGTGCAGTCCACATGAGCAACCTCAACACCATCCTCTCCCTCAAGGGCAGCCCCTAGCTGCTCCCAGGTGGGTGCCAAACGCTTGCTGCAGAAACATTCTTCATTTAAGCCCTTTTCTAATATCTGCCGTGTCTTTTCAGCAAATGATCCCAGATGCGCATATTAAAGCACAATCAGAGTTTCACATCAATATGCCATGACATCTTACACTTCCTTGCATTTTGTTTTGTGTGAATCCCACAGATCTGAGTCATGAATTTCTGTTCTTGAGAGACTAGAGAAATGAGCTAATGTCCAATGTCAGCGTTCCAAAAGCATGTATGATATTCGAGGAGAGACAGTTAACCACATACCAATGCCCGCACCAAGGAGCAAAGAACTTGATGAACCAGACGGTGTCTTTCTCCTTTACCTGCCACAGAAGGCCACAGCAAGTATCAGCGGCAGCGTCTCGTTGAATAATATGTCTATTTGACTTTGCATGTATGAACAGAAGACCAAAATCGACTCATAAACTCTCATAAATTCATTAGTCATCTCACTTGCGGCCGGCTGGTGGACGACACACCCGAGAATCTCCAGAAGATCAACCAAAGCTCGAACTAGATGAAAATCCGAAAATTTGTCGGATAAAATAAAGTTTCACCTAAAGAACAAGTGCATGCTCTTGTGATCATGCGAGCAGACTGACAGAAGACATGGATGCTTGCATAGGTGTTTATAATTTGGACTCAATCCCTAGACTTGAATGTTAAAGGTGACAGAGAGAAAGTACGGAGTGTTGAATTTCATCCACACTTTCGGATTGGATCGATCTTACACAACTCTGGAGAGGTGCGCGAAAAGAGGAAACACCTACGCAAGCTTGCCCTGTTTCGCAACTGAGGTTCGAAGAATCAGGTGCTACATCAATCAATCCGTGAGGCCGAGAAACAGAGGAGGCCTTCAAATTCACGGCAAACATTTACACCGCACAACATCTGCACATCGTCAACTGGACAAAAGGACAACCCGGTCCCTCACCTTATCAGCGAAAGTCGCATCTGTCAGAGAAACAACTTCTGCGCTGACAGTACAACCCAGGAGCAAGACTAGCAAAGCCACGGGCAGAACGTGAGAAGCCATCTCTCGCTCGCTCGCTCACTCCTCCCCGGCTAAAAATCCCTTTCTCCTCTAGTCTCTCCTTCCCACTCACTCGATCAATGAATCAATCACACTTGACCAGGCAGAACGAGCTCAATCTCATACAGTCTCTGCTCCTCGTAGTCGCCTGTGTGCTTGATAAACGGCTCACTCACTCACGAGTCACAACTGGAGGGCAAATAAGCTGCAGGCAGAGGCAGAGGCAGAGGCAGGAGCAGGAGCAGGAGCGCAGGCAGCTGAGGCCCACTGCACTCACCAACTTATATACGTGTTGCGCTTAGATGCCGGCAGCTATGAAGCTCAAGCTTGCCGAGGGTTATTTACGACGATCAATACTACACTGCGAGCTGAATCGTGATCCGCCACTGGGAAGAGGCCACTTTTGCCGAGATTCAGATTCAGGTTAGGATTCGAGGTCCCAGCTTAGCTTAGCTTAGCTTAGCTTTGGACCATATTGTGGTCACGATATTCCATTCGTCCTCTACTACAAACCGCAAATGTCCGACAGTGGAGGACTGAGGACTGAGGACTGAGCAGGACTCTGCAAGTGTGGAGTAGGTGGTGGTCTTCCTCCATCTCGCACAGAGCTCCGTCGGATGGATGGTGGTGTTGGTCAACCACAACTGATCGAGGTCTTCCATAGTCAGCGCTGTGAAGAAGGCCCATCTCAACTGCGGTGTCATTCCACGTTAACGTACCACAGTCCATGAAGCAAAACGTACAATATGCTGGTCTGGTTTAATGTAGGTTAATCTTCTTCGAGATTCACGACTTCGGTGTGAATGACCGAATGAGAATCTTCGGAACTATATCTGCTCGCATTCCGGAAGTTCTATAATGATTACATCTTTGTATGACCAGATGGATTCTTCGGTGTTCAAAGTAGGCCTGAAAACTTTATCATAGAACGAACAGGTCTTGAAACTAACTTTTTTGTATTTTCTATTCAGCATCCTAGACATTCCACAACTGAGTCACAGCATTTCAACTTCTTCCACGAGAAATCTTACTCATATGGTAATCTAATTGCTTCGACTCAGAAATGTAAAAGGTTTAGAGCGTGGGTTAATGAAAATACAATGAGCTTCGTATCCGGTCATTCTCGAAAATGCTATCGATTATTTGATATATGGCTATTATATGGGCTTTCATCTGATTTTATGAAAAGTTAGCTACAAATGAACAACCATATTATCGTCTTTTGTAAATCACCTTACTGTAATTGATTATAGGTATTTCTAATTTAATGAAGATCCGAAAAACTATTATTTCCTTGCGTTCTGCATGAAAGGCTACAGTCTTTTAATTCTTTCATAGTAACGAACACGCATGGTTAGCACTTGTGAGGAGTTTTAATATGTTTTGATTCAGAAGTAAAGAGCGATAAAGTCCAAACAAATAGCTATCAGAGGTATAAATGTCATGAGTTTTGACAAAGTTAATATGATATGTGAAATGTTTCTCAAGGAAATTGACAGAATGGCTTGAAGTAAGGTATTGTTTTATCAGCATAATTGGTTTTGAGCAAAAAGGAAATAAGATGAGGAAGGAGCATCGTCATATAAAAATTAGACATATGCTAGTACTGTACACTGATTGCAAATAGGGACCCAGGGCATATGGAAATTTGAATTTAGACAGAGACAATCAAATGAATTCTAGTAATTTCCACCTCCATAGGTGCCAATAAGTCTACCAGAATCCTGTCTCTTTGGAGTCGCAACCTCAATCTCTTCAAGGCTAGCCATAATTCAAGCTACCTTTCATGCTTATTAAAATAAAAGCAGTTGGAAAGATTTACTGCTGCTGCACAATCAGTCTCTGACAGCTCAACTTTGCTGACGGATGTACCATCACCAACTGACATGGCCCAAACGCATTTCTGTATATCTGCCTGATCTGAAGAAAGTTTTAGTCCGCAAGATTATCGATCAATATTTTAGTCACCTGCCCGTTTTTTAAAACTGAAGAGTGTTCTGCGTTGAAAGATGTTGTGACCGGTGCGTATCGACAAAGAGAACCTTTCATAACCAAAAAGGTGAACATCTGACAGGACAGAACGATACGTTAGTGTCTGGTATTCAAAGCAACGTACATGTTCATTGTGGAGTGCAAATCAATAATGATTCCAAGTAACACGCTTATCCAAAACTCGTCTCCAGCTTACGTTTTTCACGTTGTATTTTGCCTCTGGACGTACAAGCTTTGGAAATGTCTATTCCTCTGAGAATCATTGATTCCTCCTCGAGTCAGTTCTGCTCTGGCTGTTCAGATGCCTTCCTGTGACCTCCAGAATAGTTGAAACGCGTCCTTAAGAAGGAAAAAAATACGATTTAAGTTCTCAATGTAAATTAACATGGCAATGGATGTGTATCTTCAAGGCTACGATGTCGGCTCAAGTTGGCAGCGACCAAGCCCAACAAATTTACATTGTTCTGTACCTCTTGCGTCCGGCTTTTTTTATTGCACACATGTCTCATAAGCAGGCGAAATTCTGCACTTTGCCTTTTGGTAACTGCGCCATTCCCCAGTCAGTCTGTTGAATGTTATTTCAACCCAAGGGCCTGAGTTTTTTTCCGGACCTCCTAGACGATACTCTATCGTACCACGCAAGGCTAAGCACATCTATAGTTAGAAATCCTTGTGGGCTGCAGATGATGTTCCTCACAAATGCTAGCTTCTTATCCGAATTGGTCGTCGCTAGCCCTTTTCTACATGTGGCCAAAAAGTTGAACCTGTCGAATTTTTTCCCAAGATGTCATTATGATTTCTCGATAGAAGGCTGTGGTTTACAGAATTCTTTCTGGTAGAGCGTGTGAGAACAACTCATGAACTATGAACTTATGAACGTTAGGCATTACCTCTCGTGCAGATGCAGTCCAGATTCATTCGTGATCACCCATCCATTGAACAAAGTGTACTGACATATGTGAATTGCTGCTCTTCATAACTAATCGTCTGCTGAGATGAGAACAATGAAAAGAATCATGATCGGCTCTACTTGTAATAAACAAACCCTGCAGAACAATTTTCTCATTCAAAACGCACAATTGAAAGTCCAGGATGGAATAATTGACAAACCTACTGATACATGGACCTGATACAGCTATTACACGTAACTTCAAAAATCAACTTCTGAAATGTGGCTTGATCATTCATTTCCAACACCAACAAAAGTTCTTGATGAGACATTTGGCCCTCTGTATTCTTGAGTTCAGAATATTTGAATGTGGGCGGATACACGAGTCGGAAATGATCACTCCCAGCAAATGCTGAAACATTTCAGATTTTTCATGATATAAATGCAGGGGATTTTATAAGCACAACTGACAACATAAAAGGTATAATTAGTTGAAATGGAGAGGATCAATGTGGTCATGTACAATAGCAACCCACTGCAAAGAGGTGATTGCTGCATAAATGGAGGTGAGAAGGTTACGATGTGAAACACACAGACAACTCAGGAGTGACCTAAATAACACAGAACAAACACTCAAACTCTGTTTATGAACTACGCCAGGGGTCAGTGTAACTCAAAAGAAGCAACAGACCATGCAGCAGGAAGAAAGCGTAACGAATTGCTTCAGAAAAAATCGTTCGAGGCATCCAGAAGATTGACAATACTCTGTGTATCATTCAAGCTCCAAATTACCAAAAGCAATTTGCATGTGGGGTGAGTAGAACCAAGTGCTCACTCAGAATCGTCCAAAAGAATTGACGCAAATGTATTTGGATGAGATGAATGAGATAAAATAAGCCCGTGATTTCAATCTTCGACAGCTTTTCACAATATCCCAACTCAGATTGCAACATTCAGCTGAACAGCGGAATTCTGGGCAACTCGGTAAAAAACTCGCTCGTATGAGAAAAGTTAGTGAGGACCATCTGCAATGAGTCCAGTTGAAACGTTTTGCTCTGCTTTCAGACGAGCTTTTCCTTTATAAGAATGGATGCCATTCACTTGACATTAGCAGGTACTTCCGATCGAATATAAAACTCTGTACAAAGAGATTCGGGGATCCAATGTGCTCCGGACTGAGATCTCTCCACGGACTCCTGTTTAGTACCTTGAGAGCAAAGGTGGGAACGGCCGGGGAAGGAGAGATCCAGGAGCAGGCCCTGCGGGAATCTCCCACTTCTCACGAAGCCTGCGCGTCTCCCATCCCTTCTGGTGCCGGCAGTTACCATTCGATCCCTTGAACCTCTTGCCTTTCTTGGTCCTGCTATCCCCTCGCCCGCAAATCTGCGCCTCTGACAACGCCTCTGCCGATGGAATCGCACATCCGCTCCTGGAAAAATTCAATGCATTCGAAATCGAACTGAAAGCCCGTGACACCGATCCGCTCTGCAAACCCTTCGCCAGCCGCGGCAGTATCATCGTCGCTGCTAGCAATTCGACAATTCGATTTCCCGTGCAGACGATCACAAATCTCGCAATTTCGCCAGATTCCTGTCCCGGACACTGAAGTCCATGAATCGTGTCATACGCTGGTTAGGGTTTATGCTGTTCTCGTAACCTGCGGTGTCCCCTCCATAAGAACACCATTTTCCACGTCAGCGTCGTCTTGCAGTCGTCGTGGCTTTCTCATTTCATCTTCGCCTCAGTGCGAACTCTGACTGGATTTTGTCGTCTAGCGACGTTGACGACCTTTTCACAGTCTATGCCACTACTGCGAGTTCGTTACCGGCGACTACCGGTAAGCGCAAGGCCTCCTGTACGTAATTCTCGTCAGTGTGCACAATTCGACGAGTGCAATGCCATGCACACAGCAATGACTTCAAACGATGTTACTTCCCATGGCCATTATTAGTCCGAGCTCCATCATTCCGAGCTCAAATCACTAAATTGTTGTAGTTCATGTTCATGGTCGATGTAAGTGCACACGAAGATGGTTTGCTTGAAGATGAGAAGATTCGCTCGAGATGGTTTGCAGTTAGACGCTTGTCCTCTAGCCTGGACGACCTTGCACTGAATGGCATGTGCAAAATTGCTCTGCAAGTGAATTTGTTTATCAGTCATTGGACGGTTGGCAGTTAGCCGTCAAACTGGACAGAAGGGCGAACAAGCCCAACAAGAAGCACCATCTTAGCCACGACGAAGGGCACGAGGCATTTGGCTGAAATCAAGTTGTTCAGTAGTAGCCGCAGCTACATTCCAAGTGATGGTTTGTTTGCCTTTCTGAATTCCAGTGATCGTTCGGTTTGGTCAGACATGATTCTTACCATTCCTACAGTAGTAGTAAATTACCCACGGGTGGACTCGCTTCGACAGCTCGTGGCGTTCAGTGTGAACCTCGGAAAGCTAGGGATGACGATGAGGTACTCCTTTGGATTCTTTTCAGTCGAGCCTTGGAGCATCTCTCCTTGCTTCAGAGATCGGGCCATGGTTGCTTCAACGGTGGTCTTCCAATCCTGCATCATCTTCCAGATGTGCAGAGGAATTTTGTTCCTTTTAGGGGGCTCTATCTCTTTCGTATGAATGCGTCACAAAAATTCTGCTCCAGCTGTGGCCAGAAGAAGGTAGAGAGAGACCAGTCGACTGCACTTCGCAAAGGAGCTTCTCTCTCCTTTGCTCCTTTGACAGAAACTAGATTAGATTTAGATTAGATTAGATTTAATGGGCACGCCAATTGAGCGCAGAGCACCCAATCCTCAACCATAGCCACTGCAACCACGAGAAATTACACGACTGGACCAAGTAACCTACACATTCTATATTCTACAGATCTACACATTTAGTGATGATCCATCCAATGCTCCTCGCATACACCACACCACATTGGCTATGGAGATTCTGTCACCTCAGGCCCTGTGTCCGATGGCCAGTCACAACAACCAATAGCTATGAAGGCAGGCATGCCAACCTCCAGCAAGCACGCACGCAGCTCAACGCCCCATTACGGCAAGAACAAGTACGTGAATGCGACCTGCGACGGCCATCGACCATCGAGCAGGCGCTCACTTGATTGTAGCATCGAGTCGAGATTGACGGCGGTGAACAGGCAGTGCATGTCCGACCTGACTCGAGCCGATGAGTGAGTGAGGGAGTGAGTGAGTGCGCCGCCGATCTTCGACCCACTTACTCAATCGACAGAGGACGTGATCACCGTACGTGAGTCGCTCGCTCGCTCGCTCCTCGGAAAACTTCCACACGATACGAGCGAGCGACAGCGATGGCACTGGTGATTCTGCATACGGCTGTCGATTCGCACGATTCGGCACGAACCGTGCCCCGTACGAGAGGAGACCGAAGTGGGATTGTGAGACAGCACGAATGCATCGAGGGGCCGGCGGTGGCTGGTGGCTCAATCCATGGGAGGGAGGTGGGAGTGGTCCAGAGGAGAGCAATCGAGCGACGGACGATCGACAGCGTACGGCATTCTGTTTGGGCTTTGGACGAAGAAGAAAATCGTTTCATGAGCTCTGTCTGTGGCTGTCTGTCGTCCTCACTCCTAATCCTCCCTCCTCTCCCGTCACAGTTGTGGAGACGACGACGACGGTGGTGTGATGATGACGATGATGGAGCGCTCCTCACGGCGATGGTGTCCAAACCGAATCAACCTCCTTTGTGGCTGTCGTTCGCATCCTCGTCCTGCTCCTCTCCGCTCATGGCCTCCTCTTTCTCCCGTTGTTGTCAATGATGCATGTGATATTGAGGTTGCTGGGCTATCGATCGTTCTACAACTATTTCAATTGACGTGTGGGGCGATGGCGACGAGTCGGTGAGGACCGTGTACATGATTGTCATTCCTCATCTTCATGAGAGACAGCCAGATAGACACAATCGATGCTTACTCGTCTTCCAGTTTTCCGTTTCTCATCGAGCCAGCCCCTCCATTTCTCGGGAACAGCATTCAGTGCTATGATCTGAATTAACATCAAATCAGTCAACATGGTTACCAGTTTCTCTCATTCTTATTAGCATCGTATGATACACATTGCACGACAAATGAATTATCCTATCCGACTGTACGCCATGTCGTAAAATGAGATTTGTAGTCACATTTTGCATTTGCCTCAAGCTAGACAACGTGGTCTGGTATGAGGACCAACGAGGATCTCGTCCTCAGCCAGAAACTCGGCACACTCTCGACGTCGACATTTTGAATGAGGATTCATTCCGTCAGTAAAAAGGAAGAGCGGGAAGAACGACAAAGAAAGTGCTTAATTTAATTTAATACTTCCATGTGCGTTTATTCAGAATATAATACAAAACTCTGATATTCGTTTCCTATCTGTACAGCTCTCTTCTCTCTTCTCTCTCCCTCTCTCTCTCTCTTCCTATTTGGCCATCTGGTTCTACCCGAGGAACAATAATGTCTCTAGTTAGTGGAAGTCAACAACAACCAGAGACAGCTCAAAATATCTCCTCTACACTGGCCTTTCCACTACACCGGCCGTGAAAGAGGTCTCCCTCCCTCGCCCACAGGATTATTCATCCTTATTACGCCCTCGCTCGTCAGATGAGCCCCCAACCTGCCCCCATTCATTCATCCTCGACAGATGACTTGACAGAGATGACGTCGATGACAGCCAGCCAGACAGCCTCAAGCTCTCTCTCTCTCTCAGCTCAGCTCTGCTCTGCTCTGCTCAGCTCAGCCAACCAGGTGAATCTTCGTTCCGGGTCTTTCATATGCAAAATTGACCACCTGACAGCTAGAGGCTGAGCCCAGGGATGGCTGCAACTTGCCATATCCCCTATTGCCTCCTTCCTTGCTTGCTTCCATCCTTCCTTCCTTCCTGACTCACTGATGATGGCTCGTCTGTAATCGAGATCTCTCGGTTGCTTGCAGCATCTGTACTTGCTCTGCTTTCGAGGATATGGCGTGGTGCAGCATCAGCACATGTCGAGGGAAAGGTGGAGATGATGAATAAAGTGTGTCCCGTCTGGTGGCGGGCGGGCCGGGAGCTGAGGGGGATGGCTCCTACAAAATTGCTTGCAAGCAGGATATGAGACGTGCAACTTCAATCGGAGTGTTGTAGTGCACCATGGATATTCTGACGACACCGTCCTCCTCGGAATTCACCGTGAGCTTCTTGTGGGCCACGAGGCCGGAGATGAGGCGGTAGCAATACATGTGCCCATTGCGGCAGGCGAAATTGGCGCTGTGCAGCTCCTGGCAGATCTGCGGCGAGCGCTTCGACGCATGGATGAAGCTGATGGTGGGCACTCGGAACTCGGGCTCCGACGACACGGGCCCGAGAATGATCACATCCTGCCGCGAGCGCAGAAACGCCAGCAGCTTCTCCTGCAGCGGCTGCTCCAGCAGCACGATCGTATCGTAGGCCGCCTCGACCACCACGCGATCGAGTCTCGTCGACACCTTGCCCCCGAAATTTAGCGCCTCCTGGCCGAAGCTCGTGCCCTGCAGCGCCAGATCCCAGTCGCGCAGCGACGACGTCATGCTCTCGAGGAAAATCTCGGACACCGGCGGTTGCAGGTCGCCGTTGAAGGCCTTCATCGACACGTCGGCGGTGGCGCCGGGCGATGACGAGGCATCCGCACTGTCCACCCTGGCAGCCAACGCGATCGACGAGTCCTCCAATTTCATCAGCACCCCCGCTCCTCCCCCACCTCCACCTCCGCCTGCCGCCTCGGCTTGGCACGCGACGACCTCCTGCTTCTCTTTGGCACCGGCGCCCCCTCCTCCTTCGAGCGACAGCGTAAAGGCCTCCCCGACGCGGGCGAGAACGCCGAGGTACTGCGTGAGCGCGATGACGCCCGCGCACGCTTCGTGGTTGGGGCCGCCGAGCTCGAACTGCTTGGTTACGTCGTCGTCGCCGATGAAGTCCCAGTTGGGGCTGTAGTCCTTGACGTCGAGGAAGGCGTCGTGAGAGCCGTAGAGCACGGCCATGTGCGGGCCGTAAACCTTGTACGAGCTGAAGACGTACCAGTCGACGGCCCACTTGGCCACGTCGACCGCGCGGTGAGGCGCGTAGGCCACCCCGTCAGCCACCACTCGGACCACGCTGTCGCCGACCCGGGTCTTGACGAGCTTGACGACGCGCTCCAGGTCCAGAACCTCGCCCAAAATGTTCGAGACGTGCGCCACGGCCACGATGCGCGTGCGAGGGCTGAGCAGCGCCGCCAGCGCCTCGAGCTCAGACTCGAAGGTGTCGTAGTTCACCCTCCACCATTTCACCGTGAGGCCGCAGCGCACCGCCATGCGCAGCCAGGGCCCCGAGTTCGCCTCGTGATTCGCCTCGTGCACGATGATCTCGTCGCCCTCGGCCAGCAGGTGGCTGTAGCAGTAGCTCAGATTGGTGAGCATCTGCGATGTGGACGCGCCGAACACCACCTCGCCCACGCCGTGCGCGTTGGTGAAGGTCTTCATGTGGTTGTGCGCGGACTTGATGGTTTCCGTGGCTCGATTCGACAGATCGTACCCGGCTCCCACCTGCACGTAGGACGCCCTCATGTAATTGCTGATGGCGTCGATCACCACTCGCGGCACCTGGCTCCCTCCCGCATTCTCCATGAAGATGGGATGATTCTTGCCCGTGAATGCGTCGAAGTAGGGAAAATTCGATCGCACTCTGTCGTACAAAACTTTCACTCTGGCCACCTTCTCGAAGCAGCTCGGCAGCATCACTGCAGCCGGCGAGGGGATCATCTGCGCCATGGTCGATAGAGGTGAGAATCCGGACGTGCTTGAAGCTGTGGGGTGCTCTGAGACATTCAGGAGCCTGTCGACGCACAAATGTGCGAAATTGGAGTTCATGGAGTGGGGACTTACATGATGATTACGAGGGTCGTTCGGCGATGTGGAAGCCTGAATGCTGTTGTAGGCGACGTGCAGGGGGCCGCCTTGGCCTGCAGCGACAGCCATGCTGATGGACGAGATGGCACCGAGAGACGAAGTGGCAGCGACTTCCGACGAGGCCGAGTAGTTCTCCGCCGAGCGCTTGGGCCTGCTGCGCCCTCTGCCCACATGCCGCTCGCAGTACTTCTGGCCCGGGACGACTTCTCGTGCACATTGCCACCGCTTGCCATCTTTCCGATTGCATCTGACAACATCTTCGCCAAGAGTATATTCCTTCGGTTAGAATGACTGCTTCGGAATGCTCGAGCCCTCTACTTTGCATCTGTGACGTTCTTCCATCAATGGAGTCCGTGACTTTCTCCCGCAGGTGAGCTCACCCAAGGGCCCGCCCATGCATGCAACACAACCCAACCCAATCCAACCCAACCCAACCTCCATCCCTCCAGAGCCGGAGGTCACACGCAACTTACTTACCACAAGCATAATCTATCTAGAACGAAGAGACAGTCAGATTAGGAATATACGACCCACAAATCTTCTCAGCAGAACAATACCCTACGAAATTACGACCCGAGATGTGGTCCACCACTCCCAGTGACAACTCGGGGCAAGCGCATGCAGCCCACCGACAGCACCCTCATGCGAGGGATGCTGCACATACAGATGAGGATTTCCAGTGTAGAATACAATAAAGGCAGGTCTACGGGCGGGGACATACCACGGACGGCGCTCCAAAATCCCTGCACATGTGGGGCGTCAGGAGCCATGGGTATTCCAGCCATTGTGGTGTACTTCAGCAGCTTTCACCTTTGTCCCATGGGCGGGGAACCTTTCAGGTGTACATTGCAATTGTTCGACCCGAGTCCAGTTCTATGTCGATCGCAGCTGCAAATGCACAAGCGTGGGCAATGTCAGAGAATTTATATTTCTGATCCAGGCTCCGGAACTTCAGTCCACATCCTCCACATGTGTCACCCATCTTTGTCGGATATTGGTACGAAGAGCAAGACCAGAATTACAAGGTGCAGGAGATTCTTCGCTCTCGGCCAAAGAAGGTGACAGAGATATCATACTATCAATTGGGTCGGGTTCACCGTTACTCAGAAGGCTGAGCTGGTAAGAATCCTAAGATCGAATTGTTCATAATATGGCGTTTGGAAGAGACCTGCTTGGGGATTCAGACGACAGTTCACTGAAAGCCCGACAGATTCGTCCTCTCTCCTGAAGAGGGAGTCTGAGAACGAATGACAACTTCGTCCCTCTACTTCCGCTATCAAATTGCCTTCATAAGACCAGTGATAGTTTCCAAGCAACGAGACTGTTGGGCGTTCATTCCCGACAAATCCCCATCTAATACTTTCGGTCCCATGCCAATTTCGAATTGTCATGAGCACCGACCCTGGTTCCGAAATCTCCAGGGGATACACGGTTTCAAAGCCTCTTCTTCTCAGAATAGGAAATTTCCCCACAACCCCATGAGAGAAGAGGTCATGTTATGAGGAGTTCTCAGAATATCTAATTAGGCTGAAAAAGTTGTTCGAGTATCCTTGTCCTCGAATAAACAATCATTCAATACGAGGAGCTCATTTGATCCTAGATTCTCTAAGCGAACCAGCAAAATGCTAACGGCGACGATCGACAGCCTCCTGTCGCCCCCACTCTATAAGCACAAGCTGCTTCGCCTATGGTGAGGGCTAGTCAGCTCCGGCATGTACGAAACGCTGATTAGCTGGCGACCTACTTGTGGATGACATCCGTCTGCTCACAGCCTAGCCATCGTAGGCGCTTGAGTGGTCCCCGCAGCCATGTCGAGCTTCCCTACGGTGCAGCTCAAAGGCTTCATAATCTCTGCTTCCAGCTCATCCCGCCTCCAAGCTTCACCACCTCACTCTACTTTCTACTACCAGCTCTCGAGGCCATCGAGAATCCTGGACATCCTTTCCAGTCCCGCGTCGAACTCTGAGCTCTGAGCTGGACTTCAGAGTTCAACATGACGCACAATGTTGCCGTTTCCTCGGGGAGGAGAACTTCGTCGTGAACAGCCGGAGTCACTCCATTCTTTTTCTCGACCGACGCGCAGCGCAGTGGACAGAACCACTCGCTTCAGCACGAAGAATTGCAAAGGCTGGCACCAAATGGCGGCTCAGGCGGTGTCCGTAGCAAGTTTCACATTGAAATTACCACGATACAATTGAAATTTGGCGCGGCGGATAAATATCCCAGTCATGCTTGAATTTGGCAGACGCATGGCAGCTGACACTGACCAGAGCAGTCAGCAAAAGGCGGGAGAGGCTCACAGACTTCATTCCGAATCAAAAGCAACCACGGGAAGAGCAGTGTCGCACCAAAGTGAAAACGAAGGATGAGACCCAGGCTAGCACTTGTTTAAACACCATTCGATTTCGTCCCAGCTGAGACGCCCTTCGCTCGGAGAGATGAGGGCGGAACAGCTGAAACGGCCACGAAGAAATAAGCAAATGGACTAAAAAAGCGTCAATGCAGAGAAGATTAGAAGGAAGGCTGTGGGGACGTAGGACGAGCAGGAAGTGCTAGGATGAGGTGAGTAGGAAGGAGGGAACACTGACCGACTGTATTTCGATTTACTGCAAATTCCCACTGAGACGAGCGAGACGCATCCTCGTCGCCCTCTTGCTCAGTGAGAGTCGAACACCAGCTCGACTGACCACGCAGCCTCCATGTTCGAAACTACACCCACTCACTCTCTCACTGAAGAACCTGTCCAGCTGACGAACCGCCCGCGGCGTTCCCCGCCAACAACAAAAGCTCGTTCCGTCCTCAGGTCGGGTTCATGTCGCCTCCTTCACCTTCACCTGTCGGAGAGCTAAACATCGATCATATCCATTGTGTGCCTACCGAGGGCACGGCCCGGGCCTTACTTCGAAAGTTGCAGTACGTGGTCGCGACGAGCTATCCTTGCAACTATCGCAACTATGTCCAGTGCTGACCTCGAGAGAGATCTCAGAGCTCGCTGGCTGGCTGGCTGGCTGGCTAGCTAGCTCGATCAATCGTTCGTTCGTCCCGCACACCACTCCGATACTCAGGGAGTGAGAAATAGAAAGGGGAGGAAAGAGAACACAGACAGAGCAGAGCAGACAGTTCACGTCCACAACCACATGAGCAGAGTCTGAAGACGGTGGTGGAGGTGACAGAAAGCGTCAGCTCATGCAGCGGCCAGCTCCGTCTCTTTCGGCCTATGATATGATCCACAGTCTCAGGAAAGAGCTGAGCTGAGCTGAACTGAAGTCGGGGGAGGAGAAGTCGACCAGTGAAGACTGTCAGCGGAATTCTTCGTCGTCAGCTGCAGCAGCGGAAAAGCGAAGCCGAGCCAAAAGCGGATAATGATACTCGCTACTACAGAGCACTAGAGCAGCTGCTTCTGCTGCTGCTGCTACGCTACGACCAGTACTAGAAATACTACTACTACAGCAGCAGCACCACCAAGCAGAAGCCGTGGCAGGAGGAGCTGGGGTACGAGGCCGAGGCCAAAGCGGCAAATCATGACACATTGGCAGAATTCCTTTTGGCCCAGGAGGCATGATGAAGACGAAGAAGAAGGAGAAGCCTGAGCGAGTGTCCAGTAGTAGATCTCGAGTGCTGTGCCAGCGCAAACGATGGCGAAGGCGGGAGAGCGCAGCGGACGTACAACATCATCTATGACGACGGGCGAAACGCACATGGAAAGGTTCATCAATTGATGGGCGGATTCTTCCCCGTCGCAGCTGTGCACCACCATCGCCACCATCCATCCATCCATCCATCCATCCATCAGGCTCGCAGTTCCAATTGCGCATCATGTACACTCTCTCTCGCCCATCAATCAGACCGCGCCGCGCCCGGGCCGTCCGATTCGGCCCGGGGTCGCCCTCGGACCCGTGCGATGGCTCTGACACCCTTCCTTACACTAAGGAATCCTACCAACACTCGCCATCCATCCAACGGCCGTCATCAAACCGTGCCGGGGTAGGACCCGAATGATATAAATAGGTACCGGTGGTCCCGTGTCTCCAACCCTCGGGACCACTCCCTCGAACTCCAGTGGTTTTATGGTGAATTTAATATTGCCCTTCAACTCTTCTTTTCTCGTACTTCTTGCATTATACTATTATCATTTCGCTCTCCTTTCGCTTTCTCATTTTTCTACTCCTTCTCTGGAGCATGTCTCTCTCTCGCACTTGGCACTCGAGCCCTTCGTCCTTCGTCCATTCGCCCGCTGTTATCCACTGTGCGTGTTTCATCCTCTACCCGTTTTATCTGAAATCTGAACCGGATCATGAACTGTCCAAGGTTCTGCATTGTGCAAACATTCGGCATCTTCGGTTTGTGCGTCCCCAGGCTCTCGCATAATTGTGAGTTGCAGACAGACCAGTCGCTAGAAATATGGGCTTCGTCTCTTCTACCGCATTTTCAGGTCAAACTGCATGGATTCCGTGATTTTTTCTACGTGTTAGAACCCACGGATGAGAGGAGATGACACTCTCAATCCAAGATGAGTGAATGTTTTATTTATTATTATCGTCTTAATCCTCGTACCCCACTCGAGACATTATTGAAGGTATTTGAGAGGAAAGGAAATATACTTAAGCTCAGCTGCACATCAAAATTGCTCGACGGGGTCTTCGCGGTTGCTTTCCCTACTTTCTGTCTACTGTCTGTAAGTTAAGAATGCTGTACGTCCTACAAAATCAAACTAGCAACAGAATTTAAATTTACAATATGCGCTTTATATTCCTTTATCTAGTATCAGAATATTGAGTCCTTGTTTCGTACATGCAACTTATTAGTTCTTATTGTCTACCTTTACACTCAAATACATCACGCATGGGCACCCTGCGATATTTCTCCAGTAGCTGGGAATAACTGGAGAATTCAAGTGGATCAGCTAAGCGCTGAATGACATTTTGTGTGTAATGCAAAATGAGCTCAAAATCTTGTCTCAGATTAGCACCAGCGATCAGGCTTGATATCTCACTGCACCCATAGCCTTTATCCAAATATGTACGAAAAGAGAAAGATGCATCTTTCAGCTAAATGCTAGCAAAAGGGGCTGATCTATCTTGTAGGGATAGAGAGGGCCTGGGACTGGGACCGCGAATCGTAACTGCAGTGAGAGGTTCGTCATACTCATCCACTCAAGTTTGACGACATAGGTCAACTTTTCCAACTTCGTTCTCACTGCATTTATGAACTTGCAGTTAAGAGCTGCGGTTGCCATCAATATTATTAGTCTATTTAGACCACTTGAGTAGTTGGACCCTTTATGATCTTCAACGAAATGTATAATGGATGAGCGACGGACAGGAGACGAGCATGGACTATTCTACCCTCCTCTCCACCACAAAGCACTTGACTTCCAACTGTATTTTGTACTACTGTACTGATTGAAAGGACAACGAACTTGAAATGTATCTGTTGGTTTCTCGCGTAAATTAAACTCTCACCTAGCTTCCATTCAGCCTCTCTTATTTCAAGTGTTACATGAACGGGTGACTTGCAATAACCACTTCAACTAGACCATCACAATACATGCATGGGCTGGACAAGCATTATTGACCACTCAAATCTTCGCGGAAATCTTCCACGCGCAAGTTTTCAACGTATGTTTATCGTCTAGAAAACCAACACGGTCGCCCTTTGAGTCCAACTTCTAGAACTGTGATGAATACTAACTACAATCCAGGAAAGACTCTATTACATAATACTGTCTTCGCTTCTTTATACATTTTCTTTTTCCCTTATCTCTTCTAAAATGTTTGAATTTCATCTACTGGGACCATACATGAAGGACTGACCGCTATACTTAGCGTGTTCAAAATACTTATAAAGAGAGTGAGAATTGCAAATAGATTTTGAGACGTCAACGAAAGCGAGAATAGGTTTTATACTACGGTGAATTTTCATCTAGGCAATGTCAACAAATTCTGGGTGTCGACCAATTGCTACAAAATTACAATTATGTTTTCCATAACAATTTTACGGCAATTAATCCATGTGGAAACAAAAAAAGTGGAATTATTTTTTGTGGAAACAAACATTTCCAAATGGGTAGATAACCTTACTTAATAACCCACAAAACAAAACAAAAATACTTTATCTGGAATCTGGAAGATTGCGAGAATCCACATGGATGGCAATTTGACCATATTTTGTAAGACATCTTTCTAGATTTCCAATAATCTTTCTGATATCTGGCCTACAACTCTGTATGGTTATGCCTGAGATGCATGAAATTGTATCCTTAATTCCCAACACTGTTAACCCGCGTGAACATGAATAACACAAAAGCGGAATATCGAAAATCTAAATGAGAATCTACGAGGATAGGAACAAAGTTTGAAAATGATATGTTTTTAATTACAAACTAAATAGAAGTGAAGATAGATGAAAGGGCTTTTAAGATCTTGAATTCTTATGATGTACATCTTATCAATAGTATCAATCATAATAAATTGCTATATGCATTGTTCTTTATACACTGTCATCTTGGTTCCCTCCATATATTTGTCATCACCGCGACATATTTTAAGGTTGAGCAAGTTGGTGTCGCAAATAGTGGACTGATGACCACATGTGGTTCAACATTGGTAGTTCAAGTTCTCGTAAGTTCAGCTTTTCATCTTGTAATGCTAAGCCTTTATATTCAAAAGTCCAAATAGAAACACACTAACTCTTGCTTAAGATCTCACGATCAATGGCCAGAAAGGCACAATATCCAAGCACGAAAGTTCAGTCAAGGAATAGTAATTTTGAATTTAAGATTTGTACGTAAACATTGTATGAACAAGTAAAGAGAGTATTGATTGGCGAGAGGAGAAGTCAGGTAAACAACGGGACAGAACTATCTAAAACTGAAAAGACGAGAAGCTTGCTGTATGGTATTCATGGTAAAGCTTAAATGCTCCTAATACTAGTGTTTAGAAAAATTTTATGTACGAATCATTTATAATTTTAATAAATTTTATTTGATTTTATTCGTTTACCTCGTACATTATTATGTGTATATTTTTATAACGTTTTACACCTGCTGGAAATATAATAATGCAATACAGAAATAACTCTTTCATTACTCTGTATGTATCAGAAAAATCGATTCTAAGGATTGCATTATGTTCAAAGAAACCAACATTTTTAAAATTCGTTTTTTATTTATATTTATATTAAAAAACTGGAAAATCAACCAAATCCTAAAACATGACTTATATATATACACTGAATTTTAAATTAATAATTTCATGGAAGCTATCAAAAAGGCATGTGATTGTAATTTTTAATTACAAATGGTTATTTTCTCATCAATCGATGGTATTGAACTATATCAACACTGAGACTATAAGATTACCAACAGATATAAATATATTTTTTAAATCATTAAAGTATAAGCAATATTAAAGAACGGAAACAAATTTTGTATTTCATGTCTATCATTATTAAGATACTTAAAGAAGCCTTTGGATAATTTGGACCCCCAAAAAAGTTTCACCTTTTTATGCATTGTTTGAAGCAAATATTGCTTGATTATCAATACGTAACATCATCCTTGTTAACTTAGCTGCAAAATGTCCATTGCAAAACGATATTTTTTTTCACCATTTTTGACGAGGTCGAATTTGAAGCATTAGATACAATAGAAGAGTACTGCTTAGATTCAGAAAAAGTTTAGAGGTTCAAAAGCTTGAAGATTTACATATTGGTCTAATAATTTCGAATTTTCTAATCGATGAATATATGTATTAAATTATTTATTTCAAACAGTTATAGAGTCTGGTTGTTAAATATGGAATCTTTGATTTATGCAAATCATTTTTTTATGGTTATGGAGATAAATGTATGCTCTCCATATTCTTTACATTAAAATTTGTTTGGTTCATTTTTCTCAAAATCTTACATATGATGTTTTCAGTTACGAAATCATTCATAAAAAATTTCATTGGATTTAGACAACTTCATATTTTTAAAATATCAAATAATATGATAGTTATATACATAGTGTATTTATCTTGAATTATCATATTCAAAATATACTTAACATGTTTTTGTGTATATATATCATATATATACACTTTTTAATAAAAGAATTAGTTCTGTTGAGTTTTGCATTCTAAGTTGAGAGGTGTTGCATGGATCAAATGTGTTTATATGTATTCGTAAGAATTGTGAGAGAAATTTAAAATCTTCATGGTCTATGAGTTGAATAAAAATTGATTAAATATTATTGATGTGACGAGTATTCAGATTCATACATAATATATAAAATATATGAGATACTTGTTTAGTGTAAATATATATAAAATTAAATCATAAATAAATAAATAACCTTATTCTACTTGAAAATTTCCTTGGAAGCAGGAAATGTGTGAACTAAACTTGATTTCAATATACTTTGAATCTTAATATATGCGTATAAATAATCGCATTAAAATTTATTCAATTCGCTATTAGAATTACATTGGGAATTGTATCCGAAGAGTTCTTTACATCACTTGGAGTGCATCTGTTGGAAAGTAAAAGATTATAGACTTTACAATTGCATATATCCTAAGAAAAGCTGAATGAAATTTTACCTTAAGAAAAAAAATTTGAACTCGAAAGGCAAATATGAGATACTGAAATAAATTTGTCTGGTATGTAGAAGGAATTACAGGTCGATTGAAAAAATTAATTAAAAAACTCTCTCGGCAGTCAAATGTAGATGAAGACTCATATATCAATCTACGATCAGACTAAAATCTACGTTTGCAAGTGTGGCACTCATGCGTAAAGGGATCGTCCATTATCCGCAAAACCTTTCACCGGATTGCCAATAAACGTTTCGGCATTGAGGATATATTATTATTGCCATATTGTCATGCTCTTGTTGGCTGGTTATGACATAGCACAACATATGCACCTTAAGCAAGCGAGCCTCACATTTTGTATGGCTCGCTACCTCAAGGGAATATGTTCTTGTTTGTACTTCCGTTTTTTTCCCTTCCAAGATAGGAATATTACATTTATTTTTACTCCCCTTTTATATCAAACTATCACTCGGATTTGTCCATAGCACAAAATGAAAAAGTTTAATTCTGTGTTTTTCTAATATTTTGTTTTAAAGTGGTGAACTGCAGAAACTCGTCAGTACAAATTTTCAGTTATTCAAAAATCGCCCAACATAGTTGGGTCGACCGTCGAGCCAATCTTAGTGCAAGAAGATATCGATTGAAACCCATTGTCTACTCTAGAAATACACATTTAAGGGTTTAGCTTGGAGATGAGATTTCATTATCTGATAGCACTACATTGTAGAGAATATACTGATGTGCTCCTCAAACTGTGTAGAGCTACGATTATGGATTGGTAATGATGTCATTAGTAATGATCTGCAATTTCCATGGTCAATTTCATAAGCATGGTGTAGAGTCATAGCTCTATGCATGGTGCCTAGGGTGATTTACAAGCTACGTTGTCGAACTTTAAGGGACAACCAGTCAAGCATGCAAATGTCATGGGCATACTAGGGGATGTAGTCGTAGATAGGGTATGCGAAAGACAGATTGCAAATATTGACATTGCAAGAAAAAATTAATTGCTCTTGTCCGCAAGAGCCAAAAATAAAGACTCTGTATGAATGCATTTGATGTGCTCACGAGGGATTATCCACATGAAGGTTGACTATATAGTCATGGGACCACCTCTGCTGGTGTAAGAGGTCAGATATGTATGAGGTGAGTTTTCTTGTTATACGGTGGTTATTATGGTGGTTTTCTTCAAAAGGACAACTCTACTTAAAAACTAGAAATCAGGACCATGAGGATGCAGGATACATATATCATCTCTCCCTTATGAAAAGATTCGATGAGGGATGTAAACGTCGGAAGGAAATTCGCTATCCATTTATTTCTGCAAAAATTCGGAACTAATCTGAAGAGAAGCACTCGGTGCTGCTGTCAGTTCGTCATTCAATGCCTCTAAGAGCAGATTGAATCGACTATGAGAACCTTGGTATGGCATCACACAAACTCATGTGATTGTACATGTTAAATTTCACATTTCATTTCGATTTCAAAAGGTTTTTATATTTGGGAAATATGTTCGCTCGCTCTCGCTTCTTATCGCTCATGCGTGAGTGCCAAAATGAGTAATTTTCATATGTATTATTTTAAGTATAGCAAATATTCATATGACTTGTAGACATAGACAAATATAGACAAATATTCATAGACATAGTCACATGATTTACTGATTAAGACGTGAAAAAAATTCACATCACTGGTTATTTCATATTTTAGATTTAAAAAATTCTCATAATTTTCATTTATTCAGAATTTATATTTTATAAATGTATTGTATACTTTAGCTTGGGGTTTTACCCAATGTTCCAAGGCAAATCGATGTAATTTTAATGGTACCAGCCATTTTAGAAAACCATGTGGTTTCTTCCTTTTGAGTCTTGACGGGTATGCCAACACTTTTTGCTCTATTATTCGTGACCTTTAGGTTTCCCACTCTTATACGCATAGTGTGTCTCATCTGAAATATCTCGGCCAATAGGCGCAAGCGACTTACACCACTTTCGCAGCAACGGTTTGAAAAGCCACCGTCATCTTCCCCACGAGTTCTCAGAGGAATCGCAGCAGCTCCCCTCCCCTCCCCTGCCCTGCCCGGACCTTCGGATCTTCAGAAAGACCCGGAGGAAATACGAAGGGCCCAGTATGCTGTCACTCGGTCTCTACCCCGGACCCGTCGTCTGCCGCAGAACGTTATTCTCCTCCATCGCGGCAGGAACAAGGGTCCGGCAGGTCCGCGGGGGCGGGGGGGGAACGAAACAACGGAGCGGACCGGATCCGGATCCGGATCGGGAGGAGGGGATTTGCGAGCCCGTCCTTTTCTTGGAGAAGGGGGAGGGGGGCAGTGAGTGGGTACTAGAATCCACTGACTAGATCATTTCTTTTTGTTCTTTTGTGGTCTCCACTTCGGCAATTCGCTTTACTGCACGCACCTCTCACCACTGTCCTCAGTCCAGCATGTTGTCAAAAGCTGACACGGCCGGTATTCAAAGATCACTTTGCCGGGCAGCAGCAGCAGCAGCAGCAACAGCAGCAGCTGCTGCAGCGCGTTTGTAGCTCGGCATTTTAGTGGGGGATATGAATTCGCCCTCCTCTTCTCAACCCTTCCTTTATGTGGCTTTTTGGTCCGTTATCCTATTTCTTCCTCGACAGGCATTCTTGCTTCCATGCCCCAGGCAGGCAGGCAGGCAGGCAGGCAGGCTGCTCGAGGAACACCTGCTCGTCTCAGATATCAAATGAAATTGTGTGTGGCGTACACAAAGCATTTGGTATTTCACTCGAGCGAGTCACGGACTGCCTCCATGAAATCTGAGCAGGCATGGTGTTTCGGATGAACCAGTCATTTCTACATTTGCTAGTGCCGATGGGCAGGCGAATGAATCTCTGCCTTGCTTGTGGCAGAGAATCGTTTGCTTCACAAACCCGGTGCAGATCGTGTCTGCCCACCCGCTAAATAATCACACGAAGCATGCACTTGAGGCGGGCGACTTCGCAAGGCTTCGGAGAAGAGTCGATCGGAGTTCGTTCGATTCGGATCAGATCACCACGAATTTTGTACCAGTTCCACATCTGGTCGGGACTTGATGTTCCTACTCGAGCCCTGAAATAGGTTTTCACTGTGGTTTGATTTCAAGCTCTTCGCATGCAGACATAGACATGAATTTACAACGAGCAGACTCTTGAATTGGACAAATTAGTACGTCGATGCACCTTCCTTGCAATCTGTACAACGAGGGAGTGACCTTCTCCTTTCAGATTAGCACCGGTTCCGATGATTGGAAGAAGGAATCTGATAGGAGCACAACAATCCTACCAAGATAATTTGAAGCTCACCAAGATATTTTGTTCACTTAAGACCAACGCCATATCGGGCTCGGATCAGTTGTTCTGAAAATATGGCAACCCAACATCAGATCGATCCTCCACGAAAACAGATGAGCGCGGGTAAGCCTGTAGCCTGGACTATCATCCGTACCGCACTGTCGACGGTCGTTGACGATGGCGATGGTCGTGATGAAGTCTGTCTCTTCGGAAAATTCAGGGCGAGTAAGAGGAGAGGAGAGGAGGTCTGATTGGATCCAGGTTTCGGTCCTCTCGATATGAAATCATGCCTGTTATCTAAAACAAATCTGACGAACCCTAATAACTTCCTGTGCCTCTGGGATCGAAGAGCGAGCGAGGGCTCGTCACATGGTTGGGTGAACTTGCTCGAAAAATCCTCGTCTTCTGCCTAAACATTCCAATGCAATTTTTTTTAATTCCATTGGTTACACTCGACGATTCTGCCGTCATACTATAACACTTTTAGGCAAAGAAGACTCCTGATCGATTTAGGATACAATGTGCTGAGTGTGCTGAGAATATTCTGAGCTCGGACATCTACTTGTACAATGTGTCGTCTCAGTCTCACGCAGAACGTGAGTGGAGAAGAAATCCTTGACTTCCAGTTAAGGCAAAGTGTCACAAGTGACAGGATACTTCCGTGAGTGCGATGTTTAAGAAGATGAGAATGCTGCTGAATGTAATGGCAGGTCCAGAGTCGAGAAGTAAGAATGCAAGTACGAGTTAAGGTTGGATCCAAGGGGGTCAACTTTCCACTCCATAGACTTACTTGCAATAAAATGATCTACGAAGGTACTGATGTCCTCTGTCCAGATGTCGACTGAAGAACATCATCGTCCGAAGTGGTGCATGTTTGCGGCTCATTGACGGAAAATGTTGCACAAAGTGTGTTGAGCCTGATTCTTCGTTCCACAATCTTGATGGCTGTCTAAAACTTTCGGTTCCCAGCCACTCACTCCCCAGCCAACAATCTTCCACAGCATGTTTCTTTCAACCTGACATTCTGTACAAAATTCGCCCCGTCCTCCGATTCCTTCACTAATTGTCCATCAAATGCGTTGGGTGCCCGATAATCACAACATTCTCGACGTTTTCGGCTATGGCAAAACGGTCTTTGCATGGGTTTGACAAAGGCGGACATTTTCTGCTCCCACTTGACATGACAATGCCGTAAGGCTCATGATCATTACGGCACATTGATCTCCTAGTCTCATACGCTGTCGTACATCTGACAGTAGCAGCAGCAGCGGAGGTGGATGAGATCATCTCATTGAGATGACATGTAAACTTATCGGGACTTTTTCCTTCTGATCTGCTGTCTTTCTCACATGCAAAGGATCGACATTTTGGGCACGCTCTGAGATGCGTCAGCTTTTGTACATCTAGTGCCAGATTTGGCAACGCGCCTAAAGCTTGACATAGGTTCAGCTGAAACCGAAAGTGGTGATCGCCATGATGCGTGCCCCATCGGTTCTCCGATCAGAACATCACTTGACCTTTTCAGCTATCGTACCATTGTCATTTTCATGTGTTGACAGAAAGATGCATCTTGGGCTCTACCTTCATGAAATTGTACGTCTCCGAGCAGGATGTGCTGTCAGTAGAGTCCGAGATCACACCCAGCACACAACGATCAAGTGGCTGGCTGGCTGCTAGTCCAGCTGACAGTGCTGGACTCCGACGCTGCGAAGGGCGTACAAACCGTGCTTCAGTATCGAGACAGAGATCTGGCTAGAGACAGCAGATTATTCCACACGATCGACAGTGATGCATGAATCCACGGAACTGCATTCAGGAGCATCTCTAGTGGATCCTGGAGGTGCGCGTTGCATTGCTGCGAGCTGATTCTTCCGCAGAAAACGAGCGAGGATCGACGATCGAAGTGAGCCTCAGCGTGAAATCAGTTGGATCAGGTCTTACGTGAAAGACGAGCAAAGGCCAAGCTGCCAGAAACTGAATTTGATGTTCTAGGCCGAATAACGCTGTTGAGCATGTAGGGTTGGATTGGCTTCCATCTTCTCGACTGTAACTGGTCTGGTCGCTGCAAGGACAGAGGCCAGAGGTCATGGATGATACGGGAAATCCTTTCGTTCTGACACCGTGCAAGGGCCAAACAAACAAAACAGTGCCTTCGAGCTTCAGTCCTACCTTTTTCTCCTTGCTGCTCTCGACGAGACCGTCTGTGGAACTGTGATCCAGCTAGCTGTCGAGCACCAGGGCTCGAGATCAGAAGCCGCGGTCAACTGCTGCTCCAAAGTTCAAACCTCCACCCAGCCAGCCTCCTACGGCGACCTTCATGAAGTACGAAGACCTGTAGACACTTTCCGTCCTCGAGAGCTCTCGTCCTGAGCATTATTCAAGTCCCTCGTACGACAACATGTCAGCCCACTTGCACTCCCGTACGCCACTGGGCCAAATTTACCGTCCACCGAACTCGACCACTGTGCTGCTGCGTGCGTCTGGTGCGTCCGTCCGGACCTCGATCCATCATGTGCAAAGCTCTCCTCGCACCACATTTGCATCATGACTGCGGATATATCAGAACCAGGAGATGCAGAGGTGGGCATCGTCTCACATTTCTGAGCAATATTCCAAACTCGGGCAATCTAAACCGAGCGGTGCCCCCCACAAAGAATTCGAGACACGGCCGTGCATCGGAAGAGGAAAGCTTTCCCCGCATTCCACAAATCTAGAAACTCAGTTCACTTCACTTCAATCCTGCCGGCTCACATGTCAACCCCTCCCAGGGAACGTTACGCAAGGGAACCAGACTGTTGGACTCCTGCTGCAACCTCGAGGCATCTGAATTCTGACGACGGTATATCTGGGACTTTACGCTCTTCAGGTGGAAGAGAGGCGCAGGGACGCATGGAAATAATGTAGGTTGATAACTGTAGAGGTACCTGTGTACTTGGCTGGACTCAGGAGAGATATTTTTAGGACCTGACTACGGAGACCTATTCATTTTGGGGAACATTTATATATGCTGCCAATAGCCACTGGTTGATAACTGGACACAAGTCTGCAGGTACGACCGGAACGATGATCATGTTTTGAGTGTTCACAGAGCGGAATGTTTCATGATTCATTGACACCTCGAGCCAGATTTGTGTCACTCCCGTCAACGACGATGACCATGACCCGGAAGTTTAGCTGGGAAATTTCTGCCTTCTCCCAGGACTCGCTCAAGATGAGGTGAGGTGGGGTGGGGTAAGATACAATTGCACCAATCGACAGTCCAACCACGCACCGCAGACTTTGGAAAGACGAGGACTCGAAAGCAATGAACGCTGTAATCATGACAGCAAGTACTATGGCCGAACAAACTCGCATGAGAAACATAAGCTGTATTGCAGTTTAATTAGCCCGCACCTCCACACACACCTGCAGCCTCATGCATGGGGATTACCTGGGCGAGAGTTGCAAAAGCTGAGGAGCAGTTATCAGGAGAATGCACAACTTACTGACACGAGGAATTACACCCTTGTGGAATAAAAGAGCTGACCGTTCATACATAAATTGTGAGCACAGTCCAGTAGCAATTGAGGTTTTCAATCGGGAACTTATTGCTTGAGACTTTTCTACACTTCAAGCGTACGGTTTGTGCGGAACAACGTAAATGGCCTCGCCTCGCGGAAGCAATCCCTTCACGAGTCAGCAGATGCAAGGAGGTCTGGCCTCCTCATCCAGGTTGATGGTATTCACTACGCAGGTCCCTAGCTTTTACAGCTCGCCAGTCAAGCAAGCACGAAAAGCTGTCTCATGACATCCGACTTTCTTACCAGACTGATCTCTTTATGTGATAAAGATGACCTTGAGGACGGCGAGCGGTGACCTTCGGTGCGGGTCACTGCTGATTGTGAGAAAGGAAGAAGCTGGACGGGCCTAAACAACGACCTCCAACTGCTGGTGTACTATTGGACTCGCCACTGTCATAAGAATGATGATTCACATGTGTACGTGACATGGAAAGTGCGGCTCTGAAGATAAGAATGTAGGGCAAGATTTAGCACTGATGCCGGCCTTGCGCAGAAGTGAAAGGGTTGCAACTCGAAGGGTTCATGGTCCTAATGAGGAAATGGGGGCCAGAAATTGATACAACTAAGCGGCTCCAGATCCCTCTTCTGCTTCCTCTAATTCTTCATCCTCTTCTCCTTTCGCTTCTTCTTCCTCGGCTTCAGGTTTTTCCGGCGGGCTAGGCAGAACTCTGTCAACAGTCTCAATCAACGAGTCTACCTGCTCGCCAGACAATCGTTCATCGCAATCCTCTACAATCTGCAGAAATAATGAACATGACAACATTCATTAAGGTTTCGTAGCGGGTACTCCAGCGGAAGATGATAGGGTTCCACGAAAATTGTGCATACAATTGTGCATGAGTTCATGAAAATCCCACGGAAAGAATCATAAACCCTGTAGCTGCCGTATAACGAAAGTATTTTATTCCAGCAAGCCAAGCTCGACTTGCTTCCACTAAGCCTGATGATAATGAAATGGTAGACGACGATTTGGCTGGTCTTAATACCTACCAAGTGAACCTCCACTGCTGTGGCAGGTCGTAGGTTGACAGACTGCAAGCGTTCAGCTTCCGTCAGCTTGAAAACCTTCACTTCTTTCACAAATTCCTCCAGCGCTGCCCTCGTTTGTGTTCCTGCGGGAGTGTCGACCAAAAACTCGTACACCTGGTGGAACACGTCCGAGCACCCAGAAACATTAACGAGCTTTGCCATGAAAGAAAGTCGTGCGGGAAAAAAACCTCTTGAACCGCCTAGACTCTACACCGCCTCCGTCAGCGACTTCCAGCTAAGAAAAACATTAACACAAGACCCTGTCGAGGAAAACCTTGTACTCGGCAGGTGAGATCGAGCCACCCAATGGTCCCTTGGCAGCACCTCGCTTTTGCAACAGCTCCAGCACTTCCAAATTCGACAACAACCCTGCATTGGATTCGAGACTGCAAAACGGGCATTGCGTGAGGGCGGAAGTCTGGAGTTGACGCACCGAATCTCCTCTGCAGCGAAAGACATTTGAAAAAAAAATCTACGCAGACGGTGGCACCACCATCAGAGCCGTCCCACAGGAATCACAAGACCGAAAACAGAGAAAGCCTACACTTTCATGGCTCCGTGTCGAGAAACAACATCCGAAAATTTTGAATTCGCTCTCTACGGGATTATGGCGCTCGATCAATCGGCAATTTCAGAATTGCCCAAGGCATCAATGGCGCATTTCAGCATCTCAAAGGTTTTCCCGTTCCGCGAAGAGAGAGAGCTTTCGAGACTTTGGCAATTCTCGTCCAGCGAAAACAGTGAACAGATTGCAGCGCGTCGGCCGCCGAGTGAAGTGTGACGAGGGTCGAGTGAGAGCCAATCAGCAGATGCGACTTTATTGGCGTCGCAGATTCACATTGCCGAGCGTCGCAGATTCTTATCAGGCAGCATGTCGCTTTTTAAGGAGCAAAACAAAGAACATGTGTGCAGAATCAGAGGAAATATAATTTCCAATTTGAGTTTCGAATATGAGCTTTCGATCAGATTTAGGCCAACAGGATTAGTCTACTAATGTTTTGAAGAATATTTAGAATATTTTTAATTTTTAAATATATACTAAAATATGATATCTTGAAGATGATATCATGACATATACAGTGATTTTATCACGGTGAACATTATTCCGAACAAATAATGAAACTATGAGCGAGACTTGTTTCTTTCTTATTTGGTTTCATCCAGGTTTGAAAATACAACTCCATCAGTCCCACAATGGCGTCGTAAAGGTATGACAGTCAATTGGATTCGTCAGAGGTACTCTTCATATTTTTCAGAATTCTGTTTTATAAGTCATAAGATTTAATCTTAAAGAAAATATTTTACAGACTTGCATCATTTTAAAAAGGTTTCAAGGCGGTCGAGTGGATTTTGGTGGGAAAGTTTTCATTTCCGGAAGAGGGTGTTTTATGAATGCGTATTCATTCGCATTTTAACGCCGGTTATAGAAGCCAACAGCTATTATTTGATGCTTTCAGCAAATTCTTCTTTCGAATTGCGAAGCAATGAAGTTCATCTAGAAGTTCAAGGACCAGAGTTTCACTTTCTCCATTTATTCTGCACATTGGTGTTAAGAAATCACAACAGACATAATCATAGAACTAATTCTACTACTCGAACACAATGTTCACTTAGTTCTCAAATATTTATCTAAAAAATAAAAAAAGTTGGATGAAAATCGCACTTTAATTCAATGGATTAATATATGATATTATGGCCAATTTATAAACACGAGGAGATGGTTCCTCCCCGCGCTTTTAATTCTTGCGTTCTTTTTCCCTTTTCTTTTGATTACTGCGAGTTACACTCGGAGCTCTACTTGCCCTCCAAAATCTGAACTCCACGGGATAACTCCCGTTCCACCTTACACAGTAACTAGAGCTACTGCCGACTTTGGACTTGGACGTCCGCAGTAGCACTTCCACCTTAAGCAGTAACTGGAGCTACTGCGGACGTCGAAGTCCAAAGTCGGCAGTCAACAGAAGCCGCTTCGAAGCACTCACTACATGCCTTCCGATCGCGTAATGCACGGACACGATCTGGACTCAGGGTTTAGTCCGACCACAGTAACCCCAAGCCCCACATGGTAGACTGGTGCCGTCCGATTGTGCAGTGCACGCACAGGATCGGCCGAAGGTTTCTAACCGTGGTCACGTTCGAATGTCTTCGGGCGGAGGGATGGAGGCCGACGACGAGCCCTTCGGAGGCCGCACGAGGTCAGACTGTGTTTCGATCTAAAATTCGACGTCTCGAGGCGTGGGGTAGATGCGTGCCTGGAGATCTATCTGCTGCGGGTCTGCGATCTTCGCCGCCGATTCAGCAGGAGCAGGAGCAGGGGCGAGAGTAGTAGGAGGAGCTGCATCTTCTGGAGCTTCGAGATTCGGCGGGCAGTTTGTTTGTTGGTCGTTCTGGGTGCGGGGTTTTTGACAGAATTCGGGATCGCGCGAGAAGATTTGAAATTGATTCGCAAGTTTGGATCGATCCGATCGCGTTTGGTGGTGTAGATGTGGGATGTTTATGTAGAGAGTGTTGTTTCCTGGACGATGCGGTCGGGGAATTAATTTAGTGGCGGTGGATCAGTGGCAGAGGTGAAATCCATTCGAATTGAGGGTTGGAGTCGGAGGTGGTGATCCGGGAGGAGTAGGAGCAGGGATACAAGAATGGGTTCTTTTAAAGGGCATATTCTGCCGGGGAGTTTGTTCTTGATAGTGGGTATTTGGCATATGATCAATTGCGTGTTGAATTACGTGTCTCATCCGAGAACTTTCAGGGGCCGAGCTTGGCATCCCGTGCCCAAGGTGAAAGGGCGACTCAGATATCTGGAATTGTATGTCATCATGGTCGGAAGCTTCGTGGATATGTGCATCGAGTTTTTCTATTCTACTCATTTCAAGTTTATCGTCGATGGTGCGCTGAATCCACATCACATGAATGATTTTGAGCATGCTGCCATGCTTCTGATGTTCTTCATCTTTTCCGTTACTTGCTTCATCAGCGAAACTACCGGGTACCTTTCCTTCCTCCTTTGCAATCACAGTGAATTTTGCTCCAAATTCCAATTTATCTGTGTTGAGAATTCAGTAATATTCAACAGTTATGTAGCAATCCGGCGTCCATTTGTGAAGGGAAGCTTGAATACATGGCTTGGATCGCTTTGTACACTCATATCATCGTGTGTGAAGAAGAGTAGATGTTTCTTTGACCAAGAAAAATATGGTGGTTGATGGAGGGAAATCGATTTTTTCTTCATCTTGTGATTTGAAGATGATCGGAATGAAGTACTTTACAACAAAAAAATTGTAGTAATCTCCCAAGATAAACAATAGCTAAGTAAATTTTCATCAAACTTCGCCTTGTTTAATTACTATTACCGAAACCAGCTCAGTAGCAGGTGTGTACGTCTTGTTTCTACTCACTGGCATGATAGTCTTGTTTTTAGAGAGTGCTCTATGTGGAAAGTTGAAAGGGGTTTATCCTGTTTGTAGAGATTGACCGAAAAAATCGGTGCCAAATGCTCCCTTTAAATAAGCTTCAGGGTATTTGATTCTGTCGCTTCGATTCCTGTTCTTTTTCAAAGAGCTCTGGAAGTTCCTCGATGGGGAATGCAGACGAAACTCTTGGATAGTCAACGCTCATGCTGAGGTACCTTTCGGCTGGGCTCTTACTTTTGTCCTTAATTGAATACTGCCACAACACAGGTCACCATTCTGTAATTGTCGAATTTCAACCGAGGAAATGTCCAATAATAAACTGCAAATCTACTGCAAATTCACTGCAACTGATATTCGCTTCAGCCGGATATTTCAGAGAGTTGCTGTTGTTTCAAAAGTCTCAGCAGCTGATTTGCAAAATTCTCGCTTTATTACTAACAAAAAGTGATAGCTTATAGACCTGCATATCTCATCACTTTCATCTCGTGGGTGTACATATTGTCTACAAGTTCTATCCATCGTGTAGCTTAGAGATTTATTTTAATGTTGATTTGGTTCATGTTTCAGGATCTTGCCTCTCCCAGAAGGTGCACTATACATTTTTGCAGGCATGGCATTTACAGCCGAGTACTTATTGTTCTATTTTCATTCAACCAGTCATGCTGGCCTGGAAGGGCGCTATCACCAGTTGCTGGTCATCCTAATTGGTCTGTGCATTCTAGCCTCAGCACTGGGGTCTGCGTTTCCTCAAAGCTTTGTGGTGGATATTCTTGGTGGTATGGCAATCACTTTGCAAGGCACGTGGTTCTATGAAACAGCTTTCGTTCTCTACGGACCCAAGATGCCAGAAGGATGCAGAGAGTTGCCACAGGGAATCGTCTGCGATACGCATGAGCAGGAGATGGTGGGGCAATCCATCGCTAACACTTCCCTCTCTATCCACATTATAACTCTCCTGTGCAGTTTCCTGTTCTTTTACGCTTTGGCTGCTAGGTTTTGGGGCCACTCAGATGTGTACGGTTTTCCACCTTCTAGAAGCCCTTCTAACCAAACAGAAATAGACGAAGTGCAATTATAGCCTCAACAGTCGAGCAAATTATCATGTTCTGCGCTACAGCTTCAGTAGATTCTCCATCTGTTGTGTAACACACATACAGGATTACGTGTTGTTAATGTAACGTCACATTGTCATTGCTAAGATGAAAATTTCGTGTACAGCTACGTCAGATTTATCCCCAGGCTTTATTCATTTGTCTTAAATTTTCTTGGCGCTCTACATCGCTATTTGTTAGAGATTGTGTACCTTATATTGTTGTGATGTATTGGTCCACGGTGGTCAGAGGGCTGATTTACGTACATTAAACATAATAGAGATAGTGCAGAGGTCGAGTAATTGTTGCATAAGGTTGTCTGTCATTAGAAAACTACGTCGTGGCAGTAAGGTGTTCACAAAGATAATACTGAACATAGTTACTGACTGCAAACTTGATCTATGCAGCGTGATTGAGAAAGTTAGACTTTGCTCATGCCCTTTTGTTGTTTCAGCAAATCGTTTTTGCTTTCGTTAGTTTCATGTATGCGATTTCTGTCGGTTTTTGTCCGGAGGATCTATATTCTGGAACTCGTATCTCACTTCTAGTATCTGAGTGAGCCTATCTCTATTGGAGAATTCCCATCGTGTCCATGTGGCCATCATTCTCCTACCTACGCTTTATAATCCTGGATCTGCACCTAGGGTGAGGACTATGTTTGTCCTACCAACTCATCTTTCCTAATGGGCCCGTTGAGAAAGTGGCAACTGACATGTTTTATTTTGAAGGCACGCTTCTCGCCGCACGCTATTTAATTTTCTGTTTAGCTAAAGTCTGCTTGTTGACATATTTCCGACTAACCATTCCTTCATCATTTCTTAAAGCTTCTAGAATGGACAATGTCTTTAAGTGCAACTGCCATGGGTGTGTGATGCATGTCACAGACGTGATATACTGTAACTAATTCCAAATTGTACAAACGGTCGGCTAGAACCGAATTTCAAGAAAGCCAGGGGTATGCAAAATCTGCATGCTGATAGCTTCGTAATTTTCAATTGATGTTTGCTGAAAGTGGCTCAGTCTCGCACATGTAATGTATTGTATATGTGTGAATATCAATCAACCAATTGTAAAAAAACCTGATCAACCTCAACCTTACCATTAGTGTCATTTCTTTCGGAACTCTGGAAGGCTATTACCGTAACTGAAGATGAGAATAACGCAGATAAGTGTTTAAGCCTTTGTCCCGCTTTGCATTGCTAACATCTTCTTTTCTGTTGGGGTCAACCTAAGGCCTTTCAGAAGAGGTGAGTTTCTATAACGTTGAGAGTTTGTTCGTGACACTGTAGGGTCCTTGAAGAGGATGGAATGAGAGAGGGTGTAATGGAGGTTAAGAGTATCGGTTTTTTGATAAAACCCAGAATTGCGAAGTAAAATAACAAAACAGGATGGGAAGGCTCCATCAAGATCTACTTGGATGAAACAAATGAAATCAAATCATTTCAATTGATTGGGCTCTCTTTAATAAGTGGAAAGAAAAAAACCGAAGGGCCAACTTGCGGCTAGGCTTTATATTACCAGGAAAGAACATCTGTCCAACGCACATAACGCATTGAAGAATCTTGGGAACAGCCTACACATAAAGCTCAAGTATCGTGCACCGAAAGCAGATAATGTGAGTGAATCTAACATGACACGTGTCTACGAGACTAAATTTCATATGAGATGACAAACAGAGGTTAAAAAACAGCCTCAAATGGGGCTGCCAAATTATATTCATTTACATATCATATTCCACCCAGCCTCATAAGATCCGGATCGTTACTGCGGAGCCGTGTTCGATGCATTTTTTTCATCTCCAGGTAGTCTAAAAATCGAATCCCTACTGATTTAGCTAATTACTTTGGCCCTTTTTTTTCTAGAGGGCAGCTCCTAACACTTTGTCATCATTTCCGTCTTTCGGTCACCAAATGAAGCGAAAGTTGAAAAAAACATTCAGGTTGTTCAAGAGCATTCGCGTATCAATATGCAGCAGAAAATTGTCACTTGTTTTCACGAAACAAAGCATTCTGATGGTCAGAACACAAGGGTCTGCTTCCACTTCCAGGCGATCAGTAGAAGCCCAACCTGTCTCGTCATCCGGGGCAGCTTATTACCAAATGCTCAGAAATCTGGGGCTCGCCGTGCGGGCCCAAGCCAAATTTGGTCTTACGTTAAACACAACCATTGTCATATTCAACTCCGATCACGAAGAAAGTGCATATTTTGACAAGCATAATAACTTTATTTTCTTCTTGCGAAATGAGTAAGTGGGGCCAATTGGATAACCCTCATGGAGGGTTTAGGGGTTTACAACTGTACTTGCTTGCTTCAAAAAAGTAAATTAGTGATTACTTTGATTCCTTTAGTTGATTGAATTCTATTTTCCAATTTTTTCATATTCAACTTTGAAATCCTCACGAATGAAAGGGGTGATTTGGCAGGCACGGACAAAAATTTCACTTCATACAAAATTTGATCTTTATTTTTCTTGATAAAAAATAAATAAAACCAGAAATTGCATAAATTTTCACGATCGAGATCCACTACAAAGTTCTTATGTCCGTTATTTTGGCCATGTATTCTACACCATACCACATAAACACATATCGTGTATCTTGTATATAATTGCTAATATAACAAAAGTGTAGTTTTAAAAATCAAAATATAAGGCAGAATTGTTTGCATACTTACCTTCAAGAAAGATGTATGACATCTACCTAGGACTTGAACATTCATGGAGTGCAAGTGTGGTAGACTGACTTTGTTTTATGCTACGTAGTATGTATAGTCACCCTACGTGTGCTCCTAAATCTAAAGAATGCAGAAAATTGGAATATGCAGGCCGCCCCGTGTGGGAATCCTCGAAACAGCTTCGGATAATTGTCCGAACGTTATACATGAATGGCTTCACGGTTACACTCTCTAGTCTCACTATTCCTTGTTTGTCCGCGGCGAGTGCAACTTTAACCCATAATTGAACAAGTACCTCACTGCTCGTGATGACCTATATTAGCGTACATTTCTCTTGCACCAGTAATAAAAACTTGTATTGAAGAAGCGACTTTGAGCGACCTGGATCGACCGTGTGTTCAGCACATAGCGAACTATTCTCTCGCCTTTTACTAAAGAATACCGTGCGCGGGACACAGAAGCGGTCTAACACAATCTTTGGAACGCCGCTATATTGGGGCACCACCATTGTAATGAAAATAGCATGGTTTCTGGTTGTATCTGATGTCTAGTTCCCATTCACGGGACACTGAATATAAAATTCCCAAATGGACAGATAGTAATATTCGTGGTAGATATAGTCCCAATCTATTTGATATTAACAAGAAATTATTTTAGAAACATTCATTTGAGAACTCTGTGCTAGATGTATTTAGAATACTAGTTCTTTCCGTGACGATTGTGACAACCGGCTGAATTAAAACACTCCGCATGAATGAAATAATGAGAAATCGGTGTACTTATAGAAGACAGCCAATTCAAGTGATGGGCGGAAGTAGAGTAGTATCTATATAGATCTTGAAGACAGGTCTAAGTATATGGGAGATCTCTCTCGGTGCCTGTCTCACTTTGAAGGATGGAGAGAATATAGAGGAAAAGATCAGAATTGGCCTCTGACTACACCATCCAGGAAGATGGAGCAATAATCGTCCCCACCGTTATGAGGTCGGAATGAACAATACTCAGAGGCTTAATTGTACACTGGGGGAACGCATTTGTTTGTGGTTCGATGCGCGGAATTCAGCACACTGATCCAACTCCATTCCAAGTCCGTCGAAGTGCGAAGCTCGTTTTGTCCAGTCAGTGAATTGCGCAGATGGATCCAAAATGGACATTTGGATTTCGAAGTCCAAATGTCCATTTAATCAGATAAAGAAAAATGATAAAGTAAAATTATGCTGACAAAAGAATCCACTAGGAGGTGAGGCTGATTGAGTTGTTCTACCCATCAAGCACCTCCGAACATTTTGACTGTGGTTATATATACTAGATTTTGACACTTTTTAGGATGAGATGATTTGATATAGAGCAGGTGTAGCGATGTTTGCGAGGGTAGATAGTATTCTTAATTATTTCAATTATTTGATCAAATAGATTTGAAATTTTATCTAATTATGGATATTAATATTCATAGATTCGTGAGAGTGCCGTGGAGTTTACAATACCAGTGGACGATGGGTATACTTTTCTTTGCAGAGTGTATAGCTTACTTCATGTACCAAAATATTTCTAAACATTAGCTCATGAAATTAATAAGAGAATAATCACATTCGAGTAAGTTTTTTTATCAACAATGTAGTTCAAAATTATTTAATTGGAAATTCATCGGAAACTATCCAATAGTTTCCAATGAAAGTATTGGATAGTTTCAATAAATTATTTACATTACTACATAATAGAACCTAGACTCATGCTCCTTATTTGGATTTATCCACATATAACTTTATCTCCATTTGTTATGATATGGTAGTTGGAGTCTAGCTGTGTTTATATAGGTTCATAACTTACAAAGAATATATATAGTCTAATTCTCTCATACTTATCGAAAAAATCAAACCCTTATCGAAAAAATCCAAGACTTAAATTATAGGCTCCAGTCTTAAATAGGAATATGCCGAGCGAGAAAGTTTTATTACATATATGATGTTATCTCCAAATTTCAGTTTCTATATTAAATCGGATTTACCTTATATCGAAATTAGGCGGTGGGGTGCATTACCATTCTGGCAATGCACCCCACCTCGGTGAGTTTAGAAAGATCCTGGAAAATAGATGGTAATGGTAACGGGTGCTTCGAACCCTTGACCGCACGAACGGAGGTTAGGGTTAGAAGGTTAAAAGGGGCTCGGGGAGGTCGAGAGAGAACAACAGAGTCGGGGTATTTTCCTTCCGTTCCGGGGTTCTCGGGGAGGGGATCTAGCGCGGAGGAATGGATGCATGGGTGCATGGGGAGAAGAACATCGGCGACGCGCAGCGTGCGTGGTCATCATCATCATCCTGCTCGGGGAGCAAGGTGGCCGAGGATAGGAAGAGGAGGGCGAGGTGACAGGGCAAGGGCAGTAAAGCAGAGGCAGGGCAGAGGAGAGCAGATTGGAGGGATTCCAGATTGTCATGGTGAACTTCTTCTGCAACACGCCAAATTTTCGTCCATTGGAAGTGTTGGGCCAATTTCAGCAGCCTTGCTTCTCCTGCCTCTGCTGCTGCATTTGCTCTCGACAGACATCGCGAGTGGCGTGGCCTGGTTCCTGCTAAGAGACTCGGCGATGGAGTTAGGCAGGTTGCGGCTTAGTGGTCTGGGGCGTCATAATTCTCTGTTCCATGGCACGGCTGTGGCGAATTCCAAGGTTTTGCTTCAGGATAGGCAGGTCGTCGAGTGGCTCCGCAGCTCCAGTGCAGGTAAGACGTGCGACATCGCCAGGGATTTTCCGACATTTTTTCTTCGTCGATTCGTGTGAAATTTTGTCAATTATCCCGTAGTCGTTGTCTTGATCTATGTTTTCATCCTTGCTCAGGAGTGCTGCCCAGAACACAGTCTTAATCTTTAGATTTTAAATTCGTGAGGTCTTCGAGGCGAATTTTAAATGTCATTACTCAGAGCGCGGGTTTATACAATATCGGAAAATTTCAATTTTCAAATATTTCGACATGTTGTGAATTTGATGAAGTAAATAATAAACCTTACTCGTCTTGCAGTGAATGGAGGTCCTATCAAACGCGTTGCCAAGTGAGTGCCAGAACTTTTCGTCCTTGAAATACTGAATTTTCTATTCTCTTGTGTTGCTTCTATTTTTTTTTCACAATTCCACTGTCTTCATTCCCTTTTTAATTTGTGAATGAAATGGAATATTTGGTATTCACGAGTTCTGACTGTCTGGATTATCTCGAGACACAGTTTACAAGAGAAGTGTGTTTATGAAGAGTTCATACTTGGAAAATATATGTTGCCCTCGGTTCGTGGAATGTTAGACCGTAGTCCGTGGGCTAAGTCGAGGTTTTGTTGGGCATTTGGATAGGACTTTTGCCGAATTGGATAGGAGGAATGATCAACCGTCAGGTTCTAGAAGCTCTCGCCCCCGGAGGACTACCGAAGCCAAGAAGTATTATTTCTCACAGGAATCTGAGGCAGCCACCTCCAGTGCCCCTCCTTTTAACCCAGCAGAATATTTACCTGGGGTTCTTGGAGTCGGGGCCGTGCTCGGGGCAGGCTATGGTGTGTTCGTTATCTTTACCATTTCTCCTGTCATTCGGTCCTTGAAGAGGTTTTCATTCGTTTGTCACGATCTCTGCCTTAATTCTTTGGGGCTCTTGTCGTTCTATTTCTTTTCAGACTTAAAATTTAGTCAGGTTAGCAGCATTTTTCTACTTGCGAAGGTTTAGCTTGACTGAGCAGCCTGAAAACTTTGCAAGCAGTTTTATTCAAGATGCTAAGCAATCGGGGATCGACCCCTACCGCGGGCAACGCGGGTACATTGCCCGGCATTGGTGGCATTGGGGGAGAGAAGAAATTACGTCGAGAATCTGCAGCGAAACTTAACGAATTTTCTCGCGAACTGAGAACTTTTCGAGAAGTAGATCTATCCGGTTTGTCACAACGCCTGTCATTACCCTTCTGATCAGTCAACCATACGTTGTAGAAGTACTTCAAAGCTAATCTTTACATGCGAGATGGTGTGCCTCTGTCAACTTTCAAGCAGCCAAGAAGATATTGCGTAGTCCGAAACACGACCTTCCTTTACCGTTCAATACTGCAGTTTTTGAGCAAATTAGAACCGTCCATTTGCATTTTATTTTTGACACAACTTTGTGTATACTTAATAGTGTATCGTCAGTTTGTTTATATTCTGCCAATCAGGCAGGCGCTTGTTGCTTGTGAGGAACGAATATCGAATGCACCCGTTTCTCTCTTGCAAAATCACAGGCTCCTTAGTCAGAGGGATGACATGAATTCTCAATCAGTTGCTAGCTCGTATTTGCTCTGAAGGTGAAGGGACAGCTGAAGTTGAACTTTGAATCTGTATAGTTAGTATTACTGCCCGCACCATAGATTTCGTATAGCTTTTTTAGCAATAATTTACACTCAGTGATCTACTAGGTCTCAAGCGATGCTCCTATGGGTGTTTCAAATCCCTCTCATTTACACACCTGAATGTCCATCTGTTTAACAAATTCATGTATGTATCCTGCTTCAGGTAAAAGTTTTGGAGATGAGGGCTTCATTTTCCTTGCAGAGGGTTTAGCCTTCAACGGGGTGGGTGCTACCATGCCTAGTTTATGTTTCTCGCGTTGAAGAATCATTCTTTCTGTAATCTCTGTACATACCGCTTCTTTCTCCTACCTCACAGGCCCTATCTACCTCAGAATTGTCACCAAAACCAAGTTGATGAAGAGTTGGGTATCGTTTTATTAGCAAGTGGTGTCCTTACAGATAATGGAATATATCTGTTGATTGTGTGCTGAAGTTGCGAGATCTGACTATACCTGAAAGTCTTGTGAGATTCTATATCCTTGCGATCATCTCTCGAGTGCTTTTATTGCAAACTTCCCGAAGAATCAGTCTTCCTTCTTACCAGATTTTCAGTCACTTGCCAGGAGGTCTAGCTGCCTCTCTTCTTCTTCTTTTGCATATAATTATGTGTGCTTACCATCCGTTTTTGTTCACTCTGAGACGTTAGGAAAAGCCTTGTCAATTACGTCCTCTCCTTTATGGTCCATTTTAGAAAAGTCTTTCTCCCTCTGTACTCGGCACTATATTTTGATCTCTACTCTCCTAATAAGTACACGGTATTGACGAATAATTTTTATGACATGCAGTCAGCAGAAAGTGTCGATTTTTCAGCGAATGGGATCACAGCAGAAGGAATCAAGGCTCTGACACAAGTCATGGCAACGAATACTTTCATGAAAACATTCAACCTGTCAGGAAACAACATCGGCGACGAAGGAGCCCAGGTTTGCCTTTTGATGCATTCTATCAAGTACGCATAAAATATGTAATGTTTCAACTTTGGTCAACTTGGTTCACGTTTGATTGCATGGCTAAGAAACATCTGTTGGTACAGTAAGAGTCTTTTCTTCTTAGTAAGTTAACTTGTTCATCAAAAGATCGTCCTTCTGAAAACAATCTGATGAGTTTTTTTTGGTTGTGTTATTGTATGGGCATATCAGATTCTTGCTTCTATACTAGAGAATAATCAAGGCATACAAAAATTGCAACTAAATAGCAACAACATCGGCGATGAGGTACTGCTACATCCTTACTGCTTAACTAAGCCAAATACCTCTTGATGTGGCAACGTACGAGTTATGCTTCAAGATTTGGCTTGTTTGTGTTTGAAAATATGCTTATGTCCTAACCATTCAACTTCTTTCAGGGTGCAAAAGCACTTGCGGAACTGTTGAAAAAAAACCCTTACATCACGGTGCTGGAGCTGAACAACAATGTTATTGATTATTCTGTAAGATTTGACATACTACGTCTACATTCAGATGCAGCATGAACCGTAATCTGCACTCGTCAATTTTATGTAGAATGTTTTGTGTGCATACATATGATATATTCACGCAGTTTAACTTTTCTATGATGGCAGGGGTTTGCGGCACTTGGAGATGCTTTAATAGCGACCAAGACACTGCGCGCATTGCACCTGAAGTGAGTCCATTGATACTACATTATCCATTCTCAGAATAGACTGTTTCAAAATAATTCTTCTATTTAGACCTCGTGAGAAGAACCTGCAAAGTGTCAGATGGGTATGTCGCAAGTTACGTATTAGCTTTCCACTTTATCTATGGAGAGTAGTATGCATCTATTGTCATTAATGTTCCTAATTATTGAGGATAAGTCTCTTATGATTCTTAAGCTGCACATGATTAAATTTTGTGTTGTACGTAACGGGCGGGATGTTTGTAACTCAAATAAATTTCTAAAAGTCAAAATAAAATATAGTCCAGTTTAGTTTAAGAATCCGGTGTTCTTTCTTAAACTTTGTTGAGAGATTTTGTCGTTTCAATTTTGCACAGTGGAAATTATGGTGGAGCTCTTGGAGCCTCTGCATTTGCGAAAGGTCTGGAAGAGAATAAGTCTCTCAGGGTTAGTTCCTTCACTACCCATGGGTCTGAACGTCATGGATATAATAATGACCTTTCTATTGCGTTCATGGAATCTTCAACCCTTTTATTAGTTTCTCTAACGAGGACTGCTCAATGAATATTGATGTGCATGTTGGATTCCTGACGAACATGACATATGGATGGCCCCAGGAAGTACACCTTCATGGAAACTCAATTGGAAACGAAGGAGTTCGTGCGTTGATGGGCGGCCTCATGTCTCACAGAGGTTTGTTTGTGTTCCTCATTTGAACTTTTGAAATTGATTGCAAACCCAAGCACACATTTCTTGATTTGTTTGATGTGTTCGTACTTTCATGTGCGGCCCCATGTTACTATTACCTCGATTGGAAAGTGAAGCATTATTCGTTTATCTGATTCTGGCCCTCAAGAGTGTCTTACACCATTTGGCCCTATCACTGGCACTTGTGTGTACAGGGAAGGTGACATCCGTAGATTTAGGGAATAATTCAATAGGGTCACAAGGAGCATTCCATGTAGCAGAATTCATCAAGAAAAGCAAGAGCCTGATGTGGTTGAATCTGTACATGAATGATATTGGTGATCAGGTAAAGTTCTCCATCACAGGTTTTGAGTAATTTACATGGTAGGCTTCTCTCTTATAGGGTTGTTGATAGAGATAAACTTTGTAAGGCAACTAGAGAAGGTACTGCTCATTCTGCAGAGATCTGGATCAGAAAGGAAGTCTTCAAGCATCACTCTTACGTTGGGTCCGTAGCCAGAATAGTGAATGCTGTCCTTTTTTCTTCTCAATTTGGCACGATTTTCAATTCCTAGATAATAGATCTAGATAATCACTCTATGCATATGCGCTCTTATCCTTATAGACTACCATTTTGTTTTACTGGTATGCTTTGCCAACGTGTTGATACAGATGGTTCCACAATGACGACTTCAGTGATCATTCCTTGTATACTTCCTTATTGGGACAGAGCAGCTTTTAGATGTGGAAAAACAGCAGTATTAAACAGGAACGTCTATGCTTTGTTTGCGCCACCGGAATGTAGTTGACCCCCTCAATTGGACGATGCAGGGTGCCGAAAAAATTGGGGAAGCTCTGAAACGAACGAAAACGTTATCAACCATTGATTTGGTACCAAATTGTGGATTTGATTCCCTTTACAGAAGTTTGTTCTCCTTGTTCAAAAGATTGGCTTGATTTGGGATGTATAATCGTAGAAGCTTGATTATGAATTGATTCGATTACGTTGATTACAGCTTGTCCTCGCTCAAGTTCCAGAAGTCCCCTGTTTTTGTGTAGCTCACTTTTGATGCACGCATGTACAGAGGTGTTTTTTCAAACGCTCAGGCTGATGTTGTCCAGCAGTCTTGCCGTCAAGAGATAGTACAATACATGGTCAACATCATAATTACAGTTGTAAATACTAAGTCCACGTCGTTTGCTTGTGTGCAGGGTGGAAATAATATAGGCCCAATAGGAACCAGTTACATAGCGAATGCCGTCAAGGAAAATGTGTCAATTACCACGGTAAGCAGGCAGGATCGTATCGGCTCGTGGATAGTGAAGTACTTTATGATTTGTAGTACTATATATTGCTGGATCCAACAAGCGGTTGACGAGTCATCATGTTTCTGCAGTTGGAATTTAGCTACAACCCGATAGGCCCTGATGGCGCGAAAGTTCTGTCGGAAACTCTCAAGTTTCATGGCAACATCGAAACTCTCAAACTAGGCTGGTGTCAGGTATGTCTCAATATCGATATGTAATTTGTACCTTGTGAGAACAACTTGTACAACGTACCAGTTTATTTATATGTCCTGGTCATGCTACTTGCTTTCATAGCTTGATAACTGTCTTCTCTGACTGCATACTTGCTTGGAGAATTCTGCAGATAGGAGTAAAAGGTGCCGAGTACTTCGCTGATTCTTTACAGTATAACTCCACTATATCCACCCTGGATTTGAGGGCTAACGGGCTTGGTGATGACGTAAGTTCTTCAATCAAATCTATGCATTTGTGAAGGAAAGATGTTTTCAAATTGCAATGTGAGCAAGGCCCACCCTTTTTCTTGACAATGTTATGTATCTTAGAACTCTAGAAACCTGGATTATAATTGTGCTTCGTAGCATGAATGTAGTATGAGAACAATCTCACGGGTTTCTTTTCAAATGTGGCACAATACATACAGCGCCATTTTCTTTATGTTATATTCAATTTAGGGTACAACTTGACGTGCAGGGTGCAGCAGCTTTTGCTCGCAGCTTACGGGTTGTGAATGAGACTCTCACATTTCTTGATCTAGGCTTCAATGAGATAAGGGTAAGACGTTTGAGAAGCAGTTACTCTTGCACAGATTTTGTTCCAAGTCGTGATTATTTTAGTCTGTAAATGTCGTTCTTCTTGCTTTCTGACGTGTAAGATGTTGTGAGGATGTTCGAACTTAGCCCTTGATAAGGACGGAGAAGTATGGACAAGGATGTTAGAAGAAACCACCACCATTAAGTCTTCAGTATTCACATAAACCTAATGTCAGTGTGACGCCACAATTTGAAACAGGACAAGGGGGCTTTTGCTCTGGCGCAAGCACTCAAGGCGAATGGAGAGGCCGCTGTTAATACCCTCAATCTCACTAGTAACTTCTTCACCAAATATGGACAGGTAAGCTAATAATAAGGGAACAGGAATAGTTGCTGCATGAATACAACTGAATCCAATACTCGGAGTTTTATCGGTTGTTACAGACGATGTCTACTCGCATCATCAGTTGCTCACTCGGTTCTTTTATTCGTATGTGCAGGTAGCATTGACAGAAGCGAAGGAGCATGTGAGTGAGATGAACGATGGGAAGGAGGTCAATATATACTTCTAGATGTAGTCTGATGGAGGCAGACAGCTTCTTGCTGATGGTTTTTTTGGGAGACGTGGCCTCTTTTGTGCTCATAAATCGGTGTAGAATATGTCGAAGAAAATTAGTTGATGAGTCTAGGTTGAGCCAAATTTTTTTCGCTCTGCGATTTTGTAAAGGTGAAAGCTGTCCAATGTAAATGGAGATGGTAAATTACGTGACGAAGAGAAAAGAATTCCCAGTTTACACGAATTTTACGGACATTGTTGGGAGACATTTATGTTTTGTAGATGCATGATGAGTACGTGGATAAAATGCGGAGGCGTAGCATAACGTGAAGTCCACACAAACTCCGTGTAGGTCTAGTGTTTTCTCCTGTGGGAACTTCCGGAAGGACCAATTCTTTAAAGAATAACACCCGCCGCACATCCAACGAGAACATCTCATCTTAATATTGATTCTGAAACAGCGCAAACTCGATTCATGTTGACCTTCTTCTCTTTCCACTTGACCATTGGTACTAGTCTTTACGATTATGATCTTCCTGTACATAAATGAAGAAATTGATAGCTGGGCGAGTTATCATGAAGGTCCTTCCATCAAGTATCCTTTTCTTCTTACCACAGGTGGCGTCAATGTTGATGTCCTTTGTACAGTATCCAGCAGATGCGCAGCTCCGTCGAGCCTTTCTACAGATTTTCATGAACGTGCTAGTCATATGAGGTGTCGAATATGCACATCTCGTGACGCCTTCATTATATACTGCAGCAGGTTGGTGAGGCATATTATTTTCACCAAACATCTGAAGCCATCAAGACGACTACAGCACTTGGTCTGGGAGATTGACCTTGAATGGGAGTTCTTTACATTTTAGAATTTCTGGTCTCTTTTAAGTCATCACAATCTTTGACATGCAATATTGCATGCACTGTCGACTTCGGGACGATCATAGGTCCACGAATCGTAGTGACTATAAGTGGACTACAAGCAGTGAGATTCTTCTCCGGCACATCACGAGGAATTCAGTCCTGATGATGACTTCAGGTCAGTAACTTAAGAGTCTTCAGTCATCCTTTTAGTCCTTGGTGAATCCATGACAATTGGCGATCATGTGTCTTGTTACCATCAATCCAGAGAACCCCTCTCTGCCTGGTCGCTTTGATAATTACTGGCCTACAGAAATCTACATCATCGAACACAGATGAGCTCATAGCTTCCATCCTGCACAATCCCTGACATCTCAGAACACTTGCCGCAGTACTCAGATATGCAGTAAGATATCCACATCTTCTTCCAGAGAAATCGAAGCTCAAAGGGCAATTACGGTAAAATGTAAAAGCTGCATTTAGTCACGACAAACCGAGAGGCCACAAAGTAGGATCACATTGTGCACACGAAACAGATAAAATTTGCAAAATATACATCGAAATGTGATCTCGCATTGTTCAGCATTTGGACGTTGGTCGTGGTCAGACGACCGACTGTTGGGAACAAGTTAATGCGGTTGGTGCAGTGGATGAGATTCTTCACCACGGCAACATGATGTCAACTTACGTGGTGATCACGGCCTGATCATGGAAGAAGTTGCTTGATGCTAGATCATAGAGCACCTGCTCTAATTCTGTGTAATACTTGAAGAAGGCTTTGTCCTTTGAAAGAAGGTTCAGCCGGATATATGGAAATACTTAGTGATATTCATCAGTGGTATGATTGAAGAGATGACACTACCAGAGTTGCCGTAAGCCTTTCTTCTTCCTCCTGTATACTTGTTGTGATGGTGCCAATTTGCCAACACGTGGTGAGCAGTGCATGAGGTGGTGGGCGATGCTTCTAAGCCTATGAACCTCTGGTGGAAACAAGACTAAGTTGCTCTATAAATTCCACAATTTTATCTTCAATTTGTAGGGCTTTTACGTTACTCTAGGAGCTCCTTGATTTTCAGTCTTCTCTCTCTGACTAGGGCTTTGACGTTACTCTAGAAATGCCATAATTTCTTTTTCAAGGTCTAGGGCTTTTGTGAAAAGTTGCAGCTGTCTAACTGGCCATGAAGTGCATGTTTGTCTTTGAGAACCTCTACAAGGGTACTCATGAGAGATAGACCCTCTTCATTGATTGAAAGCACACCTAAAATCCTTGCGAATAGATAGACACCTACACCTGCACTTTGGGCACTTTGGTAGGAGCACTAGCAATGCTGCTGCATATATACTTGTCCATGAAATCAATCAAGCGTGCACGAAAAGAATGTCAGCTTCCAAGTTTTTTTCCCCCTTTGTCTCCCGATACCTTTTCTAGATTAAAGTGGCCTGACAAGAATAAGCGTTTGCCACATTTTTGGCAACAGGTCCTTTCCCATGGATTCATCAGATTTCAATCTTATCTTCTGAAATATGGACTCACCTCTGCATGCATGTGTTGTCTGTGCATCTGCATGGCACCTATTGCGGCTGCGTTTGTGACAACTTATCAACTTTTCATCCTCATATTGTCGTTATGTACTTAACTGGAGGGAATTGGGCACACAATGGATCGTATACAGGAGTAATTATTGGGTCGTTCCTAAGTTGAGAAATTCCACAGAAACACGTTCAGACTCTTCAAAAGTGGTACATACGTTTTAAAAGTAAGATCTTTCGCACAAGGAGGTTAATTTACCTATCCTTTAAAAAAACCAAAATTTTTGCTTTCGATTCCGAGGCTATCACGTCACTTTTAATGGTGAGAAATATTTTCACATAATTTAGCTGTCATCTTCGCAAAATATTTCAATCCATTAATGATTACCAGCATTAACGCATGTCAAGATATAATGGTCAAGTTTTCAGACATGTCAGATGTATTCAGGTCTATCCAAGTTAGGTTTGCCACGAACTCTTACATTCAATCAGACCTTAGGACCTAAATTCTGACAGCAAAAGAAATCAATAAGTGCAATAGCGGCAATCAAAAATAGATGTGTCTCCTGCAATGTCATACCTTTTTAATTTTACAGTAATATGTCTTGATGAATCAAATGTTAGATCAGACTTGCAGTGGGTTTTGTTGAGAATTATCTCAGATCAAAATCAAAATCATCTTCTTTTTTATCGGATAATGAAATATCTCTCCATTTTAAGAATATCAAACTCAAACACTCAAATTTTTGTTTTCAATTCTCATTTTCAATTATTCAATTACTCTGAAGATTATACGCTTTTTTTTTACACAAGTTACACGAAAAGTCTTAACATGCATTATGCTATGCAGTGCTGGGTTGTTCTCATTTATACTGAATATGGGGAATTTTTAATGAAATGATTGCTATGGTTTGTTTGAGATCATCAACATAATTTAGTAATCACCTTCATAGACTTTGAGTAGCTCTCCAACCTCGTGGTTTACCATTCACCTTTCTATGCGTGCGCCTCCTTTTGTAAAAGTCCACATGTTTTGCAGTTGTTCATGTATCCTAATTCTCTTCTCCTTGCTCCCTATACTTCTTATTAAATTTGTGGCTTTAAGTTTTGAACCTTTGGGCTGCGTTCTTTATGACAACCTGACAAACGTACATTACGTTTGACACCATATGCAATTATTATGGCAGCATAGTACACATCACCAAATGCACCAAAGTAGTATCCATTTGTGGCTGATTACTTCAAAAAGTGAATCATTCTTCATGAGCCTTTCACATGTCAAAATAGTTCTCAAAGAAACGGGTCAAGCGTATAGGAAAAGAGTGTGAATACTTCATTTCATTCCAAAGGATCGTATAAATATGAAACCTAATGGAAACTAGACTAGTCTCCGTATTTTCAAAATGAAAAGTAAATAATGACTTGAATTATGAACAACGTGAATAAGGTATCGATTTTATGATATATATATATATATATATATATATTCATCACTTCTGAAAATAAATGTAAGCACTTCATTTACTTAGATGCATGTCAGCATACAACTATATAGTCATTCAAATACTTCTGTATGCTCGGAGAAAAAGTCATCCTCTAGGACCCATTGAAGCTTGAGGAGTACCTCAATCCACAGTTTCTTCTCCCTCTACTCTAATTAATAAAACAGATAAAATTCCACCAACAACTTGTAGGAGAATCATAAGATGGGATGTAGAAAGCCTAAGTGGAGGAAGGAATTTTGAGATTAAATGTCAACATAATTTTACTAGTCAAAATCTCATTTTGATACTCCATGGCAATCAATCATCGTTTCTTCCCATTTCTGCTTGCAAGATTTCGCCATGCTACTCAATGTAGAAAATACAAGCGTGTCATCAAGCAGTACAAACAATGATCCATGGGTGGCACACGAAAGTGAAGAATCAGAATCTGCCCCGGATCAATAAATGCTTGGAGATATTACCTTGCAAACTTCGGCTTTCAATTTCGCTCGAATTTCACTCGATTTTTACTCGATTTCAAATTCATTCGGAATTACGAATCGATGGCCAAGTCCGAGACGAACGTTCTCCGAAGCTGAGGCGCAACAAACGGCCACCACCGAATATATCAAAAGTGGCGAACGTTGAATGGCAGACGAACGTTGAATGGCGCCTCGGGCAACGCGGCGCATTTCGTCGTTCACTTGAACAAGAAGAAGTCTTGGAATGCATGGAATTCATTGCGACGATGATGAAGGCAGCAGCAGATCTTCTTTCTTCCTTCCTTCCTTCCTTCCTTCCTTCCTTCCCAAATGGTTCGTTCTATTTTGAGCTTCATTCTGACCCGCGTCTTTCTTGATTCTCCACGAATCGAAATTCGGATCGCCCCTTTCCTCTCCTCTCCTCTCCTCCACGTCGATGGCTCCGCAGAGAGTCGTGGTTGGCTGCAAACACCGCAGATCCGCAGCGTGAGCCTGAAGCGAGCCAGCCAGCGAGCTAGGGCACATCGAGGCCGGCACTATGCATTGAATTGAATTGAACAGGAAGAGCCAAAGGGGAGGAATGTAGTCCCTCCCTCAATCGGGGCATGAACTGAACGTGTCTGATTAGTCTGAGCTCTCCGGCGCAGCGACTCGTGGTCTTGTGCTGCGACTTCGGCCGGCCGGCCAGACGGACTCGCTCTCGATCACTGGCAGGCAACTCACTCCACGTTCCATTCGATTCTATCTTCGACCGGAGAATGAGATGAAGGTCCTCCATATCCTCAACACGTAAGCACATTCTTCTCGAAGAGAATTTCCAAGTTTTCCAAGTTTTCCGGGCTTGTGCCATTTTGCATCTTATGCTCTCATTGAGACATGTTGCTTTAGATTGTACGCGCTTGAGACAAATCCATCACCGAAGAGAGAGGTCCAAGATGCTTCAAGTGTATATATACATTTGAAGAGGTGAGGTAGTGAGTGCACTGCAGTAAAAACATAGGAGAAAATGGAGACTCGAAGGTCAAATAAAACAATCATGATGGCTTAGATGTGATTCTTGACATGATCCTGTTTGTTTGACCTTAAGGCATGACACAAGAGTCCTTTAGAAACATAGCCAAAACCCAAAAACACTCTCTAAGATCATCGATGCGCGTTAGCTTTACCGAATCATCCATCGACATGGATATAATAATATGGACATAGATATGTCTTGACTTGACGTGTGGACTTGTTGTGGGTCGAGCATCGCATCGCATCTCATTCGACTGACGAAAGAGATGACTTGAGATCGCGAGGGTCAAATGTCTGAAAGCATTTTTGGCTAAGGCTATCCGCTTAGTACAGCGCCTCCTTGTCATGTGCTGTCTTTTGGGCTGCACTGCATGGCCTGCATGCGTAACATGATGTACCACTCGGTGACATTTGCTCGATGTGAACTTCCATCCTTCCACCTCCTCATTGCTCCAACTAATAGGCCTTCTAACAATTTGTATCACCTCAATTTCTTCCTAGTCACCATGGATAGCTAAGAAATCGTCGCTGCTGTGAAATCAGTGACCTTGGCTCGAGGAAATAGCGCGTGGACCATGACTCCACCTCAACCTCGGTCCTGGAATCACTACATCTTCTGCCAGTTTCAGCATCAGTGACTTATACGACTTCAAGCGATCCCGTTTAAAGTCCGTCGGTTTTTCTAAGTGGAACACCATTGCCAAATCGCAGTGTACATTGCCCAGAAAAGAATCAGCGAACAGATGTCATTTTGAATGGTTGCGGAACTGGTAGCAGATTCTGGGCAATTTGTACAGCTTGGAAAAAAACAATTAACGAGAGTATTTGGAACGAGGGGATTGGACCAGAGGGTTTCCTTTTTGTGATACCATGGATTTTTTCATAGGAGCGCTGAGGGCGAAGAGACTGACCTAGGAACGAGGCCCCAATCCACAATTGACGTCGGTGATGGCGATCCTTGACAAGCGGAGGGTCTCAAAGCCGCAAACGCCTGGGCATATCTAGCGCATCGATTCGCACAGTGCTAACTTTTCCTACCGAATAGAAATTTGTCGTCGGCGAGTAAAATTGCAGGGCCGGACGGCACTCCGGAGACAGGGCGGAGCGTACAGGCAGGGAGGGAGCTACGATATTTCGGGTCATGGCTGCGTTGAATAGTAGGCAGGGGCTGCGCGTTGTTGAACTTGTCAACGATCGACCGCTTAAATGCGCTGTTGGCTCGAGATTGCCCGAATCGTACAGATGTTCCTCGCGCCGCGATAGGAAGAAATGCGAGCGAAATGGGATCGTGGAAAGGAAGTCTCAGGCATGCATTATGGTTCTGTTCTGCGCCGAAGACCGGACCCGATCCTTGGCAGGAAGCTGCGGCCTCGGCGACAGCAGGCAGCGCTGCAGGCGATTAGAGGAGAGATGAGATGAGATGGGCAGAGGACGACGAGGAAAGTGGAGAGGAGAGCGAAGAGGGAGGGACGAGGAGGGCGAAAAAGGTGGAAAATGTGATTCCCTGGAGAGCTGCGGATAAGCAAACGAGGGCATGTGGAGCCGCGGCGGGCTAGGGGAGGGGAGGGGGAGAGGAAAAGCACGGGCCAAAGCACGGAGCAGCTGACACGTCCGCTGCTCGCCTCGCTCAGTGTCCGCTTCTCGCTCGCTCGCTCGCTCTATCGCCCGCATCCTTTGCTTTGCTTTGGCCCGATCTAGTCTGACAGTCGCCCTGATTAGGCTGCTGCCCCCGACGGCAGCACTGCGCACAACAGAGGCGTGGGAGCGAGAGAGAGAGCGAGCGAGCGAGAGGGGGAGAGCGAGGGAGGGAGCGAGGGAGGTGGCCAAGACTGGCATGCACAGACCCCCGCAGGCCCCCGCTCAACGGGCAGGCGGGGGCAGCGGGCAGGCGTGGGTAGGGGTAGGGGTAAGGGCAGGGGCAGGGGCAGGGGCTAAAGAGGGAAGCGGAGCGCATATACAAACAAAAAGATATGGGGGAGAGCTCAGAGCCGCAGGAGGGAACACGCCGGCAGCGCAGACAAGCGCAGGGGGTTACGGGATCGGAGGGAGGGGCTAAGGCGGGGAGGGGGGCTGCGGGGCCCGCAAGCCTGCCAGGCCCCGGCCATGCCGACTCCGGCTCCAGTCTCCTCGGCCATCGATGCGCGCTTCGTTTCTCTCGCCTCCTCCACGCTTATTTATCACCATTGTTTTGACTTCGCATGCCATGCCATGCGCGTACAGCCCGGCACCACCGCCCGCCCTGGATCTCCACGCATCCGCTGCGCATCGGATCCATGCAATATCATCTCTCCCTCTCTCTCTCAATCTCTCTCTCCATCTCCATCTCCATCTCTCCGTCTTTTCCACTCATGGATCTGCGCCGTCCATGGACTTGGCCAGTCTCTCTCACTCTCTCTATCTCATTCTTTCGATCGCTCGATTGCTCTGGACTCGACGAGTTCCGAGCGGAAGGGAGCAGTCCAGTCCAGTCCATGCTATGGAATGGCATGGCATGCGGGGGCGAAGACGGGCTGCCTCATTTGCTACAAATCTGCGCGAAATACTTTTATTTTGTCCGGCCTCGAGCCATGGCCTCCGGATCTGCTCGGATGCGGCACAAGTCAAGCGGGACGCACCGCGGATCGGCAGGGGCAGGGGTCGCACGCCAAAGAGTTCATCATAAATGCGATTTCGTCGTTTTGCTCCGGCTGCAGAGTCCGAGACGATCCTAGGCTTCGACTAGCAGCAGCAGCAGCAGGCAGTAAGGAGCCAATATGAACACTTGGCCACGGCGGATTTATTGTGTAGACTTGTGAATCGATCACTTCCGCCACCTCGTGTCGACTCCCTTCATTTCTGCCTCTGTCCCAACTTGTGCTGCTCCAGCTCAGCTCAGCTCGACACCACCCCCCCCCCCCCCCTCCCCCATCAGCAGCAGCAGGGTGTGAGATGAGATGAGATGGCAGAGCTTTCAAACTGTGTGCCCAGTCAAGTGGAATGCCCTCGTTCTGGAGGTTTCCGCTGTCAGATTCCGGGCTCACCCGGGGGCCTGTACAGTATAATGCACACTCCCTACTCATAACGAATTGCGCTCTGTATGGCTGTAGATACCCGGAATGATGCGGCCTCGGGAGATTATGGTGAAGCTAGCTAGGTCTGGTCCAGACCGAAGTGCGGTGGAGTCAGAGCACAGGGTCAGTCAGTCAGGTCCGACGAGGACCCCTTCCCCTCCCTTCCCTTCCCTTCCTTCCTTCCTTCCCTTCCTTGTGGTCCGAGCACAGAGTCCCCGATCTCTTAAAGAAGGCGAAGGCATTAAAAAAGCCTTTGAACTTTTCGCTGGCGTTAATCAGATTGACATCAAAGTCAAAATGAGTTGGATCGGGCATGTGGTGCGGTCAGAGGTCGCAGCGGCGCAGGGGAGAGTCGAACACATCATGCTTCAGCTCCATGCTCTCGCCGGTATGATTTGAAGAAGGAAGGGGATGGGCAGATGATGTGGGGTCTACGGCAGAGTACCGCTCGTCGTTGCGCCCCTTTCCATACGGTGCTTAAGTTAGCCGATGGCGAAAGTAACGAATGGCAGCCGCCGCTGCGCTGTGATGTGATCATATCCGCTTTTCGCTGAGCCAGAGTACAATGTACTGGGCGGGCTGGGGCTCGCCTGATAGGGATGAGAATGAAAGTCAAAGAAGTACAAGCGTGTGGGACCAGAGTACATATAACTATCGTCTACCATGCTCAGACGGACCTGAGAGCTAGCTTGGCGATTCTTTACAAGATTCGTTGGGACACTGAAATCAGGTGTCGATCCGCTCTCATCCACCCACTCATCGCTCCGTCCTCTGCATCATCAGGTCAGGCCGGCCTCGATCTCATCATCAACTTGGGCACACCTTTAGATTGAACCTCGGGTTCTGTACTCTATTACTGTAGTCCAGACAATGCACTTCTGTATTTCAAAAGGAGGGATGAGGATCCAGCCTTCATGGCCATGGCCACCCAACAGCAGCACCGAAGCCTACTACTATTGCTCGCAGTCAGCGTTTGTCCTCTTGGTGCAGGCCCCCGGATGAGTAGGATGCCATCTTCCTGCAACAAAGTCGAGAGTCTTTGGCATCACTCCTTCCTCCCCCAATCCTTATCTCAGCTCCCACATCTTCCAGTGTACTTGCCTCATGCTTTCTCTTTTCCGCAGCAGCGTTCAGTTCTGAGCTTCGTACCGCAATCTTTCGAATCTGCCTTGTTCCTCCTCAACCGTTTATAACGAGCCTCTGATGAGCTAATGCATAAATGTGAAGCCCATCTCTTCCTTTCGTACTGCAAGGCAGCGGCGACGAATATCCTCCTCCTTTTATTCATATATAAAGAGAAAGAGGAGGTGCTTTTTCCCCTCTCAGAGATCCGCTACAAGGCCTTCGGTAACGGGACATGGCGCAGACACATCACCGCCACGCTAGAATATCAGCTTGGGAATTTGAACAAAGCTGTGGTGTGGCTTGGGGAACAAAGGTTGTACAAGCTTTTGTCATTCATCGTTTCTCAAGGTACAGCTGTTGTTGGGGGAGAATGATGCAAGTGGTAGCATCTACGATGACCTATGAGCTAACTGTCAAATCCCAGTGAGCGACCCTGTCTGATCGGTGAATGAATTCAGGAGTTTTTTTCTTTTTTTTTCTTCTTCCGTCCGACGAGGTGCAAGACATCTTCCTCCTCCTCCTCCTCGTCTGTGAATGACCGACCTGCTCTCGGCGGATCGCTCAATCTTGGTTGCGAATCATAGTTTATGATTCAACACAAACTTGTACTCTAGCAGCGCGTAGCTTCCGAATGCCATACTCTCGGAGCTGTCGTTGACGCACACGTGAACTTGGCAAATGACGACCAGGGTCCTACAAGGGGCTGTGATGTCGGGAGAAAGCACATTTGCGGTTATATTCCAAGGTGACCACGGGGTCTTCCCAGCCTGTAACCGCAAAATGTGCTTTTCTGCCCAGAGCGAATGGCGTGCCTCCACCCTTCGCTGCCTCCATGCCCTCGAAGGAATTAACCAACCGCATGTATCAAACGTGTCGCGTAGCATCGAGTAGTAAAATGCAGACAGAGGGAGATTCGCATGTGAAGCAAGAGGCTGCTCTCCTCTCCTCTCCAGGTAAACTCTGAGGCCGTTTGTATGATGTGGCAAGTGGTCAATTAAAGCCCCGAATTGTGGCTTTTCGAGGGCCTTTCTTATTATGGACATGTGGTAGTTTTCTCCCTTCAAATATTCCTGCTCGCTGCTTCTCCCGCTTCTAACCGACCATCGCTCAATCAGGACAAACAACTTTGATCTGAAAATCCACTCCTACTGCTGTAGGAAAACTTTTGCGAGTTTTCATATTCCCTTCGCCTTCGTACACAGTCCGTACCCCCTCCCTCCCTCTCCCCTTCATTAACTGCAACCTTTTTCCAGTTCTCGAGGCCGAGCCCAACACTCTCCTTTTCTCCATCAGGCCATCCATCCATCCATCAGGGGTCCCATGTCGGTCTCTGGCCGCATTACTAATTACGCTCTCGCTCTCTCGCTCGTTTCTGCCGTATGTGCTGCTGCCTCTTCCTCCTCGCACCCATCTTCATCCTTTACCGTTACATTGGAGACCCCACCTCACCCCAATCTCCTTCTATCCCCACTGTCTAGTCTATACTCGCCAACCGCCTGCTCACCATTGATTTATTTATCCTCCGTATTGCAGCCCCAAACTCCTCCCTCCCTCGCCTTGACTTGTGCCTCGTCAATGTCTCTTCTCTCATGTACAGTTACCAGTAGCCAGACCAGGTCTGTCTGTCTGCCCACCAGGTATGGGCCGTACTGACGTGCCTGGCCCGAAGGTGCGTAGAGCACAACCAAAAGTCTTCGTGTATTCGAGATCTCGGATCATTCCTCTGCATGGTCGAGTGAAGATATAAGTAAGTACTCGAGTAACGGATTTTTCAGTATGCGTATTGATTGGGGTGGAATGATTTTGTAGTGAATGAGAACAACTGGAAGAATCAATGGTATGATGTCTTCAGACTGTATACCGGATTCGATACTTGATGCAGTTTTGCCCTCCCTCCCTCCCTCCTTTTTATTACTTCGCTTTGTACTTGGTCCATTTGCAGTTGATCGATCCATCGCCTCTTCTTCATCGTTCATTCCATATTCTCTGGACGGTCTGCTGCCTTTTTCTCTTTAGTTCTCCCCTTCATCGCTACTTCTGTCCAGTTCTTCGGAAACATCGTAACACTTCGTGTTTCACATCATTACCATTATGGTGTTTTGGATAGGACATATGTTGGTTGTTGAATGATACAAGAACGCTCTTTCCTTACATATTTTTTAAAGATGCGCTTTAAAGCTTATAGCAAGTGGCTCGTTACTCTAGTGATTGTATAGTTCACAGGAGTCCAGCCTTGATATGCGAACCGGGCAATGGAAGATCCATTTTTCTGTTGTCGACATATACGACCAGAGCGGCATAGGCCCGTATTCACTCTCATTTGCAAAATTGCTTGTAATAAGCGGCCATTAGAGCTCGAATGGAGTTGATTGCCTGTAACTAGCTTCTAAACAATACTCTCAAAGAGACGAGAATGTGTTTTTAAAAGAGAGTAGCAAGGAGACTATTGAAGACCACTCTTGACAATAATTGACCCTTGAGAAACTATAAAACGTTTCTGAGTATAGCTTTACAAGACATGGTTCATTAAAGTATATTAGGAGTTCGGTGATGGATAAGAACTCTTTGACCTCATTGATCTTCTAAAGTCAACCAGCTACATATAAAAACGGCTTGTTTTAGAGGAGAGTCAGATTTTCTCACGGTTTTTTGCTTGAGTCCACCACCACCAGCTGAAGAACTGTGGAAGTTGTTAAGAATAGACTTAAAAACATATTTGGAATTAAAGTCGATGACTGTTAAGTTGAAAGTCAACAACACTGCCAGGTTGCCCCGCAGCGCATTGTTCTCTACTTTTGTGCAACCTGCTACACATTCGAAGGTTTGATGCGTACAATGCAGTTCAAATACAGACCCGAACTACTTTGGTGTGGCGATGAAAATAGTTTAAAGTCCCGTTTAATCATGCTTCATTGCTATCATGTGAATACCATCAGAAAGAAAACTCATAACTATGACGAAATATAACCGTTTAGATTACGAAAGATATTGCTTGTCCATGTATACTATATGTACATATGATGGGTTGATAATCTTACGTGTTAATTGTCCTTTTATGTCAACTGGAAAGTGTGCGTATTAAATTAAGCTGTATTATATATATTGCCATTCTACAAAGTAGAATGGAAACTACCTCAATTGACTCATACATGATTTCATAATAACTTTAAATTTTATCTACTTTAAATATAAAACAACAAGATATACGATTAAACTTACTGTTTATGTATAAAGTCATTCATCTATATCTGCGTATTTGATTTATGTTTTATGTGATCATTTTAGTTTTAACATATAATAGAAACATAGCAGGAAGGTAGATAAGCGATTGAAGTCAAGTTCGAAAAACAAGTATACAAAAAAGTGATCTTATTACAAGTATAATCTAAAGAAAAAAATATGTGTTTTCAGCAAAATATAATGTCAAGCTTTCAAGCAGAAAAAGCTAAATCTAATTAAACTACATTCTATTTATTCAATCACTTGTTTCTCAAAAGAACAAGACAATTTTTTCAAAATTTTTATTATTCATTCAAAATCTGTGAGCAGAATTATCTTTATATGTTTTTATAAATTAATAAATACAAATATTTTATTCATTTTTATTTGAAAATTGTATTTATTTTGAAAAAGATAATTCACATTTTTGTAAAAATATTTTTTACATTCTAAATATATATGCATGAATATAGATTATTTAAAAATGAATATTTTCAATATTATATATCTCAAAAAAATTCCCAAATAGAAAGTTCTATGATTTTTATTTTCTCAGAGTTCTTGATGATAAAAAATAACAATATTTTTAGAAAAATATTAAGATCACATAAAATATTCGTTCAATTTTATAGTCCTTATAAAAATCTCAATTTTTTAGAAAAATTTATTCGTAAAAAATAAATTTCATCATAAAACTATCAAATTTATTCTTAAAAAAAGAAGAAAAGTTTGATCTATTCGAAGTTTTGTTTTATTTTGTTTTATTTTATTAGATAATCAGCATCTTATTTACAAAATAAATTTTAATAAATTTTTAATAATTTCATCATTTTCATTAATTGAAAAAAGATAAAAAATTCCAATTATTGAGAAAAATAATTCCAAGGGGTCTGATTCTGTGAATTTACCGTTTAGTATATTGAACATAGTGATTTTGTGTTTGAATCTTGATATTGCCCTGATATCTTTTGTATAAGAGTGCTAATTATTCAAACATTTGTCTGTTTTTTCATAGCAGCACATGTTTTCACTGTCAGGTGATTTTTAGCATAATCAGAAAAAGAATGGAATTACTTTGATCAACGCCAAGGCAAATTTTGCTCACTTGAGGTTCGTGTCCACGCCAAAGGAGATATTTCTTGAAGACTAAATACGATTGCCGGACTCTTTGACATATCCACCAAGTCCTCCATTGACGCGGTGCAGAAACCAATAAAAGCAGCTAGTGATGAAGCTATTTGATTTTATCATCGTTTCGATTGTGTCAAACGATGTAAATTGGATCAAAAGATATACGTTTTAATTTACCTCGAGATTTTAGAATATAAACTTGTTAGTTATGAATTGTTTTAAAACATGGGTTCTAATAGATGATTAGTATTTGACTAAAACAAGCCTTGTAGATTTCACTGGTAAAAAGTTTGCAGAAATGATGTTGTACGTAGAACATTAGAACATTAGAAGTAAATTGTTATTATGACACATTTTCCTGTGTGATGCCATTGAGCCTAGCTAGCCCTTCTCACCCTTTTGGCTTCATCCGCCGTGACTCTGATGGGGTCTCCCAATCCTTTTTTGCAATATTCCCGGCTCCTCTGACTGAATGGAACTCTTAATTTATGGAATTTCTCTCCTGGTGGGTCGCCGCCCTGTGGTTTGACTCGGTTAACAGAAGAGCATGTTTACTGTCCATATCACTATCCAAAGGGTCGGTTTTAAGGGATATTGCACAGTAAAGTCGTGTTGCAAGAAATCCCAGAACACTCTTCAAGCTAAAATTAATCTCATAATACAACAAAAGAGCATTCAGTACTGTAATAATAACAACATTTCTTCTGTGACTTTCCGGTTCCAACCTGTAGCAAGCAGTCAAACATCAGTCGTCATTGTTTGAGTAATAGGTGGCGATAAATTGAAGATAAGATCTGATTTTTTTTCTATACCCGTATGTCAAGGTGCAATCCTGAAGGTCACGACAAAAATCATTTTGCGCCATACAGAACTTCTTTTGGTTGCGCATGAATATTTGTGCATTTTCGTTTCATTGTTCATTGGTTGCTTCTTTTGAGGCGTAGTCGAAGGTGCGCTATGGGTTTGCCAACATCCATGCAAGCCGACCCCAAGCTTGTGATCCATGTAACTTCATCGCCAATAGTATGGAGATATACTCATTTGGTAGACCCGTGTACTTGAGAATCTGACACCTGAGAATGAGAACATGACTCGAGTGGACATGGAATAGGACATTTTAGAGGTAAATTGCGTCAAAGAAGGAAGAAGATATGGCTATGGATCTACAGGGTTTCATGTTCCGAGATATTTCTGGAGCAATGGAACAGAATTCAAATGAAAGCCTTGACTGAAGGCTGCGTAGACTCGTAGCCAGGAGAATCGCAGAAGAGATTCATGATAAGAAATGTAGGAGCAAAAGCTACACCCCAAAATGGAGCAGCAAAACTGGAAGATCCAGAGATGTCCGTGCGAAGTTGTTGGCATGATCTCTTGTGCTCACCTGCGTACGTCAACACAGCGACCATCGATCCTGGCGGAGCTCTGGAGGGAGAACAATTGCGACGTCGGCTCCATCACCCCACTCCTGAACATGACATGAGATCCATCCATCGATGGATCTCCCAAAAGAGAGACAGAACACAGGTGCCCAACATGAGACCGGACCATTATTTTCCGAACAAGAAAAGCGAACACTAAACAAACATAAAGCGAAGGTACCATGAAAATGATATCACGTCCAGACTTCCTTCCAGTCTAGCCTAGACTGCACTGCGATGGCTGACCAGATGCCCCCAGTTCAAGTTGGCTTAGCCCAACTTTGATCTGACATTTTTACGCTCGTACTCGTCGCATTTGTGTCCAACAGATCGAGTATTTTATTCTGCCACATCAGCCCCTTAAAGGAATATAAAAGCAAAAGCAGAGAGAGCAAACGCAAGTCCTCCGTTTCATTTCGACGATAGAGTTTAAAGTTTTACAGAGTCCACCGGATCGATTGATTGATTGATGATAATGATGAGTGGACTTTGTTTGGTACCTCGGCCTGTTCGTCATTCCACACTCGATTCACTCGAGCATTTCTCATTTGTAAGACTTTTGCAGAGCTTCGTTTTGTAGGTCAGTCGCGTTCCTTTCCTTGTGACTCGATCTCGTTTCAAAGTCGGAGTAGCCCCTCTCGGCTCTAGATGATGATGACTCACCGATGATGAGGATTGGGTCACTGTTTCGGCTATATCCAGCCCATGGATAGTCACCTGAATTTCGCCCAGTAAACTAATGCCCATAAGAAAAGCAAAAGACAGCGCGAGATGTCGTAGACCTACAGTGCATGGCATCTCGGAAACCCACATTTAAGATAATATTTATTTATTTATTTAATTATATAATGGACTGCGCTTGGGGTCCTGACGAGGTGCTTCCTCGTTCATTAAATAAGTGGCAACCATGAGCTTCGCCAATTAGACTCGCGTCCAAATTCCATCAGCCTGAGAAGCATGGGGATATTTGGACGGGCCAGGCCTGATCACGACGTGCCGAATACACGTCCGGATCAGCAGCAGGGTTAAGAGGAGCATGCATGCTAACAGAGGGGGGCTAATTAATCATGAAGCCAAGGGTTGGAGGTTCGGATATTTTTGGGCACGTACTGGAGGG